CCGAACCGATGGCCAGGCGATCTGGCGACGGTCTCAATCGCAAACCAGCGTGCCGCCACAACCAACCCACAGCACAGCCATCCCGACCATTCCCGAGCGTGCGTGGTTCCGGAACCACTTTTTTCTTCTTCTGATGAGACAAAACAAGACGACAAGCAAAACAATCCAAGCTTGAGGGTACCACCGGATCTCGATCCGGTGCGGCGCAGCCGCCAGAGGTTCCATGCGAAAACCGGCACTTGCGCATAGTCGCGAATACCCAAAAATGGCAAGGTTGCCTAAAGACTTCATGTAATGAAAAACCGCCCGCAAGCCCTCTTGTCGCCTGCAACGACCCCGCTTCAAGAAGCGGGGTCACCCAGCATGGAAGTGCCGTTGCCTTAGGCTATCAGCTCTGCGCATAACCTAAGGTAGTGGATGCATGTCATCACAAAATGCCATTCAATCCATCGCCTGAGTTATTGGAAGCACGAATCACGCTGAACTCACCTAGGAATTTCCCATGCACAAAGTCCTACTAACCGGCTACGAAGCATTCGCCAACACCCCGGTGAATCCGGCGGAGATGGTTGCTAGGCGGCTGGATGGAACCGAGATTGAAGGGGCATCCATCGTTTCGCTGGTGATGCCGAACATCTTCTTCAAGTCGATCGACCACGCCGTGAAGGTCATGGAAGAGGTGCAGCCAGACGTAGTCGTAATGATGGGCGAATATGGCGGGCGGGCGATGGTCACCGTCGAACGTATCGCGCAGAACCTGAATGACGGAAAGCGTTATCAACTGCTGGACAACGCCGGCTATGCGATGCAAGACGAACTCACGGCCCCCGACGGGCCCGCCGCATACTACACAACACTACCGATTCGCGCCATGGTCAAAGCCATGCGAGAGGAAGGCATCCCCGCAGACATTTCCGATACGGCGGCCACGTTCTGCTGCAATCACCTGATGTACGGCGTTCTGCACCACATCGCCATCAACAAGCTGCCCATCCGCGCCGGCTGGATTCATCTGCCTCACCTGCCCGAGGTTGCCGCCCTGGTCGGTAACCTGGGGGCACCGAGCATGTCCGTCGAGACCGCCACGGCCGGGGTGGCCGCCGGAATCGCAGCCATTCTGAAACACGACGAGGACATCACCGATGTAATCCCGTCCGTCTTTCAGATCTAGCGAGAAGAGCCATGAAGGTGTAGCAGAACGTAGTAGGGCTTCTCACTAACTACGCAGATTGCTCAAGCGTCTTCGTGAAGCCTTTGAAGAGTTGCTTCTCGGAATAGAACTTCATCATATGGTTGATGGCCCAAGACATGGCGGCCGACTCGGTGAACATCATCTTGGCCAACTTGCGAGATTCAGCCTGAATACTATCCACACGTTCTCGACGACGTTTGATGAAGTAGTCGATCGCCAGCGGTATGGTTCGGGCGTCAGTCCGCCGCAGTTCGTCAGCAAGGACTGCCGCCGACTCCATGGCCACGGTGGCTCCAATCCCTGCCGTGGGAAGAATGCCCTGGCCAGAATCGCCCACCAGCAGCACACGGCCTTGGTGCCACTGCGGCAGCTTTACGTCCGCGAAGCGAACGAAGGAAATGTCGCTGTCTGCATCCAGGGCATTGATGATCGTAGGCACCGGCCCGCCGAAATCGCCGAAGGCTTCCTGAATTCGCTTCGCCCGGGTCTTGGGATCGTCGTAGGTTCCCGCAGGGTAGGGGATGCCGCTGAAACAGCACAGTTTGCCCTTCGCCGGATAAAGTCCGAAGAAATGGCTGTCGCTCCAGAATTCCGATATCGAATCCTGCGGCGACACCGAGGGATCGACCCAGTAAGCCCAACCAGCCCAGCCGGTGTCGGCGATCTCGGTTTTACCGAAGATCAGCTCCCGGGTTTTGGAATGAATGCCGTCGCACCCCACAACCAGATCAAACGTACCTCGGCTGCCGTCGCTGAACCCAACGTTTACCTCTTCGCCAACCTGTTCGAGCGACTCGATCGAAGTACCCATGCGAATCGTGTCGTTACCCAAGTAGTCGACCAGAATGTCGAGCAGAGCTGCCCGAGTGACGCAGCGAAACGAGCCGTAGTGTTCGAAGAAGGGGCCAATCTTGTACTTGTGCAGCAACTTTCCTTTGTGATCGCAAACCTGATACACGTTGCCTTCGACACTGGCGTTCAGATACTGATCATACAGCCCCAGGCCATGCAGAATGCGACTGCCCAGCGGCCATAGACCAATCACGTAGCCCACCGGCTCGTACGCCTTGACCTTCTCAATAACGACGGGGTTAAGGCCGGTCTGTCGCAGCAGAGCTGCGAGCGTGAGGCCTGCGAAACCACCGCCAACAATCAAGATTCGCATCAAGCTAATCCCTTGCTTCTGGGTGCGAAGTCAGGACTTCGCGGGGACTGATTCAACTCGCGACATGCCCGTGCGGACTAGTCGAAGGCAATGCAGCCGGATGCGTCATGCAACTCGTAATGATGACTGGGAGAGAGCCACCTACATCGAGTTGATGCGTATCTCATTGGAAGCTACATCGGTGGCAATGTCGGCAATGCCAATGTCTGCAAATAAATCAGTGCCTTCATCGCCAAAGATCTGGTCGGTCGCTGAATCATCGAACAGGGAGATACCGGGTTTTAGGATGTACTTGCCGTTATACCCGCTACCGAAGCCGGTGAGGTGCAAAGTGCGGGTCAGGTACCCTCCTCCGAGTCGCCATTCATCCCAGATGGCATACATCGCGGTTGTTTGCTTGTCGAACCGAGGCTCACCTGCAATGAGCAATTCTTCGCCAGAGCCTCCTGAGATCCAATCCGACTGCGTACCTCCGACGACAACGTCACGACCAGCGCCCCCATATAGCTTGTCGGACCCGGCATTCCCAAGTAGTAGGTCGTCGCCGTTTCCGCCGTAAAGTGAGTCGTTTCCACCGCCTCCCGAGAGGAGATCGTTGCCGTCACCTCCATGTAACTCGACCCCACCATTAAGCTCGGTTTTCAGATAGTCGTTACCACCCAAGCCATACACAATCACTCGGCCAGTAACTTCGCCCTGGGTGTAGATAATAGACTGGTTATAAGCTTTGCCATTCAGTGCCAAGACAGCAACGCCCGTGACTCCTCCGGCACTGAAGACGGTCGCAATGTCGCTTCCCTCGCTCAGACCCACGACTAGGTTGGTCTTGCTGGGGTTGTCCTGGTCTGCCTGTAGTTGATAGGGCAATGTTTCGACCGTAGTGGTCGCTCCGTCAGTAGTACTCCCGTTGGAGGCAATAGCCGTGATGGTAATCTGGTGGTTTGCCACATTTTCAAAGGTGTGTTCGACCACAGTACCAGATGTACCTTGCACGACCTGATCAATGATTCCATCGCTATTGAAGTCGATCGTAAAGATATATTGCTGATTAGATGTTTGACCCGTGGAGTCATTCACATCCAGGACGAAACTCCCGGTTTGCCCAACGACTAACTCGTTAGGACCGGTGATGTTTGCAATCGAGCTGCCTCCTGATGGAAGCCAGCCGCGTAAGCTGTAGCGGCCCAAGTCACCGTATTGACCGGCACCTCGCACCACTGCGTAATAGCGCCCCGCCGTCACGTTGGCAGTTAGCGAAGACTCCAAAGAATCGCTCTGCGAGGCCGACTTGATGATTGTGCCGTCCGCGCGGCGCAGCTCGACTTTGCTGTCCAGGTTCGGTCCGAACTCGGTGACCTCAACTGATAGAGTTACGTTGCCCGATGGGGTGTCGAACCAGAACACATCGACATCGCCGGGTTCTCCAATGATTCCGTATTGAGAGAACCTCGAGCCATTCGTGATGACCGGGACAGCCGCCGCGATGGAATTGGGGTGATCATCGCTGCGAAGACCAAACCCATTCGACGATGAAGCGATGATATCGATGTCGTTTTGAATATTGTTAATCGATGTCGAGGGGCTATTGCTCCAGGTCGATCGCTCGGCAAACAGCGAATTGCCCATCAGCGGTGCCCACTCTGGCGAGTTCCCAGTGGTGTACTCGCCGATCACATTCCCGTTTGAGTCATATTCGTGATTGTGGCGTAAGCCGAACGCGTGTCCGGCCTCGTGGGAGGCGATGTCGGCCACCATCGAGGGCAAGCCGTTGTAGAGGTCATCTTCGAATACAAAAACCACGTTCGGATATGGATTGCTGTACGCATTCTGATAAGCGGCGCCGCTCGCGTTGGCAACGAACCAGTCGGTGTGGCTGCCGCCGATCGCCACACGCAATGCTGAGTTGTTCGGATTGCTCCATCCACCCGGGTCGACGGTCGTGACGTTCAGGTTGAACGGCACAAAGTCTTCCGCGACTCGAGCCCAAATCTCCTTGATCGCCGCCTTTTCTTGCGTACTAAAGCTCTGGGAGTTTCCGTCGGTATCGTAGGCTGGGGTTTCGACGTTTTGATAACCGCCCCACGAAGACTCAGTGTTGCCATTGAAGTCGAGATACAACGTGGCAGGCGCAGAAGCCAGGCTGCTGTACTGGGGGACACTCAAGCTAAGGAGGCGTCGATCTTCCAGAGATTCAAGCGACAGTTTGGTGGAAGCCATAAATCGTAACCATGTGTGCTAGCTAGAGTGAAGCGGCCCCTTCAAGAGTAAGATCGTCGGCAAGCGCTTTTCGGATTGGTCATTTGCCCGGTAGTCGCAGATTTTTCCCAGTCATCCATCAACTATGCTGCCACTGAAAAAGCAGAAGCCGACTGCGATCGGGCAGAGCAGATGATTGCGGGGATAGATAGCAAGAGCAGTGCTATCTACAGGCAAGGTTGAAGTGCAGCAGGCACCCAACACGGAGAGGACCTATACGAAACCAAGAAGTTTCGCACAAGTTGACTCTTGCCCCAGAAAGCGCATCGCAATGTTCCGATTCGAGAGCTGCAGTAATGTAGCAGCTAGCTGATCGGCGATGCCAGTGTTTGGCAGCCAGCTTCGCGCCTTTTTCACAACTCGTGAGGACCACTCACCCTACGAGTGCTAGCCAGCGACGGTCTCGGAGAAGTGCTCCATGGCCAAGTCCTTCAGCCCTTTCAAATCGAGCTTGCCAGTACCCAGCACAGGAATTTCATCTACTTCCAAAAAACTATCCGTCGCGGGGACCCACAGATTGGGGAGATCGGTTTCCCCCAGAGCCTTGCAAATTTCCGCAGGCGTCTTCTCCAGGGGGAGGTGAACCACCACGATCCGCTCGCCGCGCTTCTTGTCGGGCACCGCGGTCACAACGGCCTTCAGCTCCTCTTCGCCGGCATCTAGAATCTGCTTAATGCGATCCTCGATTTTAATGTGCGGTACCATCTCTCCGCCGATCTTGGAGAAGCGGTTGATTCGGCCGGTGATGTGAATGAACCCATCCTCGTCGATCATGGCGATGTCGCCCGTGACGTACCAGCCGTCGCGGATGACTTCGGCGGTCTTCTCCGGCTGGTTCATGTAGCCCATCATCACGTTGGGCCCACGTAGCAGCAGCATCCCCGCTTCGCCCGGCTCCAAGTCTTCCCCGGTATCGGGGTCAACGGTCTTCGCTTCGAGGTCAGGAATCGCACGGCCCACGGTGCCGTCTTTGGCAAACAGTCCGTCGGGGTCGTGAACACGGCTCGGTGGAACGTTCACGGCAATTAGGGGCGACATCTCAGTCGCTCCATATGCTTCCGAAGGTCGGGTGCCGAACTTTGCTTCAAACGCATCGGAGAGTTCGATCGGCAGCTTCTCTGCACTGGCGAAGATGACGTCGACCCATTGGAACTGTTCTGGCTCGCAGCGCCGCAAATAGGCTCGTAGGAAAGTGGGCGTGCTGATGAGGATCGAAACTTTATGCTTATGACTCAGCTCGCCTACGATCTTGGCTTCCAGCGGATTGAAGTGATAGACGGCAGAAGGATTCAATGCGAGCACGGTCCACAGCGTGGCCGTGTATCCATACGAATGGAAGAACGGCAACACGCCCAACGCCACATCGGTTTCCTTCAGGTGGATCACTTCATCGATCGCCAGCACGTTGGTGCCCACGTTGCGATGTGAGAGCATCACGCCTTTGGGTTCGCCGGTCGATCCGGAGGTGAACAGCACGGTCAATAAATCGTCGGGCTGAATCTTGTGCACTCCCAACCATTTCTCGAGCATCCCAATGGGCATCACCTTCGCTTGGAATGCGGCGGCGATCTTGTCTGAGAGCTTGACCTTGTCGATCAGGTCTTCGAGGTACACGACCTCGGCATTGATCTTCAAGTGACTAAGTCGGGAAGTCACCTTCTTGCTTGTCAGCACGTGGCGAATGCCACACTGCCGAATGCACGAATCCATGATCTCGGTCGAGACGGTATAGTTCAGGTTCACCGCGATGCGACCTGCCAGCGGCAGCGCAACGTTGGCCAACACGCTACCCACCGAGGGTGGCAACAGCAGCCCTACATATTTCTCGTCCTTGCCGAGCACTTCACGCATCAGTAGGCGGCGAAATACGAGCGACTTCAGAACCAGGTCGGCTCCACTGGCCGAACTGCCGGTACTGTCAAAGCACTTCTTCCGCGAACCGCTCGCCTTGCAGTTGCGAAGGAACGCACTCATCAGATTCAGGTTTTCTTTGAGATTCGTATTCATAGTTCAAGCCTTCCAGTTTTTTGACGGCCTGTTCGATTTCTTGGATAGATCGGGGATTGAGCATCGGCTCGCCAACTCGAATGCTGAGCCGATATGGAATTTTACGCGGAATCTTCCAGAAAAAGCGACCTCCCCAGTAGCTAAATATGCTGCCCCACAGTCCTCCCAGGTGAACCGGGATGACGGGAGCATCGGTTCCGCGGATGATCGAGGCCGCCCCGGGCTTGAAATCCAGCATCTGCCCCGAGCGGGTTAAGCCTCCCTCGGGAAAGATGCAGACCAGATCGCCTGAGCGAACCGCATCTCGAGCGGTTTCGATCGACTGCACGATGGATCGGCGGCCGGAGCCAGGATTGATCGGGATCACCGCAAACCAGCGTGACATCCATGCCATGAACCCTTTCTCGACATAGGGTCCGTAGCCGATCATGCGAATCGGCCGCGGCGAGTTCAGGTACAGCAGCACTGCGTCGGCCCACGACACATGGTTCGACACAATCAGAGCGCCACCTTCTTTAGGTATGTTACTCATTCCTTGGACATCAATGCGATAGAATATCTTGCTGATCACCCTCATCGTGAATTCAATCAGGGCTGGGGGCAGGATGAAGACAGTCGCCACGGCAACCGCAGCGGTGACCAATCCGATGGCAAGAAAGATCTCCGAGGCATCGAGTCCGATGCCGACTTGCCCCAGGCCACCCATCGCCACGCCCGACCCCATCAAGGGATACACCACGCCCGAGACAATCAGCATCGCAGCAAAGGTGACGAAGCTGTAGGCGGCTAGAATTGAACCGCGATGTTGTGGCGGTGCCTTTTGCTGCAACAAGGCTTCCAGCGGGATATCGAACAAACCGGCGCAGATGCCGAGTACGAATAAGATGATCCCGGCGGCGAACGGGGTGAGGCTCAAGGTGCCCAGCAGGATCATGCACACCGACATTCCGAATGCCCCGTAGGGAATCAGCCCTAGTTCGATTCGTTTGCCCGAGAGCAACCCGGCCAGGACACTTCCGACACCGATTCCCGCGGCCATTGCGGCCAGCAGCAGACTCACGATGTGTTGCTTATGCTGCGACTGGTCTTCGGTGAGGATCAAAGCGTTTTGCCCGAAGTTGTCGATGGCAATCTGCGAAAGTGCCGCCATTCCCCAGAAAAAAGCCAGTCCCAGAGCACAACCCACCAAGACTTTGGTGCTGAATAACTTCTTCAGGTCGCGAAACGTATGCTGGGGCACGTTCCAGGGCATGGCGCGCTCAGGATCGGCTGCGGGCACCTTGCGAATCAGAAGGCTCGTAAGCAGCCCCATGAACGAAACGCTGACCAAAGCGATGGCCGCACCCCAGTAACTTCCTCCGGCGTCGGGCCGTGTCCATTCGTAGAGAAAACTTGCACTGATGGTGCCGCCGACAATCGCAATGACGGTTGTCATGCCGATTAGGCCATTGGCTTTGGTGATCTGATCGCGACGTACCAGCTCGGGGATACTGCCGTACTTCGACGGGCCGAACAGCGCACTTTGTCCGCCCATGAAGACCATCACGACGAGCATGAATGGAATGTTCCCGATTGAAATCGCCAGAGCACCCAGGCCCATGATGACCATCTCGGCGAACTTCACGCTGACCATCACGCTGCGTTTGCTGAACCGATCTGCCAAATAACCCGAGGGGGCGGCTAAGAACAGAAACGGCAGCATCAATGCTGCGGCACCGACCGAGCGGATCATGTCGTGCTGCTGAGTGGCCACCAGGTCTTGGGCCACCCAAATGATCAGCCAACGGTACATGTTGTCGTTGAATGCACCGAGGAACTGTGTGCCGAGCAGCCCCATAAAGCTGAACGAGGCGATGCCGTCGGTGGGCTCGCTCGAAACAGTCGCCGGCGATGTGTCGGCGTGGAGAGTCGATTGTTCGGTTGCCATGCTCATGTCAGCTTCGTTCCACCCAGGTATGCGGATAGGGCCGGCTTAACGTTACGCGACCGCGATAACCAACAGGGCGAGAGGCGAGCATGGATATAACGCACTCATTTGTTTTGAGCAGAAAGAGCCGGGGAATTTTAAGGGTGACCGACGGGCTGGTTTCTAGGAATTCGGTTCGCCAGACACAAAGACTTGCCCGCAAATGGCTTTAATCAGCACACTGACCACCTCACGAGAGGGGGGGCTGGCGATATCAGAAAAAGTCTCTCAGATCCCGCCTCCCCAACGTTCGTAAAGCTTAGCCGTTTCCACTTGCGTCGTCACCTGGCAGATTAGCCACATCCCAGGCTTTTCATGTGCCGTAAGTGACTGGTGTGAAATAGGTTGTGTTTCGCGGGTCCTCGCTGGCCCGTTTCTGGTGTCTGATGGTTGTTCGCCAGTGGGCCGACTCCCCTTGCGATAACTGCGCAACTGGGGCTAAATTCCCGCTCGCCACGCGAGGCCCCGGCTGTACCCGGGGGCGGCCGTGCTGTCATCCATGGAAGGAACGACTGGAAATGAAACGGATCAAATACCTGCTATTGGGCATCATTCTCGGGGGAGCTACGGTCGCCGGAGCATTGCACTACCACCTGCTGCAAACCTCCGAGGGCTTGGTGCTCGTGCCGAAGACCGGCTCGACCCTGAGCGATACCTACGTCGATATCCGCAACTTTGGTGTGAGCGAGTGGAACGATCACCGCCATGTGGTCGATGCCCTCATCAAGGCCGACCGCCAGGATGTGTTGCAGGGCTCAGCAATGGACGGGATCAAGCAGAGCGTCGATAACCTGCTCGACCGCTTGGGTTCATAGAACGAACCGAACGGAGATGTTGCCTCGAGGAAAGGCCGTGGCCCCTATTAGCCTAGCCTTTTACGCAGCCTTCCAGCGTTTCTTGGACTTGTTTGGCCATGAAGGGCTTGGAGATAAAGTCTTGCGCGCCTTTGCGGATCGCCTCGGAGATGAGTGCCGACTGATTCACGGCGCTGATCATCACTACTTTGGCTTGGGGGTCGATCCGTAGAATTCCTTCCAGCCCGTGGATTCCATCTGCATCGGGCATGACCATGTCCATGGTAACGGCATCGGGGCGAAGCTTTTCGAACTGTTCGACGGCCTCTTCGCCGTTGCAGGCTTGGCCCACACATTCCCAGCCTGCCTCGGCCAGAGCTTCGGAAAGCATGCTGCGCATGAGCACGGAATCGTCGCAAATTAAAACGCGATGCGACATGACGCGGATCCTCCAGGCTTAAAACTTTCTGCGGTAGGCGGGGCCGAGCAATGATTCCTGCTTTCAGAACTGCGGGCCCACCTCGGGTGCGCAAATATACGCCATATGTGTGGTGACACTTCTGGATGGCGGAAGAACGTAGATGGTGCGCTTAGGGGAGTTATGCGGCTGTAGGCACCCCCAAGGCGGCTTCTCTGCACCCGGGGGAAGTTCGGGTTATAACGAGTGTTCCCTTCCAATGGGCCTGGCCGAGTTGCAATCGCCGAATTCCAGGCGCTCAGATCCTCCGCAAGAGCGTCTATAATAAGGGCTTCGGTTCCCACAACGATGGACTTAGTGCCGTTGGGTGAGGGTTCCGGAATTTGAGCGATTACCTTTTCTGTGAGCGAGGGGCTTCGAAGTCCGCTCATGATCCCTTTTTTTGATCTAAAGCCGCTGCACAACGAGTTGGCTGGGCCGCTCCAAGATGCCGTTGCGCGCGTGCTAGACAGCGGCTGGTACGTTCTCGGGCCCGAGGTTGAGGCTTTCGAGAACGAGTTGGCCAATTACCTGCAGATTGGGAATGCGGTCGGGGTGGCCAACGGAACCGACGCGATCGAACTCGCGCTGCGAGCGTTGGATATCAAGCCGGGTGCCGAGGTGATTACGGTCTCGCATACGGCGGTGCCAACGATTACGGCCATCGAGCGAGCCGGCTGTCGACCGGTGTTCGTGGACATCGACCGAGAGACGTACACGCTCGATCCGCGTTGCCTGGAAGCTGCCATCACCTCTCGCACCGAGGCAATCGTTCCCGTCCATCTTTACGGTCACCCGGCCGACATGCCGGCGATCGTGGAGATCGCCCGACGATACAAACTGGCCATCGTAGAAGATTGTGCTCAGGCGCTCGGGGCTCAGTGTCAAGGTCGACCGGTTGGCACCTGGGGCGACGCTGCGGCATTGAGCTTCTATCCAACTAAAAACCTGGGCGCTTGCGGAGATGCGGGAGCGGTGGTGACGAACGATCGGACCGTGGCCGAAAAGGCAAAGCGACTTCGCTTTTACGGACAGGTGGACCGAGAACACTTCAACGAACGTGGAATCAATAGCCGACTGGATGAGATGCAGGCGGCGATCCTGCGTGTGAAGCTCGAGCAGCTCGATGACGACCTCAAACAACGTCGCGAGCTTGCGGCTCTCTACGATGCGGTACTGAAGGGAGTGACCCTGCCAGTGACACGGCCCGATTGCACGCACGTCTACTGTTTATATGTCGTGCGGCATCCGCAGCGTGACGTCATTCGCGATGCCTGTCAGGAGCACGAGATTGGAACTTTGGTTCACTACCCCATTCCGGTCCATCGGCAGCAGGCGTTCGCTGACCTGGGGTATGGCGTAGGAAGTCTGCCTGAGACGGAAGCGGCGGTGAAGGAGATTGTCTCGCTCCCGCTTTATCACGGACTGTTGCCGGAAGAGGTTCAACAAGTTGCCGATGTGGTGAGCCAGTGCGTAGCGGGGGCCCGAGCATGACCGTTACGCTCGACGAAAATACCTTCCGTGACAAACGGGTTTTGATCACCGGCGGGATGGGCTTCATCGGCAGCAACCTGGCGATCGAGTTGGTCAACCGTGGGGCCGAGGTAACCATCGCCGATTCGATGATTCCCGGATACGGCGGAAACCTGTTCAACATCGAACCCATCGCCGACCGGGTGACGGTCAATTACAGCGACATTCGCGATGTGAATGTGATGAACTACCTGGTACGCGAGAAACACTTTGTGTTTCATCTGGCGGGCCAGGTTGATCACATCATGAGCCTGCACGATCCGTTCCCTGATATCGACATCAACGTCAAAGGGACGGCCGTGGTGATGGAAGCTTGCCGGCAACACAACCCCGATGTTTGCGTGATTTACACGGGCACTCGCGGGCAGTACGGCAAGCCGAACAAACTTCCGGTGGACGAGACGGCCCCGCTGCAGCCGCTGGGCATCTACGAGATTACTAATGTGGCGGCTGAGCAGATCATTGAAGCCTATCACTATGTGTTTGGTGTGCGTTCGTGCCTGTTACGGCTGACCAACACTTACGGGCCCCGCGCTCAGATGCAACACTCGCGGTACGGCGTGGTGAACTGGTTCGTGCGGCTGGCGATGGACGACCAGACCATTCCCGTGTTTGGCGATGGCCAGATCAAACGCGACTTGATTTATGTCGACGACTGCATCGACGCGTTGCTGCGAGTCGCGGCGAGCGACAATGCCTGGGGCGAGGCGTTCAATGTTGGCTACGATCAACCGATCACATTCCTTGAGCTGGCCGATACGGTGGTGAAGGCCGCCGGCAGCGGGCGACGTGAGTTGGCGCCATTCTCGCCCGAGCGCGCCGCCCAAGAGCCAGGCGATTTCTATTCCGACATCAGCAAGATCGAGCGATTTCTTGGTTGGCGGCCAAAGACAGGGCTGCTGGAAGGTCTAACTCGCACTGCCGACTACTACCGCCAACATCGCAAACATTACTGGTAGTCGTCCTTCGCCACTTAAAGATTCAACGTCGATGACCGCATCCCGACCGATCGACAATCTGACGGAACTGAGGGAAGTGTTCTCTGCGCACTTGCCGTGGAGCCCTCGCGATTACGTCCATGGGATTTCCCGGCAGGGCGATCGGGCGATCTACTCCGAACAACTCACCGGGGAGATCGCCTCGGCCGACGATATGCGGTCCATCGTTACGCTTAGCGATGGCAGCGAAGTAGCGGTGCTCGCCGAGCGGCTTGCTTGGGATAGTGAATTCTTTGGCTACGGCGTGGGGCGATTGAACGGAATCTTTCCGCTGAGCGATCCTTGGCATCGCCCGCTGGCCGACTTCCGAGGTGCGGTCGATTTCGTTTGTGATGAGGCGAAAGCTCGAGACATTAAGTATCTGTTCGCGGTGGTCGAACCTCGCGACTTGGCGACCGTGCGGGCGCTTGGCGAAGCTGGCTTTGCCTTGGTCGAGACGCGGTTCTATCACTTCGGGCAAATCGAGCAGCCGCAGTTTACGGAGCGGCTTCCTGTGCGGAAGGCCATGGAGAGCGATATCCCGTCGCTAGCCAAAGCCGCCAGCGGAACGGTGAATATCTACGACCGTTTCCACGCCGACCCATTCATTAACGAAGACGACGCCAGGCGGTTGATGGAACTTTGGGTTGAGCAATCGGTGGTTGGCAACTTTGCCGACGTGGTGATTGTGCCCGATGTTCCTGAGCCGGGGGCGTTCGTCACTTACCGGTACCATCGCGACAAGTGGGAACGCTGGGGTTTGCCGTTGGTGCAAGGCGTATTGTCGGCCGTGGCCCCCGAGTTCAAAGGTTGGATGGGGAAGCTCGGGCCAGAGGTGAACTATCACCTGTTGAGCGTCGGCGCTCGCTCTTCGTATGGGAGCACTCAGGTTACCAATCGACCGATCATTTGGTTCGCCGAAGAGGCAGGGGCCCGATTCGGCAAGTGCGAGTACATCTTCCGCCGAATACTGTGATTAGCAGCCCCGCGAAAGCGCTCCTGCGTGGTGCAGATTGACTCACTTGCGCGACGGGGTGTGACGGTTATAAGGGCGTTGGGGCCCGGGGGTGGGGAAAAATACAAGTTCACCCCTGGCAACTCTCCCGTTGGCCGCAGCATCTGGCTACCATGGCAAGTGAACAAGAAGGGATGCGGTCGCAGTCCGGTCGACTGAAAGCCGTAGGCGGCGTTCGTTGCAGAACGTGCGGCACTTATCGACAACCATCAACTCCGCGTCAACCATGCCTCTCATCTCCGTAGTTGTGCCGGTCTATTACAACGCGACCAGTTTGCGCGATGTGGTCGATCGATTTCAGAAGGTCGCCGACCAAGAGCCGGAAGACTTCGAATTCATTTTCGTCGACGACGGCTCACGCGATGCATCGTTTCAGGTGATGACCGAACTCACCGAGCTCGATTCGCGGGTTCGGGCGATCAAGCTCGTTCGCAATTTCGGTTCCAACGCTGCATCTTCGGCGGGAATTGCTTACGCGAAGGGCGACGCGGTGGTGGCCATCTCGGCCGATCTGCAAGACCCGCCCGAGTTGATCGGCGATATGCTGGCCCGATGGCGAATGGGCTCGAAGGTGGTGCTGGCCGCGCGGGCCGATCGCGAAGATCCCTGGCTGACGAAGTTCACCTCGAACATCTTCTGGCGGCTGATCAAACGCTACGGGCTGCCGAACATGCCCGAGCAAGGCTGCGACTACGCCTTGCTCGATCGCGAAGTGCTGGAGGCCCTTCGGCACACCCACGAACCGAATGCCGGGTTGGGCATGGTGCTGTGGACGGGATACGAGCCTTCCATCATTTATTACAAGCGCGAGCAGCGACAGGAAAAATACGGTCGCTCGGGCTGGTCGCTGTCTAAGCGGATCACGTACCTCATCGACTACTTCGTTTCGTTCTCGCAAATGCCGATCCGAGCCGCATCGCTGATGGGATTCGGCATGGCCTTCCTTGGCTTTCTGTACGCGTGTGCGATTATCGTCTCTCGCGTGTTCCTTGGCAGCGACAGCGAGTTGGCCCGCGGTTGGTATTCGATGATCGTCGTGCTCTTGCTGGTCTCCGGGGTGCAACTCATCATGACTGGCGTGCTTGGTGAATACCTGGTTCGCACGCTGGAAAGCACCCGCCAGCGCCCGCCTTACCTGGTCGAGAAAGTGGTCGACCCGAGTAAGAAACGCAGTGAAACGAAAACGCCGCAAGAGGCGGAGTCGTTCGATTGAACCGCGGGTGAGGATCTGCATCGCCCCCGGAACGCGTTATGAACTTTCAAGACCGGAACATCTTGATCACGGGGGCCTCGAAGGGAATCGGGCTGGCCACGGCCCATCGGTTGGCGGCCTTGGGGGCGAATCTGTTCTTGATCGCCCGCGGCGAAGAGGCACTCTCGGAAGCTCAACGCGAGATTGGTGCCAAGGTTCCCTCAGCGAAAGTCGAAACGTTCAACTGCGATGTTGCCGACCACACGGCCGTGGGACGTGCTGTGGAGGCGATGCGTGAGCAACTCGGCGAAATCCACGGTGTGGTGAACAATGCCGGGTTCGCGATTGCAGACCACTTCGAAAGTATCGAGCCAGAGTCGTTCCAGCGTTTGATGGAGGTCAACTACCTGGGCTCCGTCTACACCACGAAGGCCGCACTTCCGCACATGCACGCGGGCGGGTTCGTCGCGTTCACCTCTTCGGTGGTTGGGTTCCTGGGGGCCTTCGGCTACTCGGGGTACTCGCCGGCAAAGTTCGCGCTGATTGGTTTTGCGGAATGCCTGGATCAGGAATTGCTGGACCGGGGCATTCAGGTCAGCGTGCTGTGCCCTCAAGATACCGATACCCCGGGGCTCGAGACCGAGAATGGATCGAAGCCGTTCGTGACCAAGGAACTCTCGAAGGGTGCGAAACTAATGAGCCCCGACGAGGTGGCCCAGCGGTTCATCGATGGTTTGCAGCAAGGGCGGTTTCTCATCCATGTGAGCCACGAATCGAAGTGGATTCATCGCCTCAAAGGCCTGCTGCCCGGCCTCACCCGCAAGGTGATGCACTACCAGGTGCGAAAAGCTCAAAAGAAGACATCGAGCGAGAACCGCTGAAACCGCGGGCCCCGCAGAATCCCTACAGTCCCACTCTTGCGATTCCTGAGGGCTGGCTGGGGGCTTAACCTCGTTCTGGGGGGATGAATGGTGGGACATCTTGCAGATGGAGTTTATACTCAATGGACTCGTCGCTAGTCGTGTCGCCAAGCGGGTTTCGCGCCTGTGGGGGGCGGTGCGACGTATTTTGAATTGGGCCGAAAGCCGGTGCGTGTACCTGGGGGATTTGTGTGTGCCCCTGGAGTCTTAAGTATCGCCGTGGCTTAGGCTTGGTAGCGGCGAGCTATGCATCGGCGATGTCTCGTGCGGTTGGCACGTCGTCGTGGGCCGATGAGGACGACCGTGCCACATGACGACTGCGCCATCCCGACGTGATCGATGATCGAGTATCCATCTCAGGTTAGCTACCGCCGATCGCCCGACGAGCTGCTCGCCGAGCTGCTGGCGACGCTGCGCACCGAGGCCCCCTTCGAACTCGGTCGGCAGCCACTCTCGCCGGCTATCGTTTTCCGCGCCGCCTACAGTGGGACCGAAGCGTGGTACGCGCCCCAGGCGATGACCTTGGACGAACAGGTCGAGGGGTTGCAAGTCAATCAGGCGGGCATCGACAAGCTGCACACTTGGCTGGCCGAGAAGCGTGTGGTCTACGGGGTGAACACCGGCTTCGGTGGCACCGGCGTGTTCAATAAGGGGCTCGACGACGAGGGGCTCCGCCGTCAGCAAGAAGTGCTGATCCACGGGCTGCTCGTTCATGCGGGCGGGCCCACTTTGCCGGCGTCGACCGTGCGCGCGTCGATGATCGTTCGAGTCGTGTCGAACCTGCTGGGGGTTTCGGCCCTGCGGGAAGAAGTGATGCGGCTGTTGCTGCGATTGCTACAAGAAGATGTGGTGCCGCTGGTGCCGATGAAGGGCTCGCTTACGGCCTCCGGCGATTTGGTTCCGCTGGCCTACATCGCGGCCATGATGCAAGACACCGACGACGATCGCGTGCAGGTGCAATGGCGCGGTCGCACGATGAGCGCTCGCAAGGCTCTCGACGAGTTGGGCCTGCGGCCGATCCGCTTGGAACCCAAAGAAGGGTTAGCCCTGGTGAATGGCACTTCGGTGGCCGCGGGGGCGGGCTGCCTGGCGGTGGTGCAGGGGCTGAACGCTTACTTCCTGTCGATGGTGCTCACGGCGTTAGCCAACTGTGCGGTGCGGGGCACGTTGCAGTCGTATCATCCCTTCACCGCCGAAGTGAAACCACACGCCGGACAGGTCTATGCGGGGAGGTTGATCTTCAACCTGCTGCACAGTGTTTCTGACAGGCTGGTAAAGAAGGACGACATCCGGGGATTCGCCCCCGCCCACGATTTCCGCCTGTGGCAGTTGACCTATCCGTTCCGCTGTGCGACACAACATTTGGCCCCCGAATACGACGTATTATTGGGGACCTACAACGACCTGGGCATCGAAATCAATTCGGCCTCGGACAACCCCTTGATCCTCAACGACGAGCACCGGCAGTTCATCGTTTCGGGGGGGAATTTCCTGGGGTCGACCATCGCGCGGGATATGGACAAGCTGAAGGTTTCCATTCACTCGATCGCCCGACTGGTGCATGCCCAATTCAAGTACTTGGTGCGTGGTGTAGAGCACATGATCAGCGCCACCGAACACGAGACCGTTCGCGAGCGGTTCATCGGCCCTCACGTGATTCCGCTCAGTTCGCACCCGGCCGACAACATGGGTTTCCAGGGGGTTGAGATCTACATGGATGCCCTGCTTTCGGAAATGAATCAGAAGGTGGGACCGCACTCCTCGACGTACCTTCCCTCGGAGATGGAGAACCAGGCGATCGTTTCGATGGGCCTGGCCGCCGCGCGAGGAGCCCAAGACATCGCCGAAGATACGAACTACTGCCTGGCCGGGCACTTGCTGGCCATTTGTCAGGCGTTCGATCTGACGACCCTGCCGGGAGACGTGGTTCGCGAGCACGAATCGAAACGCACGAACGCCGTGATTGAGAACCCGCGGGCGGAAGAGTTGGGCCACCTGAGGGCGGCTTACGATTTTGTCCGCCGGGAGTGTGGGATTCCCACGGTGTTCACCAGCACACGCATGCATACCTACATGGACGAGTTAGTCCGCCGAATCGAGCGGCTCGATCTGTTGTCTTATTTGTTTGAACATTCTATTCAGCCGGCACTGGCCGACGATGCATATCAACGCTATGGCCGGCAACCGCCGAGTCCGTAGAGCAACGCAACCACCAATCTTTTCTTAGTCGACTTTCGCTCATTGTCTTGAAGAACGTGCCGGTCCAAGAAGGACGCGGCGCAACGGTTTGAATCCTGTCGTTGTTACCAGCGAATGGAAGCGCGAGTGCGATGAACCTTTTCAACTCGCGAGAGCCCTACGATGGGCCAGCCGCACACCAGCCAACCCAGACGAGCCGTCGCCGAGGGGCCGCCATTGGAACCTCGCCCGGAAGCGGTGCGCACGTTGCCGCAGTGGCTCATTTGTGCGGCGAGTGACGCACCCGAGGCGGGCATTGTTTATGTGGCGGCAGACGGAGCGGAAGATCGACGTAGCTATGCGGATGTGCTGGCGGCGGCCGGACGGCGGCTGAAAGCACTTCGCGAGCGAGGCCTATCTCCCGGGCAGAAGGTCGTTCTGCTTATTCGCAACACGCACGAGTTTGTCGAGCTGTTTTGGGGCTGCGTTCTCGGCGGCATGGTGCCGGTATTGTTGCCTCCGCCCAAGGGCGAGGCCGTGGGCGACGATGATCTTCGCGATTCCAGCGACACGCAACGTTTGGCAGCGGTGTGGAAGAAGCTTGACTGCCCCCCGTTGATCGTGCCCGAGCCGTTGGAGCGGCTACGAGACGCGGTTTCCGCCATCGCAGGGCAAGAAGTATCGCTGTGGTGGACGCCGGCAGACATTGAAAGTTCGGTGGAAGACTCTCGCTGGCACCTGCGGGCGCCGAGTTCCACGGCCTTCCTGTTGTTCAGTTCGGGAAGTACCCGGGAACCGCAGGGCGTGCAGGTGACACATGACAATGTGTGGGCCAACGTGCAGGCCACCTGTCAGCACAATGGGTTCGGTGCTGAGAATGCGGCGCTGTGTTGGGCCCCGTTGTATCACGTGATTGGGCTGGTGTGCTTCCACCTGTTGCCTGTCTATGCACGTGCGACACAGGTGATGTTGGAACCTGCGACGCTGTTGAAGCGGCCCGAGTTGTGGTTCGACAAAATCAGCAAACACCGCGTGTCGTACACCGGCGGGCCGAACTTTGCGTATTCGCTGGCCACGAACCGCATCAGTGACGATCGCCTGCAAGACTGGGACTTGTCGTGTTTGCGGGTGTTGCTCAACGGTGGTGAGGTGGTTTCCGTCGGTGGGCTGCGTCGCTTCTATGAGAAGTTTCGTGCGGCCGGGCTGAGGGCCGAGGCCATGGCTCCGGCGTTTGGCATGTCGGAATCGGCCGGCGGGATTGCCTATCCCCGCGCCGATCAACCGCTAAGCACCTTGCAGCTCGAAACGGGAGCCGAGTACGCCAACTTAGGGCGCGTGCTTCCAGGGCTGACGGTGCGAGTCGTCGATGAAGATGACCAGGTGGTCGAGGAAGGCATCGTCGGCAATATCCAGATTCGCGGTCGAACCGTGACGCCCGGCTACGAGGGGAATCCGGAGTTAACGTCCGCCAGTTTTGTTGATGGCTGGTTTCGCACAGGTGATTTGGGTTTTCTGCAGAACGGGCAATTGGCCGCCGTGGGACGATCGAAGGATGTGATCATCGTCCATGGCCACAACTACTATACGAACGACTTGGAACAGGCTGCCCGGGAGGTCGCGGGGGTGGTTCCCGATCGCGTGGTAGCGAGTGCCAGCTACAGCGAGGAACTGGGGCGCGAAAGGGTGATCGTCTTTGCGGCACTTCAGTCTGATGCTGACGCGAAAGTGGTGGCAGAAGCGGTTGAGCAGGACGTGCTCAGCCGAGTGGGTGTTCGCGTTGACACGATGGTTCCGCTGGCCGACGAGCAGTTTCCACGTACTCCCGCCGGGAAGATCCATCGCTACGAACTGAAGCGATTGTTCGAAGCCGGTGCGTTTGAGCAGGAGAGGATTGATCGTTCTGCGGAGAGGGGCTCGCAAACTACTCACTCGCGGGTAGACGAATCGACTGGAAGCCCACAGAACTCGCGTCTCGAAGTGGACCGGATGTGTGAGCTGCTGGCTGAGATGATGGCCGAAGTGCTCGCCATTGATGTTGAGCATATCGACCCGACGGCGAGTTTTGTGGAGTTGGGCGTCGACTCGGTGTTGGCCGTGCAGTTGGTGCGAGATCTGGAAGATCGCCTTAAGGTCGAACTGCCGACCACGCTGGCCTACGACCAGCCGAACCTGCAAGCGTTGGCGGAGTTCTTGATCGCCGAACATCGCGCCGCGAGTACGACTTGGATTTCGGAGGATGAAACGACTACGGGTGTCGATGCTGCGACTGGCAACGAAGCTTCAGGCGAAGTCGTGAGTCCTTTAACTCCTTCAGTTATCAATGTGGTCGAGCCCGATGGACTCAAAGATCCTCGGCAGCCGATTGCGATCGTTGGAATGTCCGCCCGCTTTCCCGGTGCGAAGGATCTCGATCAGTATTGGTCGAACCTGATTGAGGGGGTCTGCTCGATTCGCGAGATTCCTTCGGAGCGATGGGATGTTTCGAAGTACTACTCACCGCGTCCGGGAGTGCCTGGCAAGACGGTGAGCAAGTGGGCCGGCATGTTGGACGACGTCGATCGCTTCGACGCCAAGCACTTCGGCATTTCTCCACACGAAGCTCAACGGATGGACCCTCAACAGCGGCTGCTGCTGGAGGTGTGCTGGGAGACGCTCGAGTCGGCCGGGTATGCCGGGGGGAATTTGAGCGGAAGCGACACCGGCGTGTTCGTTGGCATCAGCCTGCACGATTACATGCGGGGGTTGTTGGCCGAATCGAACGACGTGGATGCCTACGTGGCCTCCGGGAATTTCCTTTCCATTGCCGCCAACCGGCTGTCTTACGTGCTGGACCTGAAGGGGCCCAGCATGGCGGTCGACACGGCGTGTTCGTCGTCGCTGGTCGCCTTGCACCTGGCTGTGGGAAGTCTTCGCCGGGGCGAGTGTCATGCGGCAATTGTGGGGGCGGCTCATCTGCACTTCACGCCGGAGTTGTACGTCAACTTCAGCCAGGCGGGGATGCTCTCACCCGATGGACGGCTCAAGGCGTTCGATCGCAGGGCCAACGGTTATGTGCGTGGCGAAGGTGTGGCCGCCGTGATGCTGAAGCCGTTGGTCGACGCCCAGCGGGATGGCGACTTCGTGCATGCCGTGATTCGCGGGACGGCGGTCAACCAGGACGGGCGAACCAACGGGCTGACCGCGCCCAATCGCCAGTCGCAGGTGGAAGTGATCCGCCAGGCCCATCGCGATGCCCAGGTGAGCCCGACCGACGTTAGCTATGTGGAAGCTCACGGGACCGGCACCGTGTTGGGCGACCCGATCGAACTGCAAGCCCTCGGCGAAGTGTTTGCGGACAAGCTTCAACACGGTGCGAAGGACGAGCCGGCCGGGCGGTGCGGCATCGGGTCGGTCAAAACGAATCTGGGCCATCTCGAGCCGGCTTCTGGTTTGGCCAGCTTGATCAAGGTGGTGCTCTCGCTCGAGCATCAGCAGGTGGCTCCTACGTTGAACTTCGAGCAGCCGAACGACCATGTTCGCTTCGAGCAACTGCCGCTGTATGTGGTCGATCGTTCGCGAGCGTGGCCGCGGGGGGCTGAACCGCGGATTGCCGGAATTAGCGGGTTTGGCTTTGGCGGGACCAACGCCCATGTGGTTTTGGAAGAAGCTCCTGTGGCTGCCGCCGACTCGACGGGTGCTGTAGGGCCCAACGTCTTGACTCTCTCGGCTCAAACTCAGGCCGCACGAGCGCGTGTGGCCGAGCAACTAGCCGAGCATGTGGAGAATCACCCTGGGCAGAACTTGGCCGACATTTGTTTCACGGCCAACACCGGTCGCCGCAAACATCAACATCGGGCGGCGGTGGTTGCGAATGGGCGGAGAGAGTTGGTGGCATCGCTACGAAATCTTGCTCACCCAGAGTTCGCTCAAGACGCCATCGTCGGCGATATCAAAGATAAGTCTGCTCGTGGTCGATTGACGGAAGAGGCCGCCGAAACATTCAAACAGCTGACGGCTGAAAATTTGCGTAGGTTCCAGCATTGTTGCCGGGATGAGCGGCTGCCGGAGTTGTTTCGACAGGACCCGGCATTTGCTGCTTCAGCAAACCCGGCTGGTGGGCAAACGGCTCTGCTGCGGTTGCTCGGACTGCTTGAGACGGCGGGCTTTGAGGTCGACTGGAATAAAGTCGATTCAACGCGACAGTACCGCCGTGTGCCACTGCCGACTTATCCCTTCGAGCGTCAGCATTTTCCGCTGGTGCGACAGGATACTCTGGCATCTTCACACGAGTCTCAGCCAGCCGAGGACAGTTCCGCATCAAATGAAGCGTCACTCGCTCCGCCGAGCGATACCGAACAGCAGATCCGCATCGAATTGGCGGCGGTGCTGGGCGTGACGCCGGAGGAAGTCGACCCGGAGACGAACTACAACGAGTTGGGCTTGGACTCGATCATGGCCACCCACGTGGCCCGGCTGCTTGATCCGGAGGAGAAGTACGGACTCGATGCGTTGTCGCTGTTCACGTATCCCACGGTGCGGGAACTTGCGGAGTACTTGGCGGCGGAGTTCCCCGATTGGCAGTCGAGTGCGCCGGCGAAGGGTAGCTCTACTACGCAGATCGCACCGCACACCGCGACTCAGAGCGTACCAGCCACGGCCGCCATGCAAGACGACGCCATTGCCATTGTCGGTATGGCTTGTCGCATGCCGGGTGCCGCATCGCCGGAGGCGTTGTGGAGTGTGTTGCGAAACGGCAAAGACATGGTCGGTCCGCTGCCAGAGGCTCGCCGGCAGTTGCATCCTGCTCCGCCCGAGCGGTTGGCCCGCGGTGGTTTTCTGGAGGACGTGGCCGGGTTTGATCCGGAGTTCTTCGGTCTCACACTGCGGGAAGCCCGACTGATCGATCCCCAGCAGCGGTTGATTCTGGAGGTGGCCTGGCAGGCGATTAATTCCTCAGGGCATCGCGTGGATGAACTTTCGGAGTCGAGCACCGGCGTGTTCGTGGGCGTGTCGCACAACGACTACGGACGGATACTCCAGTCGGCCGCCCGACATCACGATGCCCAGTATGCGGTGGGCAATGCGACGTCGATGGTGGCCAATCGCATTTCGTACACGTTGAACCTTACCGGTCCGAGCCTGGCGGTGGATACGGCCTGTTCGTCATCGTTGGTGGCCGTGCATATGGCCTGCGAAAGCCTGCGAAGCGGCGAGTCGACGTGGGCCATCGCCGGGGGTGTGAACCTGATTCTGCTGCCTGACGACACGTTGGCCCTTGATGCGGCCGGCATGCTGAGCGGCGATGCACTCAGTAGGGCTTTCGACGATCGGGCCAATGGCTATGTGCGAGGTGAGGGGGCCGGTGCCGTGCTGCTGCGGCCGCTGTCAGCGGCGTTGGCCGATGGCGATACGGTGTTGGCCGTGATCCGCGGTTCGGCGGTGAATCACGACGGGCATTCGAAGGTGGGGGTGACTGCCCCCAACCCCAAGGCACAACGCCGGGTGATTGAAGATGCCTACCGTCGGGCCGGCGTGTCGCCTTCCCAGGTCAGCATGCTAGAAGCTCACGGTACAGGCACCCGACTTGGCGACCCCATCGAAGTGCAGGCATTGAGCGAGGTCTTCGCACAATCGCCTGCCGCGCCTGAGCGCTGTGCTTTGGGTTCGGTAAAGAGCAACCTGGGCCACCTGGAAGCTGCCGCGGGAATTGCCGGATTGTTGAAGGTGATCCTCTCGCTGCATCATCGGCAGTTGCCGCCCACGCTGCATGTTGAAACCCCCAATCGCCATGTGGCCTGGATGCAATCGCCGTTCTACTTGAACGAACGGCTGCGTGACTGGGATTTCGCAAGCCCTCGCATTGCCGGGGTGAGTTCGTTCGGGGCGGGCGGCACGAACGCGCACTTGGTCGTTGAAGAAGGCCCGGTGACTAGAGAGCATCACGCGAGCAGTGTTCTCTTGCCGAACGATCCCTTCAAGCGGCAGCATTGCTGGGTCGATGTGCCAGTGCGGGATGAAGAACCTGTTGGTGAACAACTCGCGGATTCGATCGCAAAGAGTAGCGGGTCTGTGGTTCCTGCGACGGCGACCATGCAGCCACGCGATGAGGTGGCCGCGGCGGAGCGGTGGTTGCTGTCGCACTTATCTGATTTGTTGGAGGTGCCCGCAGAGGCAATCGACCCGGGGCGTCCGGTGGTGGAGTCGGGGCTCGATTCGATGTTGGCCACGCAGGTGGCGAGGTTACTGGAAGAACGCCTCGGCAAACGCATTCCGCAGACGATTTGTTTCGACCATCCCACTGTGAAGCAACTGGCCGCCGCATTGGTCGATCAATATGGCTTTGTTGCGGGCCGGTCCGAAGAGCCGGCGTTGGGGCAATCGTTCGACTCAACTGTCATGCTTTCAGAGAAGCCTTCGGTGACTGCGGCTCTCCTGGAATCTGCATCCACCGATCGGCGGATTGCCATCATTGGCATTGGCGGACGCTTCCCAGATGCGGCGACAATCGACGAATTCTGGCGGAACTTGGCCGCCGGGCACGATTCTGTAAGGGAAGTTCCGCCTGAGCGGTGGTCGACCAGCCGGTACTTCAGCACCGATCGGTCGCTGGCCGGGAAGACGTATTCTAAGTGGGGTGCGTTGCTGGAGGACATCGATCAGTTCGATGCGGGGCTGTTCCACATCTCGCCTCGCGAGGCGGCGGCGATGGACCCTCAGCAGCGGTTGTTGCTCGAGGTCGCTTGGGAGACGCTCGAACGGGCCGGGTATGCCGGGGGGCGGCTTGCCGGCACGCGAACCGGAGTGTTCGTCGGCACGATGGCTAGCGAGTATCTCCCGCGGTTGCTCGCGCAGCCGTCGGCTTTGGGCACGCACATTGGGACGGGGAACGCGGCCTCGGTGATTGCCAACCGCTTGTCGTACTTGATGAACTTCAAAGGGCCCTGCCTGTCGATCGATACGGCCTGTTCTTCGTCGCTGGTCGCGTTGCACCTAGCCGTGGAAAGCCTGCGGCGGGGCGAGTGCGAGTATGCCCTGGTCGGCGGGACGCAAGCCGGGCTGGCGGTATCGCACTACCAGGTGATGAGCCGGTTGGGGGCGCTGAGCCCCACGGGGCGTTGTCGCACCTTCGACAGTTCGGCCGACGGGTATGTGCTGGGCGAGGGTGTCGGCATGGTGATGCTGAAGCCGCTCGAGCAGGCGATCGCCGATGGTGACAACATCGAAGCGGTGGTTCTCGGCACGGCCACCAGTCATGGCGGGCAGGCCGCGGGGCTTACGGTGCCCAGTGCCGATTCGCAGGCGGAGGTGATTCGCGAAGCGTTGGCCGACGCTAATGTGCCGGCCGGAAGTATCTCTTACATCGAAGCGCATGGCACAGGCACCCGACTTGGCGACCCTATCGAACTGCAAGGGTTGGCCAAAGTGTTTGCCGCAGAACACCAGCATCCCCACTCGCTCGGCATCGGGTCGGTGAAATCGAACATCGGCCATCTGGAACCGGCCGCCGGCATCGCAGGTTTACTGAAGGTGGTGCTCTCGCTGACCCATGGGCAACTTCCACCCTCGCTGCATGTCAAAGGGCCCACCGCCCAGCTGGCGCTCGAAAGTTCGCCCTTCTATGTGAACGATCGGCTTGTTCAGTGGCCTAAGTCCGTTGAACCGCGAAGAGCGGGTGTGAGCGCCTTTGGCTTTGGAGGGACGAATGCCCACGTGGTGGTGGAAGAAGCCCCGCCGGTTGAGTCGCGGCCGGAGGTCACTTCAAAACAGCCGGAGCGGTCATCGCAGTTGTTGGTGCTTTCGGCGCGAGATGCGAGGGCATTGGATGGACTGACCACGCGTTGGGCCGATTTCCTCGGTGCTCACGAGGAATTGCCCGCGGGCGATGTGGCTTACACTGCGGCGGTGGGGCGAGAGCACTTTGCCGAACGCTTGGCCGTAGTGGGGCAAGATACGAGCGAGCTTGCGGCAAGACTGCGAGCGGTTTCCTCGGAGAAAGCGTCCAATACACGTGGTGTGTGGAGCAGCGAGCCCGGTGAGCATCGCAGTCCGAAGCTGGCCGTGATGTTCAGCGGGCAGGGGGCCCAATACGCGGGGATGGGGCGGGTGTTGTACGCTACAAACCCCGTGTTTCGCGCAGCGTGGGATGTCTCGGCCGAAGCGATGGTGGGTGAGCTGGAACAACCGCTTTCCGCAGTTCTCAATGCGGACGAAAACGCGGCGGCTTTGTTGTCGCAAACGGGTTACACCCAGCCGGCGTTGTTTGCATTGCAGCACGGGCTGTGGGCCATGTGGCAAAGCTGGGGTTTGAATGTTGGGGCGGTTGTGGGGCACAGTGTCGGGGAGTTTGCCGCTGCATGTGCGGCGGGGGTGTTGTCGTGGAACGATGGGGCTCGCTTGGTCGCCACACGTGCTCGGCTTATGCAGATGTTGCCTTCAGGTGGCATGATGGCCGCGGTTCTGGCCCCGCGGGAAGCATTTACCGATCTGCTCTCACGATTTGGTGAGGCAATTTCGACGGCGGCCGTGAATGCCCCCAACAATACGGTCGTATCTGGAGAGAAGGCGGCGGTTGAATCGTTTTTGACAGAGCTGCGAAACCAAGGGATCGCCAGTCAGCGGCTCGACGTATCGCACGCGTTCCATTCGCCGCTGATGGAGCCGGTGCTCGGGCCGCTTCGCGATGCGGCTGCGAAATGTGCGGAGCATTCAGCCGGACTGCTGTGGATTACGAACCTTGCCGGCCAGCCTTGGTCAGGCGAAGAAGGGCTGCTGGCCGACTATTGGCCGTGTCAGGCCCGCAGCCCCGTGCAGTTTGCCGCATGCATTGAACGACTCTTCGACGATGGCTTCCATACGCTGCTCGAATTGGGGCCGGGCACTACACTGACGTCGCTTGCGACGCAGATTGGTCAGGGAATCGATTCTGCGAAGTCTTTGCTGGCCGTTGCCAGCCTGCGGCGAGGGCGGGATGACTGGCAGTCGATCAACGCTGCCGTGGGCGAGCTTTATGCCCGCGGTGTCGATTTCGATTGGGAAGCCTTCCATCGCCCTCATCGGCGTCGAAGGTTACCGCTGCCCACGTACGCTTTCCAGCGGCAGCGTTACTGGGTGGATGAGCAGGCTGAAGATGAAGTTGAATTGACTTCCGGCGGGAGTGAGGCAGTTGCGCAGGAGATCAATACTAAGGACTGGATTCATGAGATCAGTTGGCGTTCGATAGATGATACCGTGCCGGGGCAGGGGATCGAGGGCGACTGGCTCATTGTCGCTTTTGGTTCTGAAGGTGGGAATGCACTTGCGAATCAACTCGAAGAGTCTGGCGCTCGGCCGTACTTCGTCAATGTTGAGACCACAGCCGAGGGCACTCAACAACTAACACTTCATGCGAACGGAAAGCGGGAAGTTCTCTCTGACTTCGATGCGTTGCTCGAGCACTTGTCTTGCTTGAGCGGCATCGTGCTCACGACTGGGCACCAAGGCAATGCGGACCTTGCCGAATTTGCAGTGCAGACGGTCGCAAGTGTAGCTGTGTTCCTGGCGGCGGTTGCTCGCAGCTCGAAGTTGACTCGAGGAGGAGTGCAGTTGCCATTGTGGGTTGTCACATCGTCCGCCGAAGCTGTGGGTGAGGACGACACTGAGATCGATCCGGTGGCTGCCGCGGTCGTTGGCCTCACGCGCACAGCGAGGCTTGAACTCGCTGGGGTAGAAGTTCACAGCGTTGATGTTGCGAACGATGTGAGTGCCACTATCGCCGCGAAGGACATCGTTCGCGTGATCTCGAGCGATGTTCGTTCGCCGGAGATTGCCCTCCGCGATGGTCGGTGGTGGGAACCCGGTGTGGTGTCTTCGAGCGGGCAATTAGGACAGCAGGATAGCGGGTTCCCGACCGACGGCGTCTATCTCATCACCGGTGGATTGGGCAGCCTGGGGTTGGAAACGGCCCGAATGTTGGCCGGGTGTGGTACGCCGAAGTTGGCACTGCTTTCCCGTCGTGGTGAACTTTCCGCAGAACAACGAACGTGCATTGAGAAATTGCGAGCTTCTGGCGCCGAGGTGTTAATCGTTGCTGCGGACGTTGGTGACCGAGATTCCTTGACCGCCGCCCTGCGGCAAGTGAGGGACCAGTTCGGACCGATCGATGGCGTCTTCCACGCTGCCGGGGTGACGGAAGATGCACTGCTCCGGAACCTGGACGAGACCTCACTGCGACGGGTACTTCGGGCCAAAGTTCAGGGCACGTTACTGCTCGATGATCTCACACGGGAAAATTCCCCGTCGGTGTTTGTGTTGTACTCATCGCTGGCTTCGCTGGCCGGGAATGTGGGGCAGGGAATCTACGGGGCAGCCAACGCTTTTCTGGATGGCTACGCTGCTTCGCGCCGATCTAATGGTCGGCGCGTGGTGAGCATCAACTGGGGACCGTGGGCCGGTGCCGGATTGGCTTCCGATGCTGCGACCCAGCGGAAGCTTGAGGCCGCCTGGCTGAAGTTCATCGAACCGGAAGCAGGCCGCCAATTGCTGGCCGCAACACTGGAGCAGCCCGGTAGTCAATTCGCAGTGTTTCAACTTCAGCGGGGTGACGAGACAGAAGCAGCACACAAAGATTTCCGACCGCTGGCCTCGCTCAATTCGCCCTCCGCTACTTCGAGTTCCAAGAACTCACAAGCAGCGAACGAAGGTCAACTCAAGGCGGTAAAGCAAGAGACTGCCAGATCCATCGTACGGGAAGCGTTCGCCCGGGCGCTTGACCTTCCAGCAAACGAGTTCGATGAGCAGGCGAGCTTCCGGGACCTAGGGCTCGATTCGTTGTTAGCCGAAGAGGCGATCGACTCACTGCGGCAACGCCTGCGGTTGTCGTCGCTTCCTACTTCGCTGGTGTTTGAATACCCCACCTGCGATCTGCTGGCCAATCATTTGGCCGAGCGATACGCCGACCATTTCCGCAGCGAAGCGGAACCAAAGCCGGTCACGGTCGAATCGAAGGAACCGCAAGTCGCCATCTTGAGTCACGAACCTCGCAAAGACGCTTCGCCGACCGACCTGCACGACATTGCTATTGTTGGCTACGCGTGCCGCTTCCCCGGTTGTGAGGACGCGGAGGGCTTCTGGCGTGTGCTGCGCGACGGGGTTGATTGCGTGGGGCCGATGCCGGAGGAACGGTGGGAGATTGCCCGATCGTACGATCCGGGGCTGGCCGCTCGGTTTGGTGACGACCGGCCGCGGGGTGGATTCCTGCGGGATGTGCAATCGTTCGATCCGCACCTGTACCGAATCTCTCCGGCTGAAGCCCGACAGATGGATCCCCGGCAGCGGCTGTTCCTCGAAGTGGCCTATCAGGCGGCCGAACATGCCGGCTATGGCGGAGCCGCGTTGGCGAATTCACACTGCGGCGTGTTCGTCGGTTGTGGAGCGAACGACTACCTGCTCGATGTCCCGCCGGAGTTGCTCAGCGAGCACTCGGCCACCGGCAGCACGGCGGCTTCGGTCGCCAGTCGTCTAGCGTACTATTTGAATCTTCGCGGTCCGTGCCTGCCGATCGATACGGCTTGTTCTTCCTCATTGGTCGCCCTGCATCTGGCAACGGAAAGCCTGCGGCGAGGTGAGTGCAATTTTGCCTTCGCTGGCGCCGTGCATCTGCACTTGCGATTGGGTGGGTATCAGGCCTTGCAGCAGTTGGGGGCCCTCTCGCTCGACGGAATGTGCCGGCCCTTCGACGAGGGAGCCAACGGGTTTGTGCCGGGCGAAGGTGTGGGCGTGGTGTTGCTGCGTCCGCTTCGCGATGCGATGGCCGCCGGTGACCACATCTACGGAGTGATCAAGGGCACGGCGGTAAACAACGACGGCCGCACTAACGGGCTGACCGCGCCCAGCCCTCAGGCGCAAGTCGAGGTGTTGAAAGATGCCTGGCGGGATGCCCGGATTGACGCGTCGACGATTTCCTATATCGAAGCCCATGGGACGGGCACGGTCTTGGGCGATCCGATTGAAGCGCAAGCCCTTTGCACGGCGCTTGGTGCTACGACCTCGAAGAAGCACTTCTGCGGCTTGGGCTCGGTGAAAAGCAACTTGGGTCACCTCGATGCGGCGGCCGGCATGGCTTCGCTGTTGAAGGTATTGCTCAGCTTCGAACATGAAGAGTTGCCGGCCAGTTTGCACATTGAGCGGCCGAACCACCGTATACCCTTCGATGACGGCCCTCTGTCATTGGTCACCGCCGCGCAGCCCTGGCCGCGAGGGGAGTCACCCCGTCGGGCGGGCATCAGCTCGTTCGGGTTCAGCGGTACGAACGCTCATGTGCTTGTCGAAGAGCCGCCACGGGAGAAGGCTTGCGCCGTATCATCGCGGCCCATGCACTTGCTGACGTTGTCGGCTCACGATGAAGAAGGTGCCAAACATATCCGAAACGATTACGCCGCATGGATCGCACGTCACCCCGAAGTCGATCTGGCCGATGTTTGCTTCACCGCCGGTACCGGAAGATGGCACCTCTCGCATCGCACGGCGGTCATTGCGGCAACTCATCAGCAAATGGCCACGGCTTTGGGCGAGAGTGGTAACTCAGAGGGGTTGGTGCGGATTGATACTCCCCAGGACGAGGCTCTGGGAGAGCAGCAGATTGCGGAAGTCGCGCGACGAACGAGGGAACTCCCATATGGGGCGCAACAAGTTTTGGCGACTTGGTGCACGGGTTCGATGGTTGATGAATTGTTACCCACGGTCTCAGCGATTGAGGAAACCAGTGTGCCTGATCCCGCATCGTGGTCAGCGAAAACTTGGCACGATGTTTTGGAACTGGTGGGACGGTTCTATGTGCTTGGGGCCGATGTGGACTTCGAAGGACTTGAGTGTGGTGAAGCTCGACGTCGGGTGGCTTTGCCCACGACTCCATTGCGGCGGGAGAAGTATTGGCTACCGATCTCACGAGAAGCATCGTTGGCTGGAGTTACCACGTCGGCGAAGTTGACCAGCACAGTTTCGAAGCAACCCATCGAAGACTTGTTCTACGAACAGCACTGGCAGCCTGTCCCGCTGGACGCAGCCGACCAAACCGGGTTGGCACAGCGTTACCTATTGATTCACGCTTCTGATGGCGACACTACTTCTCGAGCGGAACGACTCGCGGAACGCTTGCGAGCGGCCGGGGCAGACTTGTTGTTTGCGCGTTTCGGAGAGGTGTTTGAGAGGACGGCCGAAGATCGGTTCCAGATCAACCCGCTTTCGATGGAAGACTACGTCTCTCTGCTCGAAGTCGTTGAGGATGCCACGACGCCCGTTCATGTTGTTCACTTCGGTTGTTGCGAAGGAAGCACAGTTCGATCTGAAGATGCGCTGGACAAGAGTCTGAGCGCCGGTCTCCGCAGTGTTCTGCATCTGGTTCAGGCTCTCGACCGGAAACGTGAACGGAATGCTACACGACTGTCGGTCGTTACGATGGGTGCCGTGAGCGTTGACGACCTTCAGGAGTGCACTTCCCCGGAGGCGGCAAGCATCTGGGGACTGTTGAAGGTTGCGGCGATGGAACTTCCGCAGGTTGCGATGCGGGCGATTGATTTGGATGCCAGTGACAACCAGATGTCCGACGTCGGCTTGTTGGTCGAAGAACTCTCGCACAAATCGCCACAGGCAGAAGTCGCGTATCGCCAGCAGAAGCGATTCACCCCGAGTGTGCGGCGCGCTGAAGTTTTCGATGCAAACTTGAATGATTCACCGCTCAAATTGAACGGCGTATATCTCATCACGGGTGGACTGGGCGGGATTGGCCTGAGTGTGGCTCGCTGGTTGGCTGAGCGATATTCCGCTCACCTGGTACTGGTGGGCAGAACGCCTTTGGGTGAGCAAAGAGGAAATGGTGCCAACAGGGTCGCCGAGATGGTTGCCGAACTGCAGGCTTACGGTGGGCAAGTCTGGTGCACGGCGGCCGATGTGGCGGATCGCGAGGCGATGGCGGCGGTGATCAAAGAGACCCGAAGACGTTTTGGACCAATCGATGGCGTGTTCCACTGTGCCGGTGTGATTCACCGGTCTCGTCTCCGCGATGTGAGCGATGAACAGTTCGAAGCGGTACTGCGGGCGAAGGTGCATGGGACTTGGGTGCTGGACGGCTTACTGCGTGACGAGCCCCAGGCTGCTTTGGTGCTATTTTCTTCGATCGCCGGGATCGACGGCAATGTTTTCCAGGGCGATTACTCAGCCGCCAGCCGCTTCATGGATTCGTTCGCTGCCTGGCGAACGGCTGCCGGCCGGACCACGCTCAGCATCGACTGGGGTCTTTGGGCCGAAGTGGGGATGGGTGCAGGCCTCGCTAGACGATTGGATGGACGCGGCCCTCAGGCTCTCTCTACGCAGGCGGCGCTGTCGGCCCTGGAACGAGCTTTGAAGTCTGGTCGAAGCAATTTGATTATCGATGCGGCTCGCGACGAAGGCAGTGCTTTGGGATCGCCGGAAGAAAAGCCCCGCAATGGGGCGAGCGTTGCTCTCCGGCCCGTTCAGGTTGAAGCAGCGATTACTGCGGTTCTTGCAGAAGTTTTGGAGACCGACCCCAACCGGCTCGATCGCCGTAGCGGACTGCTCGATTTCGGGCTCGATTCGATGCTTGCTCTGAAACTCGTGCAGCGGATTGAAACTTCGACGGGTGAACGGCTGCCGGCCACGTTGCCATTCGACTATCCCACGATCGAGGCGTTGGCCGCGAGATTGATCGCCGTGGTTCAGCCCACGGGTCTGGCACGACTTGTCGAAGGAGGTTCGGCAACCACGTCACAAAACTTGGCGACAAGCTCAACCGAGAATGCCGCGTCTGCCGCCGAAATTCCGAGCTTTTCGCGGAACGTGAGTGTCCTTCGTGATGCGGGTTCTAAGGCGTCTGGCAATGGTGACGTAAGTTCCGGCGATGCCGTAAGAAACGGCGATGCGGGTTCCAACGGTGAAGGACGCTCAGGCAGCCGTGGCCTAAGATTAAAGACTGGCCGTCGCGCGGTCAGGCTCGACCGGAGAACTCGGTAAGTGCCGCTAATTGTTCAGTTTGCAGATGGCTCACTGGTGGAGGTTGAAGGCAATCAACCTCTGACGGGAGAGGAGCGCGCTGAGCTAGAGCAACATTTCGGGGCGGCAATCGAGGAAGTGCGGTTGCAGGCGGAGAATGCTGGCCGAAGCGGCTCTCAGTTCCCCTCGGGCGATGAACTGCCAAGACAGAGCGATATCGCCATCGTCGGTATGGCTTGTCGCTTTCCCGGGGCTGAAGATCTCGAGGCATACTGGCGACTGCTGGCTTCTGGGGGCGACGCTATTTCCACGCCGCCGCCCGGGCGATGGAGGGCGAGTGACTTTGCAGATGGCGAGGCACCACTTGGCGGATTTCTAAAGGATGTGGAGCAGTTCGACGCGGCGCTTTTCGGCATCTCCGGCCGTGAAGCGGAGTTGATGGACCCCCAGCACCGGCTGCTGTTGGAAACGGCTTACACCACGTTGGAAAATGCCGGCTACGCAGGCCGGAAGCTCGACGGTAGCCGAACCGGGGTGTTCGTGGGGATCAGCAACAGCGAGTACATGCATCGCTTCTTGCGGCATCCCGAGCGGATCGAACGCTACATGGGCTCGGGTAACACGCTTTCAATGGTGGCCAACCGGCTGTCGTATCAGCTCAACCTGCACGGGCCGAGCATGGCGATCGATACGGCCTGTTCGGCCTCGCTGGTTGCTGTGCACCTGGCGGTTGAGAGCCTCGTACGTGGCGAGTGCAATACCGCGCTGGCCGGCGGGGTGAACTTGATGTTCGCCCCAGAGATGTTCATTAACTGTCGCCGCGCAAAGATGCTCGCTGCCGACGGGCATTGCAAGACGTTCGATCAAGCGGCCGACGGCTACGTGCGGGCTGAAGGCGTGGGGCTGGTGTTGCTGAAATCGCTGATGGCGGCCCTCCGTGACGGGGACACCATTCACGCCGTAATAAAGGGGACGGCGGTAAACTCCGACGGGCGAAGTGCGGGGCTAACCGCACCGAGTGGTCCGGCTCAAGTCGAGTTGCTGGCCGATGCGTATCGGCGGGCGGGAATCGCTCCCAGTTCGGTTTCTTACCTGGAAGCCCACGGCACGGGCACCAGCTTGGGCGACCCAATTGAAGTGGGGGCGTTGACCGAGTTCTTCGCTCCGCATTTGGCCCAACAGTCGTGCGCGGTTGGTTCGGTGAAGACCAATATCGGTCACGCCGAGTCGGCTGCTGGAGTGGCTGGGCTATTGAAGGTGGTGCTTTCGCTCACCCACGGTCAGCTTCCGCCCACACTGCACATGGTCGAGCCGAATCGGCACCTGGCGTTTGAGCAGTCGCCGTTCTATGTGAACGACCGACTTGTTTCGTGGCCGCAGGGTAACGGACCTCGACGAGCAGGGGTGAGTGCGTTTGGATTCGGCGGCACCAACGCCCATGTGGTGGTGGAGGAGGCTCCCGCGGTTGTTGGTGATGAACGAGATATTGCCGACGTACTGGAGCGATCGTCGCACGTTTTGTTGCTTTCGGGGCGAGATCGTAAGGCGTTGGATGAACTTGCTACGCGGTGGAGCGAGCATCTGCATGCGAATCCTGGGTTGTCGTTGGGCGATGTGGCCTTCACGGCGGCTGCGGGGCGTGAGCATTTTGCCGAGCGGATGGCGGTGGTCGCGTCGAATACCGAGGAGTTGGGCAAGCGGCTGAGTGAAGCCACAACTATCGATACGAAGTTGCCGAAGGGAGTTTGGCGGGGGAACCATGGAAGTAGCCGTCGACCGAAGGTGGCTGTGTTGTTTAGCGGCCAGGGTGCACAGTACGCCGGGATGGGGCGGGTGCTGTACGACACACAACCGGTCTTCCGTGAGGCGTGGGATGCTTGTGCCGAAGAGTTGGAAGCGGAGTTGGATCATCCGTTGAAGGCGGTGCTCGCCACCGACGAACAGGCCACGCGGTTGTTATCGCAAACGGCCTACACCCAACCGGCCTTGTTCGCTTTGCAACGTGCGTTGTGGGCGATGTGGGAAAGTTGGGGCTTGGAAGTCGAAGCGGTCGTGGGGCACAGCGTAGGTGAGTACGCGGCCGCCTGCGCTGCCGGAGTTTTGTCTTGGTCTGATGGGGCTCAACTCGTCGCTCGACGGGCGCGGCTGATGCAGGCCTTGCCAGAGGGCGGGGGCATGGCCGCCGTGTTGGCTCCGTGCGGAGTGGTCGCGCCGCGGCTCAATCGCTTTGCCGACCGGCTTGCGATTGCCGCCATCAATTGTCCCGGCAACACCGTGGTTTCTGGCGATGTCGACGCGCTGGAAGAGCTGCTGGCCGAGCTTCGTGGCGAACATACTGCATCGCAGCGGCTGGAAGTTTCGCATGCGTTTCACTCAGTGCGAATGGAGCCGGTGCTGGAGTCGCTGCGGAATGTGGCGGCTCAATACCCAGAGCAGCAACCGCACCGGACCTGGATCACGAATCTCTCGGGCGAACGCTGGTCGGCGGAGCTTGGTTCGTTGGCCGACTACTGGGCCGCGCAGGCTCGCAACACCGTACAGTTCGCTGCTTGCTCTGAGTCGCTGCTGAATGATCATGCAGATGTTCTGTTGGAGTTGGGCCCCGGCACTACGCTTTCTTCACTGGCAGGGCAGGTGGTTCAAAGTATCGCTGGGAAGCGCTCTTCGCCTTTGATCGCTCCCTCACTTCGCCGGGGCCGTGACGATTGGCACTCGATCTCCGAGGCGGTGGCGCAACTTTACACCCATGGTGTGGAGCTTGACTGGGAGGCATTCCATCAGCCCCACGCTCGACGTCGACTCCCGCTGCCGACTTACGCATTCCAGCGGCAACGCTATTGGGTTGAAAGCGATGAACCAACGGGCGGATCGTCTGAACGGGCTGGAATTTCTGCTTCCGCATCGCAGCCTCACACCGCATGGTTCTATGAACCGCGATGGCATGAACTGATTGAGGAATCGCGCAAGCGAGTTATCCCAAATGGCACTTGGCTCGTCATCGGTGGTCTTAAGGCCCTGGCCGATTCGTTGACCGCAAGGCTGCGAGACCAAGGGCGGCGCGTGGTTGTGGCTAGAGTTGTAGTGCCTTTCCAAGGCATCGCAGGTGACACGTGCTCGATTGATCCCACGTCGGCCGACGATTACCAGCGATTACTGGAAGCGATTCAATCCTCGGGTGAGCAACTGGCGGGCATCGTCCATCTGGGCGATTGTTCCGTCGAGAATGATGTCCCTGAGGAAGAAGCGTCGCTTCAGGAGACGATCGATACAGGGGTGGGTTCGCTCTTCCACTTGACCAAGGCCATCGCTTCTACCGTCGCGAGCTCAGTCGAACTGTGGGTTGTCACCACCTGTGGTCAGGCGGTTTCAAGCACATCGCAGCTTAACCCCGCCGGAGCTTGCTCGTGGTCGCTGGCTCAAGTGGCGGCCACGGAACTCTCAGCGGTGGACGTTCATCGCGTGGATCTGAGTTCTGCCGATGTAGACAACGGTGATGCGGAAGATCTGCTGTGGACGGAGCTTTGCTCGGAGCATGGTCCCTCGGCCGTGGCTATTCGCGGTAAGAAGCGTTTCGTTTCGCGGCTCGAACCGTTCGAAGTTCCTGAACAAGCACGAGACACGCAGCCGCTCCTCGCCGACGGAGTCTATTTAATCACTGGTGGGCAAGGGCATGTCGGCAGTCAATTGGCACGTGGCATTCTCGAATCGCTTGGCCCTGGGGCACGGCCCACGTTGGTGTTGACTAGCCGAACGTCGCTGCCTGAGGGCGATGGTTCGCCGGAGGCTGATTCAGAGGTGGCCAATCGTCTGGCCCGGGTTGCAGGGCTTCGCAAACTTGGGGCTGACGTGTGGACGCCGGTTGTTGATGTGGCCGACCTCGAGGGAATGCGTTCGCTGGTTGATAAGATCCTGCGTCGCTATGGAAAGCTGGACGGGGTGATTCACGCAGCCGGGCTGCTTGAAGACGGGGTGCTCGCGCGGCGTACTTCGGAGCAGTTCGCGGCAGTGATGCGCCCGAAGGTGCAAGGGGCCTGGGTGCTGCACGAGGTGACGAAGCAACTGCCGCTTGATCTGTTCGTGCTGTGCTCGTCCAGTGCGTCGATCTATGGCGAGCCCGGGCATGCAACCTACGCCGCGGCGAACGCGTTTCTGGATGGATTGGCACACCACCGAAAACTGAAGGGCCTGCCGGCACTGGCGATTGATTGGGGACCCTGGGAGGGAACCACTGCTGCGGCCTCTGAGACGTACCGCCGCATCATGCAACAGCGTGGGTCGCACTTCATCGAAGAGTCGCAGGGCAGGGCGTCCTTCCTGCGAGCGTTGCAGCTCGACGTGCCGCAAGTGGCGGTCATCCATCTCGACGCTAACCGTCGGAACGATCCGTTGGGATTGGGAGCGAGGTCAGGCGAATCCACTTCGACCGTTGCTGAGTCTTCCGAAGTCTGCTGGAAGGAAATGATCGGGGCTGCAACTGATGCGTCGCTGCAGGCCGACCGAGAACTTGTTCCCGTGTTGAATCGCTACCGTGGTGTCGGCAGTCAAATTGATCGCCTGTGCGGGCTCTATGTGGCCCGGGCGTTTGCCAACCGCGGGCTATTGCAGAAAATCGGGCAGGAATTCGGCGAACGTGAGATCCTTGAGCGATTAGCAGTGAAGCCGCCGCTCGATCGGGCAGCGCCGCGACTGGTTGAGATGCTCGACGAGGATGGGGTTCTCACTCGGCAGGCAAACCAACTGAGAGTTGCCCGCACGGTTGCCGAGGATGAACCGCAGCGTTTGCATGCTGAAATCGCCAATGCGTATCCCGATGTTCGTCCGCAGTTGGAACTGCTCAAGCGGGCGGGCGAGGCGCTGGGTTCGATCCTCGATCGGCGACAATCGGTTCTGGACGTTCTCTTTCCGTCTGGCGACTCGAACGATGCGGAAGCCCTATACCGCGAATCACCCTTCGTGGCCTACTATCACACGGTGGCCAAGGCCGCCGTTGAGAATCTTGCCCGCGAGGCGACTGAAGAGCGGCCGCTGAGGATTCTCGAAATCGGTGCTGGCACGGGGTCGACCACCACTCCGCTGCTGGAAGTCTGCTCGCAGTTTCCGTGTCGCTACGATTTCACCGATATCTCGCCCGCGTTTTTGCGGAAGGCGGAAACTCGATTCGCGGCTTACCCGTTCGTTGCGTATCAGCGACTGGATATCGAACGGCCGCCGGAAGATCAGGGATTCGATCTCGGCTCGTACGATCTGATCGTAGCGGCCGATGTGTTGCATGCTACGGAAAGCATCACCCGAACGCTGGGGCGTGTGGCCGGCTTGCTAGCCCCGGGTGGCACGTTGTTGTTGCTTGAAGCCACCCAGGCACTGCGCTTCGGCGAGCTTACGTTTGGTCTCACCGATGGCTGGTGGCGATTTGCCGACGACAGTTACCGCACTGCAGGGCCGTTGCTTTCGACGGCCGCTTGGAGCGCGGCACTCGAGGCCTCCGGGTTCGACGCCGTCTCCACATTCCCAGCCGGACCACTTTCCGACGACGCGTATCGCGATCATCACTTGCTGCTTTGCCGACGTTCGGTTGCGGCCACCTTGGACAAAGTTTCGGAACGCACGATCCAAAGTGAGGCACCCAAGCCCTCGGCATTGAAGGAACACCGAGCTGCGGTACCCTCTGCCGACGATCTCACTCCGCTGATCGACCTGCTTCGAGAAATTCTGGCCGAGGTGCTACGTACCCCGGCCGGGCAACTGGACATCGACGCGGCGTTTCAGGATCAGGGTGTCGACTCACTGATGCTGCTCGACGTGATCGAGGCCTTGAAACAGAAGCTCGCCATCGAGTCGCTCAGCCCGCCGGTTCTTTACGAACATTCGACCATTAAGGCGCTGGCGAGCTACTTACAGCAAAACCACGCCGCTGCGATCGGTAACGTGATGGGAACAAACGCTGAAGAAACACGTTCAGCGATCCCGGCAGCCCGGCCGGACCCCGTTAGAACAGAATCAACTTCACAGCCGGTCGCCATTGTCGGCTATGCCTGTCGTTTTCCTGGCGCCAACAATGCCACCGAGTATTGGGCGAATCTAATCGGGGGCGTCGACAGTGTGACGGCGGTTCCTTCCCGGCGACGTGACCTGGCTGAAGCGATCGGTCAGAAGGTCGGTGATGCAGCCAACGAGCACCACTATCAAGGCGGCTTCCTCGCCGGAATCGACCGGTTCGACCCGCGGTTTTTCAGGCTGTCGCCACTTGAGGCCCGGCACATGGATCCGCGGCAGCGTCTGGCGTTGGAGGTAGCCTATGAGGCGGCCGAGCATGCCGGCTATGGGGGCGATGCTTTACTCGGTACAAGCACGGGCGTGTTCGTAGGTGCCGGAACGCAAGATTACCTGGCCACGTCCGGGCCCGGGGAGGCCGGAGAGTTTTGGACCACCGGATCAAACCTGGCGATGCTCCCCTCGCGGTTGGCGTACTTCCTCGATCTGCAAGGGCCTTGCCTGCCAGTTGACACCGCGTGTTCCTCTGGGCTGGTTGCCGTTCATCTGGCCGCCGAAGCCATCGCCACGGGGCAGTGCGATCGAGCGTTTGCCGGAGCGGTGCATCTCAATCTGCGGCTTACGAACTTCGAAGCGTTCGACGCTCTAGGGGCGTTGGCACCCGGGGGACGCTGCCGTGCGTTTTCTTCTGATGCCGACGGATTCGTTCCCTCGGAAGGTTGTGGGTTCGTCCTGCTGCGTCCGTTGGCCGATGCCCTTCGCGACGGCGACACGGTGTATGGCGTCATTCGTGGCTCGGCGATCAATAACGACGGCCGCACCAATGGACTCACAGCACCCAACCCCGCCGCGCAACGTTCGGTAATTACGCGAGCTTGGCAAGCCGGGCACATCGATCCCGAGACGATCAGCTACATCGAAACTCACGGCACCGGCACGCAACTGGGCGACCCGGTGGAGATCGAAGCGCTCGATGCGGCCTTTAAGCAGCACACAGCCCGCAAACTGTTCTGCCAATTGGGGGCGGTAAAAACGAACATCGGGCACTGCGAAGCCGCGGCCGGCATGGCGTCACTGATTAAGGTGCTGCTGTGTCTGGAGCACGAGCGATTGCCGGCCACGCTGCACTTCGATCGCCCGAACCCGCACATCAATCTCCCGTCGACGGCGTTCGAGGTGACAACCGAGAACCGTGATTGGAAGCATTCTGCTTCGCCGCGTCGGGCGGGAATCAGCAGTTTTGGTTTCAGCGGCACCAACGCCCACATGGTGCTGGATGAACCGCCGGCGATCGGAACAATGCCAGGGCCGGGATACCCGCCCTACGTGTTGGCTTTCTCGGCCCACTCCGAGACCGCACTTGATCTCATGCTCCAAAGATACGTCGAGTTTCTCGCGGAACCTGGTGATGCCTCCCTCGCGGATATTGCGTTGACCGTCAACACCGGCCGGCCGCATCTCAAGTGTCGCGCGGTTGTCGTGGCCTCGACAAATAACGAGCTAAGAAGTCGACTGCAGTCGCTACTGAACGCTTCGCACGACCGCCGAGAAGTGGCAGAGCAAGCCCTGCGAGGTTCGACGCTCGATGACAAAGAGCTGCGCAGTCGCATTCAGCAGGAACTGCCGAGGCTTTCCGCATCGCTTTCGGACTCGGCCACTCGGGTGCTACTGCATTGCTGTCACACCCCAGGGTTGCGAGATGTTCTCGCATTGCAGACCGGTCATGGCGAGGGAAGAACGACGGATCCACCGCGTTGGCATCAATTAAGCGACGCCGATCGGAATGCTTTGGCTCCTATCCTGGCCCTACTTCAAAGCTGGGGAGCAACGATCGATTGGAGCGACTTGTTGGAAGGGGCAACCGCCCGGCACGTCGCACTTCCGAATTATCCCTTCGAACGCAGATCGTACTGGCTGCATCCCGAGATGCTTTCGGACGAGAGAGCAAAGGAGTCGATTGCCGAAGATGAGGGCGGTCCCGCACTGTATCAACTTGCCTGGGAGCGTAGCGAGGCGATTTCACTAGTCGCTAACGACCTTGCATCCACCGATCTGTCTGGCATTTGGCTGTGGTTCTCCGAGGACGCAGTCGACCCGCTGGCCGAAGAGCTAGAGACACGGATTCACGCTGCCGGTGGTGAACTCATTCGGGTTGTGCTAACTCAAGGTGCTCAGTCGGATAATCGGGATTTGCGAACGCTCGACCCCGAGTCTCGCGCTGGATTCGATCGTCTCATCGCGGAAACGTGCAGCCGGTACTCGACCCCCGTTCGCCTAGCCGGTGTGTTTTACTCAACCACGAACGCACAACTGGCAGACGACGCATCAACTGACGCAGTGCTTTCACGCGTGAAGTCCCGCACCGCTTGGATGGTGAACCTGACCTCAGCACTGGCTCGAGCGGTGGGCAACGGTAGCATCTCGATTCAGAACTCGAAGTGTCTGCTCATCACTCGCGACGCCCAGACCATCGCCGATGCAGGCGGAGAGATGTCCCTGGATGTCGCCGCCGCACCCTTGTTAGGGTTTGCCCTCACTTGGCCGCACGAGTTGAGTGGCATCCGTCAGAGAAGTGTTGATCTGCCCCGGACGATCGATGCAACTCACGCGGCAGACTGTGTGTGGAATGAGCTACATGCCATCGCGTCCGCCTCCGCGAAGAGTTCAACCGAAGTGGTCTACCGCCAGACCCAACGGTACGTCCGCAGTATTCGTTCCAGTGATCAATCGTCTTCGACTCCTCCCTGGAAACAAGGCGGGGTGTACCTCATCACCGGCGGAACCGGCGGGATTGGTTGCCAATTGGCGTTCCGCCTCGCCCGCGATTTCGCCGCCCATCTAATCATTACGGGCCGCACTTCGCTTCCATCTCCCGAGGAATGGAATGCGTACATTGAGTCCCAACCAGAATCGGACTTGGCCTCTAAGATCCGCTTCCTTCAAGAGTTGACGGAGGCCGGAGCCGCAAGTGTGATCTATGCCGCAGGCGACCTTGGCGATCGGTCGCACGTCGCAGATATCTTCACCCACATTGACCAGCATTTTGGTCGTCTTGAGGGAGTCCTGCACGCTGCAGGCAATCTCGATCGAAAAAACCTTGCCCTCCGCACCAAGTCGCTGGAGTCCATCGACGAGGTGTTCCGGCCGAAGGTCGCCGGCAGTTTGCTGGTAGCCGAGTTCGCTGCCCGCTTCAACCCACAGCAGTTCGTTTTGTTTTCTTCGATCGCGACGCTTTCCGGTGAGTTGGGAGCGTCGGAAAGCGATTACGCGGCTGCATGCCGCTTCATGAATCACTTGGCCTGGAGTCTCCGTCGTCGCGGAATACCTTCCGCCCAGTCCATCTTGTTGGCCGAATGGGGATCGACCGGAATACTCGCCACCGCCGAAGTTGGCCCGGCCGTTCGTCGGTTAGGGTTGATTCCACTTTCCGACGCAGATGCCCTGGCCGCGTTCGAAGCGGCCCTTGGTCTGCCGTCCGATCATGCGATTGTTTTGCAGCCGGGTCTTGGTTTCGCGGCCGAGCGGCTGTTGGGTGAAGAGACGGCATCCGCCAAGCAACCCGCTCCGCAACGGGAGTCGCAACATCCGATTGCAAAAGCGGTCGATCGTAAACCGACTCCAACGCAAGACTCTGACCAAGCCGCAGCCGAGGCTCACGACATCTTGCTGTCAGCCCTTGGCCACCGCATATGCAAGTTGCTGGAACTGCCGGAGAGTGATTTTGATCCATCAGTCAACTTCATGGACTTGGGTTTCGACTCGGTTCTTGCTGTGCAGTTGGCCCGCAGCATCAACGATGAATGGCACACGGCTCTCGAACCTCTGGCATTATTCGACCATGCCAACACCCAGCGGCTTGCCGAGCACCTTTGGCAGTCTCACCGGGCAGCGATCGAACAGAATGTTGCAGGTGTCGCTGCGAGCACAGACGAACTTGCATCTTCTGAAGAACTGACCGCCGAAAACAAAACCCCATCGGTTCTCGCTCCTGCCACGCGCTCATCATCGCCGCAGGTCTTAAAGCCGAAGGCGGCCAAGCCTACACAGATCATTACCCCTTCAGTCGCTTTATCACGGAGCCCCAATCAACCGCAAGCACATGAGACCGACATCGCCATCATCGGGCTCGATTGCCGCCTGCCCGGGGCGGACGACCTCGAGTCATTCTGGGATCACCTCCGTCACGGTCGCAATCTCGTCGGCAAGGTTCCCCAAGAACGTTGGAACCTGTTGCCAGGTGGGCAGAACCCGCCGTTTGGAAGTTCAGCCGCACACCGGAAGTCGCTGCAAGGTGGTTTCATCTCAGGTGTAGACCTCTTCGATGCCCCGCTGTTTGGCATCTCGCCGCGCGAAGCCGAGTTGATGGATCCGCAGCAGCGATTGTTCCTCGAGGTGGCTTGGAACACCGTTCATCGGGCCGGATATTCGGTGGATGATCTCAGCCAAGCTGCGACAGGCGTGTTTGTTGCCATCTCGACTAACGATTATCAGCGACTTTGCGGAGCCGCCGTACAAAACCAGCCGCATGCCATCCCGTCGGCCGCGATCTCTATGATCGCCAATCGCGTGTCCTATCTGTTTAACCTGCATGGCCCGAGCATCACGCTCGATACCGCCTGCAGTTCGTCCCTGGTTGCCGTGCACTTGGCTTGCCAGAGCTTGCTAAGTGGCGAATCGCAAGTCGCCCTGGCTGGTGGCGTGAATCTGATTCTCGACCCCGCGGGTACAGAACTCGTCGGGCAGGCGGGCATGCTTTCACCTAAGGGCCGCTGTCAGGCGTTCGATGCTGCGGCGGATGGCTTTGTGCGTGCTGAGGGTGTAGGCGCCGTGCTGCTCAAACCGCTGGCTGATGCCCTTCGCGATGGCGATCACGTTCTGGCGGTCATTCGCGGCACGGCGGTGAACCACGATGGCCGTGAAAAGATTGGACTCACCGCACCGAATCCGACGGCCCAGCGGCAGGTGATTACTCGTGCTCAGCAGGTGGCTGGTGTTTCGGGTGAGACGATTGGGTTGTGGGAAGCGCATGGGACGGGAACTTCGCTGGGCGACCCGATCGAGTGGGATGCGGCTTCGCAGGCGATTTCGTCGTCAACATCACGGCGGGGGTTCTGTGCGATTGGTTCGGCGAAGACGAACGTGGGGCATGCCGAAAGCTGCGCGGGCCTGGTCGGGCTGGCCAAGGCGGTGTTGACGCTCGAGCACGCCACCCTCCCGCCGACGCTGAACTTCGAAGAACCGAATCCGCATCTGTCGCTGGCCGGCAGTCCGTTTTATGTGAACGACCGTCTGCGCAGTTGGCCTCGCGCGACGGATCATCCCCGCCGCGCGGCGGTCAGCAGCTTCGGCTTCGGCGGGACGAACGCCCACGTCATCCTGGAAGAAGCCCCAGCACCTGCACGCACAGAACGCACCTCACCCGAGCGTCCCGCCCATCTGCTCACGCTTTCGGCCGCCACGCCAACCGCCTTGAAAACCCTGGCCGCTACCTACGTCGAGTACCTCGACACGCACGCCGAGGTGTCGCTAGAAGACCTCTGCTTCACGGCGAACCGCAGTTATGCCGCGGGGGCGTATCGGCTGGCGGTGGTGGCACGCTATCGGGATCAGCTTTGTGACAAGTTGCGGCTGTATGGTCAGAGTGGGGATGAAGGGCCGCTGGCCGGGTCGCTGATCTTCACGCGGATGGAAGATGAAGACCGCCGGGAGGAGTTCCTGGAACAACAGGTGTTTGCGCGACTGGCGAAGCTGCCGGCCGAGGCACGCGAGTTGGCTACCGCATGGTGCGGTGGACGCTGGGGTCGGCGGTTGTCGCATTGGTTAGCCGAGCGAGGTGAGGAAGCATCACCTGCAGGCGCTTCGCTTTCGCCGGAGGATTGGGTCGAACTCTACGCGGCCTTGGCTGCCTGGTACGCGATGGGTGGCACGTTGCGGCTGGAGGCGATGCAGCCTGTGGGGCGTCGGGTGCCGTTACAGAACTATCCGTTCGAACGTCGACGGTACTGGCTACCGACGACACCACGGCGGGAAGCGCCGCAGGTTGTGGAAACGCATCCAACGACGAACGAGCCATCGCTTGAGACCCTCGGTTCCTGGTTCTTCGAGCCGCAATGGGAGCGATTCACGCCCGAAGGTTCTTCAGCGATCTCGGGCCGGTGGCTGGTTGAGGGCTCTGAAGGTTCATCGCTGACCGCTGCGATTTCCGCAGAACTCAAGTCGGTCGGTTGTGAAGTTGAATTAGTAGCCGAGTCTGGCAGTGCACTCTCCGGCGTGGTGGTCGTTATAGAAGAGTCGCAAGATTGGGACGAAACGACTGACGCTACTTCGGTTGAAGGCGAAGTGTTGGATCGCTTACAGGCTTTGGCTTCATACGCGGCGACGCTTAACGAAAAAGCCGATTCACAACAGCTGCCCGTGTGGTTCATCACCCGCGGTGGACAGCCGGTGAATGATCCGGCGGCGGCCGATCCTCGCTCTGCGGCAGTTGCAGCCTTGGTGCAGGTGATCGGTCAGGAGTATCCGGAACTCGACTGTCGTGTGATCGATCTGCCGGCAGCGACGACAGACGAATCCGCTTCGGACGTTCTGGAAACTCTCGGCTACAACTCCGCCCCGCCAGTGATCGCCTGGCGAGAGGATGTGGCTTGGTCCCGACAGTGGCAACCGAGTGACGTGACGTCATTACCTAGTGCTTCACCACCCTTCCGCGCCGGCGGGGTGTACCTCATCACCGGCGGTCAGGGGAACATCGGCCTGGAACTGGCGGCCCGGCTGGCCAGCGAAGGAATTTCCGGAGAGCCTGTACGGTTGGTATTGGCTTCCCGACAAGCACTGCCGGAAGAGAGCCAGTGGGCTGCATATCTGAATTCGGCCGATTCGGACTCGACGCTTGCGGCCCGCGTTCTCAGTATTCGTCGACTTAAAGCCGAACACGCCTGTGAGGTGTGGCCGGTCGTGCTTGATGTGGCGGACGAAGCGGCGACCGTCAAACTGCTGGATCAGATAGACGGACGTTATGGCCGGCTCGATGGTGTGGTTCACGCGGCTGGCGTTCTACAGGACGGGATGCTGTGGAATCGTACAGCCGAAGAACTCTCGGCCGTGCTGCATCCCAAGGTGGCCGGCACGTGGTCGCTATTAAAGGCTCTGAGAGATCGCTCGCTCGATTTCTTGGCGCTCTGCTCTTCGATGTCGGCCCTGGAACCGTTGGCCGGGCAGGGGGCGTACGCGGCGGCGGGTGCGTTCATGGACGCGGTGGCCGCCCGAGCCAGAGTGGACTGGCAGTTGCCGGTAACGACGATCAACTGGGGTTTTTGGGGCGAGACCGAGGTGGCTGCCCCGCAGCACTACCGCGACTTCCTGGGTGCCCAGGGTGTGCAGCCGATGTCGAATCTCGAAGGTCGAGCCGCCTTCGCCGCGGCGTTAGCCCTTGGTCGACCGCAAGTGATCATCACGCCGCTTGCCCAAGAGAAAGCTGGACTTTCGAACGCCGCCTGGTCGGAAGTTAATGCAGCCGCCGCAGCAGCAAGTCAACAAGGACTCGAAACGCTGGCCAGCGAAGCCGCCTCACTGGCGGAAGGCCTAGCGATCCTCGATCAGCTTTCAGCCCGCTATGTGGCGTCAGCTTTGGCGAGTGTGGGGCTGTTCACTGCTGAAGGCGCGACGCACGAGCGGGCGGAGATCGTCAGTCGCCTGGAACTGCTACCGCTGTTCGAACGGCTGCTCGATCCGCTGCTGACGATGCTGATCGAAGATGGTTTGTTGGAAGCGGTCGGTGAGAACCGCTGGCGATCAACTAAAGCATTGAGTTCGGAACCGAACACGGCCGCACTCGAAGCGCAGCTTAAAACCGTCTGTCCGCTGCTTTCACCGCAAGCCGTGTTGCTGTGCCGGTGCGGGGCCGAACTGGCCGGCGTTCTCTCCGGCCGCACCGATGTGCTGGGGCTGCTGTTCCCCGGCGGTTCGCTGGCCGACACGGAAGCATTGTATGCCGACTCACCGCTGTCACGGTTCTATAGCAACGTGGTGGCGGCTGCGATTGGCACGGCGGTGAACAGTACAAGTGACGAAGTGCGGCTGCTGGAGATCGGTGCCGGCACGGGCGGAACGACCCGATCGGTACTGCCGGTGCTGCCCGCGGATCGCAGCCAGTACACCTACACCGATCTCTCGCGGGCCCTGGTCCTCAAAGCCCAGGAGCGGTTTGCTGAGTACCCACAGGTTCGCTATCAGGTGCTCGACATTGCGGAGGATCCGACGGCCCAAGGTCTCGATGCCGGCAGCTTCGACATCATCCTGGCGGCCAACGTCCTGCATGCGACGCATGACCTGACCGAGACGCTCTCGCACGTTCGCCAGTTGCTCACCCCCGGCGGACTGCTGGTGCTGGTCGAAGCGACGGGGATTCAGCGATGGGGGCTGCTGACGTTTGGGCTGACCGAAGGTTGGTGGTGCTTCGACGATGCGGAGCTACGTACGGATAGCCCGTTGCTCACGCTCGATCGCTGGCGAGAGTTCCTGCCGACGGTTGGGTTCGTTGATGTGACTACATTGCCCGAGGGCGAAGCGGCGGCCGAGGTTACGCAGCACGTCCTGTTGGCCCGGGCCGATGCGACGGTGCCCGCGGGTGAGACGGTTGTAGAACCGACAGAAGAAGCGGTCGCCCCATCAACAGTTGATCCGACTCCCGAAGTCAGTACGTCGTCACTGGAACGGACGATCGCTCGGGTGCTGGAAGAGGTGCTGCGGTTGGAGCCCGGCCAGTTGGATCGCCGGCGTTCGTTCCAAGACCAGGGCTTGGACTCACTGCTGGCGTTGGAGTTGGTTAGTCGGTTGAAGACGGCAGTGGGTGTGTCGCGGTTGGGGCCGGCGGTGTTGTTTGAGCATCCGAGTGTGGCGGAGTTGGCCGGGTACCTGGCGGAACAGGGGGCGGTGGTTGTTGCTACGGGTGAAGCTTCGCCCAAGCAGTCGGCGGTGGTGAAGAAGGCTCCCGCCAAGGTTAAGCGTTCGGTGCCGTCGGCTCGTTCGGTGATGAATGAAAAAGAAGCATCTTCGACAGCGACATCCGGCATTGCGATCGTTGGTTATGCACTGCGATTGCCGGGCTGTGGTTCGGGGGATGAACTGTGGCGGGTGCTGGTTGAGGGCCGAGAGGAAGTCGGTCCGGTGCCGGGTGCTCGGCGGTTGCTTGCTGGGCGCGAAGATGTGTCGGGCGTGGGTGGATTCCTCTCAGACATCGAACAGTTCGACGGGCGATTCTTCCGCTTGTCTCCGGCTGAGGCCACGGCGATGGACCCGCGGCAGCGGCTGTTCTTGGAAGTGGCTTACGAAGCGCTCGAACAGGCGGGCTACGGTGGTGGTCGGCTCTCGGGCCAGCGGTGCGGCGTGTTCGTCGGCGCGGGAAGTCAGGATTACCAGGCCGGCAGCGGCGGTGGTGCCGGCGGCGTTTACTGGGCGACCGGCGCCAGTCCTTCCATCCTGGCCAGCCGCTTGGCGTACTTCCTCGATCTGCACGGTCCGTGCTTGCCGGTCGATACGGCGTGCAGTTCTTCGCTGGTGGCGTTGCACTTGGCCTGCGACAGTCTAAGGAACAGTCAGTGCGATACAGCCCTAGTCGGTGGCGTTCACTTGAATCTGTGGTTGGCCAACTTCGCGGCGTTCGAGCAGATGGGCGCGCTTTCTGCTTCAGGTCACTGCCGGGCGTTCGACGCTTCGGCCGACGGGTTCGTTCCGGCCGAAGGTTGTGTGGCCGTGTTGTTGAAACCGTTAGAGGCGGCCATCAGTGCGGGCGATACGATCCACGCGGTGATTCGCGCTACGGCCACCAACAACGATGGTCGGACCAACGGGCTGACCGCACCCAATCCAGCGGCACAGCGGGATGTCATCCTGGAGGCCTGGTCCGCCGGCAAGATCGACCCCGAAACGATCAGCTACATCGAAGCCCACGGCACCGGCACCCCGCTGGGCGACCCCGTCGAAGCGCGGGGACTGAGCGAAGCCTTCGCCCGACACACGTCTCGTCATGCCTTCTGTCAGGTAGGCAGTGTGAAGACGAACCTGGGCCACACCGAAACGGCCTCCGGGCTGGCCAGCCTGATGAAGGTGGTGCAGTGCCTGAAGCATCGTCAGCTTCCGCCGAACGCCAACCTGCGGGTGCCCAACCGCCACATCGCGTTCGAACAGACGGCGCTGGTTCTCAGTGATCGCTTGCGGCCGTGGACCGCCAGTGTTCCGGGGGCTCCGCTAAGGGCCGGGATCAGTGCGTTCGGCTTTAGTGGTACCAACGCCCACGTCGTGGTGGAAGAACCGCCGGCCGTTCCGCAACTGCCCGAGCCGAAAGAACAACTCCCGCTGGCCGTACCGCTGTCGGCGGTGGATGAGCAGGCGCTGGATGAACTGACGACTATTTATAGGGACGCCTGCCGAGAGGAGATTCCGTTCACCGCGCTAGCCACAACGGCAGCCCTGGGTCGGCTGCACCGTGGTTCACGCCTGGCGGTGGTCGCTTCGACCGCGGACGAACTTCGTGAGCAGCTCACCGCAGCTGTAAAACACGAAACGCCCGCCGGTGTTTACCGTCACACGCATGGCGAGGGGACGGCCGTCGGGGTGGGTGTGCTGTTCTCCGGGCAGGCCACGCGTCAAAGCAGCGAGCAGTTGGCCCAGCTGATTCGTCGCTACCCGGTGTTCGCGGAGGCGTGGCATGAAAGTGGCCGGTTGGTTGCAGGACAGCTCGAAGAGCCGCTGTCACGACTGACCACTCCGGCCGGAGCCGATCTCTGGGATCGCACGCAGTACGCGCAGGTCGGGTTGTTGGCCTGGCAGGTCGGGCTGTGGAAGCTGTGGCAGAGCTGGGGACTGGAGGTTGAATCGGTCGCCGGTCATAGCTTGGGGCAACTCACGGCCGCCTGGGCTGCCGGATGTTATTCGCTGGAATCGATCCTCAAGCTGGCCGTGCTACGTGGCCGGTTGATGCAGGGGCTTCCTTCCGGGGCGATGGCCGCCGTACGGGCCGGGGCGGAAGAGCTGAGCGAGATCGTCGAGCCCTATGCGGACGAACTGGCTATCTCAGCAGTGAACGCTCCGCGGCAAACGGTTCTCTCGGGCAGTGCACGGGCGATCGAGGCTGTATTAAAAGAACTCGAAACCCATGGCATCGCCGCTTCGCGTTTGCCGACCGATCGGGCGTTCCATTCGCCGTTGGTCGAGCCGATGCTGGAAGAGTTGGCCCGCGGGGCCGATGCGTTTCCGGCTTCTGCGCCCCATCGCACGTGGTTCTGCACCCGCACGGGGGAGGTTTGGCCGGCCGATCGCGCGCCGACGGGCGATGATTGGGCCCGCCAGGCGAGAGAAGCGGTACAGTTCCGTAAGACCGTCGAAGCGATGGCTGCCGAAGGGTGTCAGGCGCTGTTGGAACTGGGCCCTGGGGCGACCCTCGCGCCGCTGGCCGCCGAGGTTCTTTCGCACACCGGTTCGAAGGCTTCGGCCCACGCGACCTTAGGTCGGGCGAAGACGGTGCCTGCGAAGTTGGCCTCGGCAGTCAGTTGGCTCTACACCCGGGGTGTGGAGCTGGATTGGGAGGCGTACTTCAAGGCTCACGGTGTTGAGCCGCGTCAGGTCGCGTTGCCGACGTATCCATATCAGCGACAACGGCATTGGTTGGCGGATGACCGATCTACCGTTTCGCGCGGAACGCCACAGAGGGCGTTCCCTACAGAGACGGTGGTTGCCGGAGAGTCGGGCCCGACACCGCTGGCTACGCATGATCCAAGTGAGCAGGCGAAGCTGCTGTATAAACTGGCGTGGCAAGAGACTCCCGCATTGCCGATAGGTGACGAATCGTTCACGGGTCGCTGGTTGCTGGTGGGCTCTCAGGATGATGCGACGTTTGCATCGTTGGCTCAAAAGATCGATTCGGCCAATTGCACGGTAGATCGTCAGATCATCGATCTGAATGATGTCCGTTGGCAAGACGCTTCGCACTGGCGGGAGTTGCTCGCTGCCGATGACCTGGCCGGCGTGATCGTTCAATTGCAGTCAGGCACGGAAGAAACCGAAACAGCTGCCGCGACCGAGCTGAGGGCGCAGGTCGTGCTGGCCGCCAGCGGGGCGTTGGCCTCTCTCGGTCCCCGCCGCTGGTTGCAGTTGCGAATGTTGTGGGTGACCCGCGGGGCGCAGGCGGCTGATGATGCAACCGATGTGTCGCTCGATCTCACGCAGGCTGCTGCCCTGGGGTTAGTGCTGTCGTGGCCGTATGAACTGAAGGGGCTGAGTCGCCGGGCGGTGGATCTGGATGTCGAACCAGATTCTGTTGACGCCGAGTGTCTGCTGGCTGAACTTGCAGCACTGGGCTCCGACGATCCGGCCCAGCAGGATGCGGCGGCGGAGGTTCTGTACCGTGCTGGTACACGTTCGGTGCGGCAGGTCGCTCCGCTGACCGGTGGTCCGTGGTCCACGCCCTGGAATAGGTGCGGTGTTTACCTGTTGACCGGGGCACTGGGCGGGATCGGCAGTCAGTTGGCACTGGAGTTGGCCCTGGATTACGACGCGACGCTCGTGCTCACCGGTCGAAGCGAACTGCCGGCGGCGGAAAACTGCGCGGCGTGGCTGGCTGAACATTCGTCGGACGATCCGCAGGCCGAACGCGTTCGCCGGCTGGCGGAGATTTATGCGGCTGCGCCGGGGCGTGTTGTATATCTGTCTGGCCACATCGCTTCGGTAGAGCATGTTGAGGGTCTCAAGAATCTGATCGCCGAAAAGTACGGCCGCTTGGACGGCATCCTGCATGCGGCGGCCGAATTGGAGACGCGGCAACTGGCCTTGCGGACTAAGACGGCCGAGTCGCTGCGTAAAGTTCTCTCGGCGAAGGTTGCCGGCAGCCTGCATCTGGCGAAGCTGCTCGATACCTGGCCGGAAGCGAATCTCGTGTTGTTCTCATCGATTGGTAGTCTCTCGGGCGCACTCTCCTCGGGTGAAAGCGACTACGCTGCCGGTTGTCGGTTGCAGAATCATCTGGCCGCGAAGCTCCGGGCCGAAGGGCGTGCGGCTACGGCGGTGGCACTCAGCGAATGGGGCACTTCCGGTCTGCTGGCCGCCAACGCCGTGGGCCCGATCGTACGGCAGTTGGGTCTGCGTCCGCTGACCGCCGAGACAGCTTCGGGAACGTTTGCTCAGGCGGTAGCCTCTGGGTCGTCGATGCCGCTGGTGCTGGCCGGCACGGCGAAGTTCTCGCCCGAGCGGATGTTGTTGGGGCAGGAACAGACCTCGAAAGAATCTTCTAGTGACACGGTCGATTATTCGCAGGTGATTACCGCCACAACCGAAGCAGCCAAGACGGGCTCCGAACGTTTGGGTGAAGTGATCCCGCAGTTCGAAGGAGTCGATACGGCGCTCGATCGGCTGGCGACCGCCTACGTGGCGAAGGTGCTCAACGAAGTTAATCTGCCGGCGACGCTTGCGGAACTCACACACTCGCTGCGACTCGATCCGAAGTACACGCGCTTGCTCCCACGTCTTCTCGCCATGGCCACGGCTGAAGGGGTGTTGGAAGCGACAGGCGATCGGTACGCACGCGGGCCGGCTTGGACCGAGTTCAAGGAACTCGATACCGATTTACTGGCCGCCGAAATCGGCCAGCGGTGGCCGTCCCTGGCGGCAGTGGCGCGGCTGCTTGCGCGGTGTGGGGCAAAGCTGGGTGTGGTGCTTGCCGGTGAGCAGGATCCGCTGGAGTTGCTCTTCCCCGGCGGCTCGACGGCCGAAGCGACGGCAGTTTACGCCCAGGGTGAGTTCAACGCCTTCTACGCCGAACTGGCGGCCGCGGCCCTGGCGGCGGCGCGTCCGGCGGGTGGTACGTTCAATATCTTAGAGGTCGGCGCTGGTACGGGGGCCACGACCGACGTGGTGCTCGATCGCTTGGCTGACGGTCCGCTTTCTTACACTTACACTGATCTCTCACCGGGCCTGGTGGCTGGTGCCCGACAACGATTGGCCGGCCGGGATGGATTGACCTTCCTAACGTTCGACGCCGAGCGGGATCCGACTACGCAAGGTCTGACGCCCGGTCGGTACGATGCCGTGCTGGCGGTCAACGTGCTACATGCCACCCGTGACCTGCGGGACACGCTCGCCAACCTGCGAAAGCTCCTTACTTCCAGTGGCGTATTAGTCGTCGTCGAAGCCACGCGAAGTCTGCGTTGGGTCGAACTCACGTTCGGCCTGACCGACGGTTGGTGGCACTTCACCGATTCGCCGCTCCGCGAATCCACGCCACTGCTCTCCGCCGAGCAGTGGATTGAGTTACTAAACACCTCCGGCTTCCAGAGCCCGGTCGCATTACCGGATGACGACACCGCGCTCGGCGAGCCCGGCACGCACTTGCTGCTAGCGCAGAATACGAGCGCGCCGATCGCAGCAGCCGCATCAACACCCACCACAGTGCCGGCCCAACCAAAACAACAACTACGCACTACCGCGAAAACCGACGGCAGCGCCCTGCTCGAAGCTACGGCCGACTATCTGCACGATCTGTTCTGTCGGGTGTTGGGCCTGGAGCCCTCGCAACTCGATCGCCAGGCCAACTTTATGGACCTCGGCTTCGACTCAATTCTGGCGCTGCAAATCCGCGGCCAACTGGCCGACGAACTCTCGCTCACACTCGAGCCGACTCTTCTGTTCGAACACGCTTCTGTCGCCGCTCTGGCCAACCACCTGGCCACCAGCCACGTCAAGGCCCTGGCCGAACACCTGCGGACCGAAAACGAGCCGGTCGCCACGCCCGAACCAACACCCGCACCTCAACCCCAAATTCGTCCATCAGAACCAACAACCCAACCCGACCGCACGAACCAAATCGCCATCATCGGCCTCGCCTGCCGCTTCCCGGGAGCACCAACGCTCGAGGAGTTCTGGAACCTTCTCCGCACGGGCCAGCAGGCGGTTGCGCCACCTTCGTCTGAGCGCACCGCACTGATGCCGAGTGCCACGGGGCGTTTCGCTACAGGTGGATTCCTGGAGGGCATCGACCAGTTCGACGCGGGGTTGTTTGGGATCTCGCCGCGGGAGGCCCAGTGGATGGACCCGCAGCAGCGGCTTTTCCTGGAGGTGGCGTACGAGACGATTCAACGGGCCGGCTACGGCGGCGAGCAATTGGCAGAGCTTCCCACCGGCGTATTCGTCGGCGTGGGTTCCAGCGAATACGCCACGCTCACGGCACGACTCGGTCAGGCGGAAGCCCATCTGCAGTCGGGCACGTCGCTGCCGATGATCGCCACGCGGACGTCGTACTTGCTGAACCTCGGCGGCCCCAGCCTGGCAGTGGAGACGGCCTGCAGTTCAAGTCTGGTGGCCGTGCACCTGGCTTGTCAAAGCCTGCTTTCGGGCGAATCGAAGCTTGCCCTGGCTGGCGGCGTGAATCTGATTCTCGACCCAGCCGGTACCGAACTCGTCGGTCAATCAGGCATGCTGTCGCCGAAAGGTCGCTGCCAAACATTCGATTCCCGTGCTGACGGCTTCGTCCGGGCCGAAGGTGTGGGCGCCGTATTGCTTAAACCTTTGGCCGACGCCCTTCGCGATGGCGATCACGTTCTGGCGGTGATCTGCGGTACGGCCGTGAACAACGACGGTCACGCCAAAGCCGGTCTGCACGCCCCCAGTGTGGGCGCTCAGCGGCAGGTGATTACCCGGGCTCAGGCTGTGGCCGGGGTTTCGGGTGAGACGATTGGGTTGTGGGAGGCGCATGGGACGGGAACTTCGCTGGGCGACCCGATCGAGTGGGATGCGGCTTCGCAGGCGATTTCGTCGTCGACCTCACGGCGGGGGTTCTGCGCGATTGGTTCGGCGAAGACGAACGTGGGGCATGCCGAAAGCTGCGCGGGGTTGGTCGGGCTGGCCAAGGCGGTGCTGGCACTCGAGCACGCCACCCTCCCGCCAACGTTGAACTTCGAAGAACCGAATCCGCACCTGTCGCTGGCCGGCAGTCCGTTTTATGTGAACGACCGTTTGCGGAAGTGGCCAAGCTCGGCAACTCATCCTCGCCGTGCCGCCGTCAGTAGTTTCGGCTTCGGCGGGACGAATGCCCATGTGATCCTGGAGGAAGCACCCAAGCCGCCAGCCAAAGTACGAGCGGAAGCTGAGCGTCCCGCCCATCTGCTCACACTTTCGGCCGCCACACCAACCGCCTTAAAAACCCTGGCCGCTACCTACGTCGAGTACCTCGACACGCACGCCGAGGTGCCGCTGGAGGATCTTTGTTTCACGGCGAACCGTAGTTATGCCGCGGGAGCGTATCGACTTGCGGTGGTGGCACGATACCCAGATCATCTTTGTGACAAGCTGCGGTTGTACAGTCAGAGTACGACGGAAAGACCGCTGGCTGGGTCGCTGATCTTCACACGGATGGAAGATGAAGACCGCCGGGAGGAGTTCCTGGAACAACAGGTGTTTGCCCGACTGGCGAAGCTGCCGGCCGAGGCTCGCGAGTTGGCTTCCGCGTGGTGCGGCGGTCGCTGGGGTCGGCGGTTGTCGCAGTGGCTGGCCGAGCAGGTTGAAGGAACATCACCTGCAGGCACTTCGCTTTCGCCGGAGGACTGGGTCGAACTCTACGCGACCTTGGCTGCCTGGTACGCGATGGGTGGCACGTTGCGGCTGGAGGCGATGCAGCCTGTGGGGCGTCGGGTGCCGTTACCGAACTATCCGTTCGAACGTCGACGCTACTGGCTGCCTACGGCACCACGGCGGGAAGCGCCGCAGCCGTTAGAGACCGTCTCGGACTCAGATGAAGTCTCGCTTGCGACGGTCTGCTCCTGGTTCTTTGAGCCGCAGTGGGAGCGGTTCACGCCCGAAGAAACATCACCCCTTTTGGGTCGCTGGCTGGTTGAGGGTGCTGAAGGTTCGTCACTGACTGAGACCATCACCGAAGAACTGAGATCGGCCGGATGTGAAGTGGAATCCGCAGCCGACTCGGGCAGCGCACTCTCCGGGGTAGTGGTCGTTGTAGAAGAGTCGCAAGAGTGGGACGAATCAGCGGATGCATTTTCGATCGAAGCTGAAGTATTAGACCGTCTGCAGGCTTTGGCTTCATACGCGGCGACGCTTAACGAAAAAACAGGTTCACAGCAACTGCCCGTGTGGTTCGTCACCCGCGGTGGCCAGCCGGTGCATGATCCGGCGGCGGCCGATCCTCGCGCCGCGGCGGTGGCGGCTTTAGTACAGGTGATCGGTCAGGAGTATCCCGAGCTCGACTGTCGAGTGATCGACCTGCCGGCGGCGACGACAGACGAATCCGCTTCGCACGTCCTCGAAACCCTCGGCTACAACTCCGCTCCGCCGATCCTCGCCTGGCGAAACGGCTCGGCCTGGACGCGACAGTGGCAACCGAGTGACGTGACGTCATTGCCTAATGCCTCACCACCCTTCCGCGCCGGCGGGGTGTACCTCATCACCGGCGGTCAGGGGAATATTGGCTTGGAGCTGGCAGCCCGGCTGGCTAGCGAAGGAAGTTCTGCACAGCCGGTGCGGTTGGTGCTGGCTTCGCGACAAGCTCTACCGGAAGAGAGCCAGTGGGATGCGTACCTGAATTCGGCCGATGCTGACCCGACGCTTTCAGCCCGCATTCGCGGCATCCGTCGTCTTCAAGCCGAATACGCATGCGAGGTATGGCCGGTGGTGCTGGATGTGGCGGATGAAGTGGCGACCGCCAAACTGCTGGATCAGATTGACGGACGATATGGCCGGCCCGATGGTGTGGTTCACGCCGCTGGTGTTCTGCGGGACGGGATGCTGTGGAACCGCACGGCCGAAGAGCTGTCTGCTGTGCTACATCCCAAGGTAGCTGGCACGTGGTCGTTGCTGAAAGCACTGAAAGATCGCGAACTTGATTTCGTCGCGTTCTGCTCTTCGATGTCGGCCCTGGAACCTCTGGCCGGGCAGGGGGCGTACGCCGCGGCGGGGGCGTTCATGGATGCAGTGGCCGCCCGGGCCAGCGTGGACTGGGGTCTGCCGGTCACGACGATCAACTGGGGTTTTTGGGGCGAGACCGAAGTGGCTGCCCCGCAGCACTACCGCGACTTCCTGGGTGCCCAGGGTGTTCAGCCGATGTCGAACCTGGAAGGCCGAGCCGCCTTCGCCGCGGCGTTGGCGCTGGGTCGTCCACAGGTGATCATCACGCCGCTTGCTCAAGAGAGAGTCGGACTTTCGAACGCCGCCTGGTCGAAAGTCAACGCTGCCGCCGCCGCGGCCAGTCAGCAAGGGCTTGAAACCCTAGCCAGCGAAGCTGCCTCACTGGCTGAAGGCCTGACGATTCTCGATCAACTTTCGGCCCGCTATGTGGCGTCGGCTTTGGCGAGCGTCGAACTGTTCACTGCGGCAGGCGCGACGCACGACCGGGCGGAGATCGTCAGTCGCCTGGAACTGCTACCGCTGTTCGAACGGCTGCTCGATCCGCTGCTGACGATGCTGGTCGAAGACGGGCTGCTGGAAGCGGTCGATGAGAACCGCTGGCGATCGGTCGAGCCGTTCACCGCTGAACCGAATACGGCCGAGCTCGAAGCCCAGCTCAAAACGGTCTGTCCGCTGCTTTCACCTCAAGCCGTGTTGCTCTGCCGGTGCGGGGCCGAGCTGGCCGGCGTGCTCTCCGGCCGCACCGATGTGCTGGGGCTGTTGTTCCCTGGCGGATCGCTGGCCGACACAGAAGCACTCTACGCCGACTCACCGCTGTCACGGTTCTATAGCAACATGGTGGCGGCGGCGATTGGCACGGCGGTGGAGAGTACGAGTGACGAAGTGCGACTGCTCGAGGTCGGCGCGGGCACTGGCGGAACGACCCGTTCGGTACTGCCGGTGCTGCCCGCGGATCGCAGCAGCTACACGTACACCGATCTATCCCGAGCCCTGGTCCTCAAAGCCCAAGAGCGGTTCGCCGAGTACCCGCAGGTTCGCTACCAGGTGCTCGACATTGCGGAAGATCCGACCGGCCAAGGTCTCGAAGCCGGCAGCTTCGACATCATCCTGGCGGCGAACGTCCTGCATGCGACGCATGATCTGACCGAGACCTTGAATCACGTGCGTCAGCTACTCACACCGGGCGGACTGCTGGTATTGGTCGAGGCTACGGGGGTTCAGCGATGGGGATTGCTGACGTTCGGACTCACCGAAGGGTGGTGGTGCTTCGACGATGCGGAGCTACGTACGGATAGCCCGTTGCTCACGCTTGATCGCTGGCGAGAGTTCCTGCCGACGGTTGGGTTCACCGATGTTGCTACCTTGCCCGAGGGCGAAGCGGCGGCCGAGGTCACGCAGCACGTATTACTGGCCTGGGCTGATACGGCGGTGCCCGCGGGTGAGACGGTTGTCGAACCAACAGATGAGCCGATCGCTACGTCAACGATTGAATCAACTGCCGAAGTCAGTACCTCGGCTTTGGAACGCACGATCGCCCGGGTGTTGGAAGAAGTTCTGCGGTTGGAGCCGGGCCAGTTGGATCGTCGGCGTTCGTTCCAAGACCAGGGGTTGGACTCGCTGTTGGCGTTGGAACTGGTGGGTCGGTTGAAGGTGGCGGTGGGGGTACCGCGGTTGGGGCCGGCGGTGTTGTTTGAACATCCGAGTGTGGCGGAGCTGGCCGGGTATCTGGCGGAGCAGGGGGCGGTGGTTCCGGTTGGGGGTGAAGCTTCGCCCAAGAAGCCGGCGGTGACGAAGCGGCCAAAGGTGGAAGTTAAACGTTCGGTGCCGGCGGCTCGATCGGTGGTGGTTGAGAAGTCGGATGCGTCGACAGCAACCTCCGGCATTGCGATCGTTGGTTATGCACTGCGGTTGCCGGGCTGTGGTTCGGGGGATCAGTTGTGGCGGGTACTGGTTGAGGGCCGGGAAGAAGTTGGTCCTGTTCCGGTTGCTCGGCGGTTGCTGGCTGGGCGTGAAGATGTGTCGGGCGTGGGTGGCTTTCTGTCGGACATCGAGCAGTTCGACGGGCGATTCTTCCGCTTGTCTCCGGCCGAAGCTACGGCGATGGACCCGCGGCAGCGGCTGTTTTTAGAGGTGGCTTACGAAGCGCTCGAGCAAGCGGGCTACGGTGGTGGTCGGCTCTCGGGGCAGCGGTGCGGCGTGTTTGTCGGTGCGGGAAGTCAGGACTACCAGGCCGGCAGCGGCGGCGGTGAAGGGGGCGTTTACTGGGCGACAGGTGCGAGCCCTTCGATTCTGGCCAGCCGTCTGGCGTACTTCTTGGACCTGCATGGCCCCTGCTTGCCGGTCGATACGGCTTGCAGTTCGTCGCTGGTGGCGCTAGATCTCGCGTGCGAAAGTCTACGCGGTGGCCATTGCGATACAGCGCTCGTCGGCGGCGTTCACTTGAACCTGTGGTTGGCGAACTTTGCGGCGTTCGAGCAGATGGGTGCGCTTTCAGCTTCAGGTCGCTGCCGGGCGTTCGACGCCTCGGCCGATGGGTTCGTCCCGGCCGAAGGTTGCGTGGCTGTGCTGTTGAAGCCGCTAGAAGCAGCCATCGCTGCGGGCGATACGATCCATGCGGTGATTCGCGCCACGGCCACCAACAACGACGGCCGCACCAACGGTCTGACCGCCCCCAACCCGGCGGCGCAGCGGGATGTCATCCTGGAGGCCTGGTCGGCCGGCAAGATCGATCCCGAGACGATCAGCTACATCGAAGCCCACGGCACCGGCACCCCGCTGGGTGATCCGGTCGAAGCGCGGGGACTCAGCGAAGCCTTCGCCCGGCATACGTCGCGGCATGCTTTCTGCCAGGTGGGCAGCGTAAAGACGAATCTCGGTCACACCGAAACGGCCTCCGGCCTGGCGAGCCTGATGAAGGTGGTGCAGTGTCTGAAGCATCGGCAACTGCCGCCGAACGCCAACCTGCGAGTGCCCAACCGCCACATCGCGTTCGAACAGACGGCCCTGGTTCTCAGTGATCGCTTGCGGCCGTGGACCGCCAGTGTGCCGGGGGCTCCGCTGCGGGCCGGCATCAGCGCCTTCGGCTTTAGTGGTACCAACGCCCACGTCGTGGTGGAAGAACCGCCGGCCGTTCCGCAACTGCCCGAGCCGAAAGAACAACTCCCGCTGGCCGTACCACTGTCGGCGGTGGATGAGAAGGCGCTGGATGAACTGACGACTATCTATAAAGACGCCTGTTGCGAGGAGACTCCGTTCACCGCGCTAGCCACAACCGCGGCGTTGGGTCGACTCCACCGTGGTGCCCGACTCGCGGTGGTTGCTTCTACGATCGACGAACTTCGCGAGCAGCTTACTGCTGCGGTGAAGCACGAAACGCCCGCAGGGGTTTACCGTCACACGCATGGTGAAGGTACCTCAGTGGGTGTGGGCGTGTTGTTCTCCGGTCAGGCAACGCGTCAAAGCAGCGAGCAGTTGGCCGAGTTGATCCGCCGCTACCCGGTGTTCGCCGATGCGTGGAATGAATGTGGGCGGCTGGTTGCAGGGCAGCTCGAGGAACCGCTGTCACGATTGACCACTCCGGCCGGTGCCGGTCTCTGGGATCGCACCCAGTACGCCCAGGTGGGACTGTTGGCCTGGCAAGTTGGGCTGTGGAAGCTGTGGCAGAGTTGGGGGCTCGAAGTTGAGGCGGTCGCCGGTCACAGCTTGGGGCAACTCACCTCCGCCTGGGCTGCCGGATGTTATTCGCTCGAATCGATTCTGAAGCTGGCCGTGCTCCGTGGCCGCTTGATGCAGGGCCTTCCTTCCGGGGCGATGGCCGCCGTACGGGCCGGGGCGGAAGAGCTGACCGAAATCATCGAGCCCTACACTGAAGAGCTGGCCATCTCGGCGGTGAACGCTCCACGGCAGACGGTGCTATCGGGTAGCGCTCGGGCCGTGGAAGCGGTACTCGGAGAGTTGGAATCCCGCGGCATCGCCGCTTCGCGCTTGCCGACCGATCGGGCGTTCCACTCGCCGCTGGTCGCGCCGCTGCTGGAAGAGCTGGCCCGGGGGGCCGATGCATTACCGGCGTCCGCACCACACCGCACATGGTTCTGCACCCGCACGGGCGAGGCTTGGCCTTCCGATCGTTCGCCGACCGGAGATGATTGGGCCCGTCAAGCGAGAGAAGCGGTTCAGTTCCGTCAGACCGTCGCAGCGATGACTGCCGAAGGCTGCCAGGCGCTATTGGAACTGGGGCCGGGGGCGACCCTCGCGCCGTTGGTCGCCGAGGTACTCACGCACGCCGGTTCAAAGGCTTCGGCCCATGCGACCTTGGGTCGGGCGAAGACGGTGCCTGCGAAGTTGGCCTCGGCGGTGGGGTGGCTTTATACCCGGGGCGTGGAGTTGGATTGGGAGGCGTACTTCGAGGCTCACGATGTCACGCCGCGTCAGGTTCCGTTGCCGACGTATCCATATCAGCGACAACGGCATTGGTTGGCGGATGCTCATTCAACCGTTTCGCGCGGAACGCCACAGAGGGCGTTCCCTACAGAGACGGTGGTTGCCAAAGAGTCGAGCCCGACACCGCTGGCCACGAACGATCCGGCCGAGCAGGCGAAGCTGCTGTATAGGCTTGCGTGGCAAGAAGCGCCGGCGTTGCCGACTAGTGAGGAGACATTCACGGGTCGCTGGTTGCTGGTGGGCCCTCAGAATGATGCCACGTTTGCATCGTTGGCTCAAAAGATCGATTCGGCCAATTGCACCGTGGATTATCAGATCATCGATCTGCACGATGGCAGTTGGCAAGACGCTGCTTACTGGCGGGAGTTGCTCAGCAGCGAAGACCTGGCCGGCGTGATCGTTCAGCTGCCTTCGGGGGCTGAAGAAGCCGATACGGCCGTCGCGACTGAGCTGCGGGCGCAGGTTGTTCTGGCGGCCAGTGGCGCATTGGCGGGTCTTGGTCCGCGGCGGTGGTTGCAGTTGCGAATGTTGTGGGTGACCCGTGGGGCGCAGGCGGCGGATGATGCGGGTGATTCATCGCTCGATCTCACACAGGCGGCAGCCCTGGGGTTGGTGCTGTCGTGGCCGTATGAACTGAAGGGGCTGCGTCGTCGGGCGGTGGATCTGTGTGTTGAACCAGATCCTGCTGACGCCGAGTGGTTGCTGGCTGAACTTGTAGCCTTGGCCGACGACGATCCGGCCCAACAAGATTCGGCGGCAGAGATTATATACCGTGCTGGTACACGTTCGGTGCGGCAGGTGGTTTCACTGGCTGGTGGTCCGTGGTCCACGCCCTGGAATAGGGGCGGTGTTTACCTGTTGACCGGGGCGCTGGGTGGAATCGGCAGTCAGTTGGCGCTGGAGTTGGCCCGAGACTACGACGCGACGCTCGTGCTCACGGGGCGAAGCGAACTGCCGGCGGCGGAAGACTGCGCAGCGTGGTTGGCCGAACATGCTTCGGACGATCCCCGGGCCGAACGCGTTCGCCGACTGGCGGCCATTGAAGCGGCTGCGCCGGGGCGTGTTGTATATCTGTCTGGTCACATCGCTTCGGCCGAGCATGTTGAAGGTTTGAAGAACCTGATCGCCGAAAAGTACGGCCGCTTGGACGGCATCCTGCATGCAGCGGCTGAACTGGAGACGCGGCAGCTGGCACTACGGACGAAGACGGCCGAGTCGATGAAGCGTGTTCTCTCAGCGAAGGTTGCCGGCAGCCTGCAGCTGGCGAAGCTGCTTGACACTTGGCCAAAAGCCCGACTGGTGCTGTTCTCATCGATCGGTAGTCTCTCGGGCGCACTCTCCTCGGGTGAAAGCGACTACGCGGCCGGTTGTCGTCTACAGAATCACTTGGCCGCGAAGCTCCGGGCTGTAGGTCGTGCGGCTACGGCGGTGGCACTCAGCGAATGGGGCACTTCGGGGTTATTGGCCGCCAACGCGGTGGGGCCGATCGTACGTCAGTTGGGTCTGCGCCCGCTGACCGCCGAGACGGCTTCGGGGACTTTTGCCCAAGCGGTAGCCTCCGGGGCGGCGATGCCGCTGGTGCTGGCCGGTACGGCGAAGTTTTCGCCTGAGCGGATGTTGTTGGGGCAGGAACAGACCTCGAAAGAATCTTCTAGTGACACGGTCGAATATTCGCAGGTGATTACCGCCACAACTAAAGCAGCCAAGACGGGCGCCGAACGTTTAGGTGAAATCATCCCGCAGTTCGAAGGCGTTGATACGGCGCTCGATCGCCTGGCGACAGCTTATGTGGCACAGGTGCTCAACGAAGTCAATCTGCCGGCGAAGCTTGCGGAACTCACTCGATCACTGCGACTCGATCCGAAGTACACCCGGTTGCTCCCACGTCTTCTCGCCATGGCGGTGGCCGAAGGGGTGTTGGAGGATACGGACGATCACTACACCCGCGGACCGGCGTGGTCTGAGTTCACGGAACTCGACACTGATACACTGGCCGCCGAAATCGGCGAGCGGTGGCCATCGCTGGCGGCGGTGGCCCGACTGCTTGCGCGGTGTGGGCCGAAGTTGGGTGTGGTGCTGGCCGGTGAGCAGGATCCGCTGGAGTTGCTCTTCCCCGGCGGTTCGACGGCTGAAGCGACGGCAGTTTACGCCCAGGGCGAGTTCAACGCCTTCTATGCCGAACTGGCGGCCGCGGCACTGGCGGCAGCGCGTCCGACAGGGCGGGCGTTCAATGTCTTAGAGGTCGGCGCCGGCACGGGAGCCACGACCGACGTGGTGCTCGATCGCTTGGCAGACGGTCCGCTCTCATACACCTACACCGATCTTTCTCCAGGCCTGGTTGCTGGTGCCCGTCAGCGACTGGCCGGCCGGGAAGGCTTGACCTTCCAGACATTCGATGCCGAACGGGATCCGGACACGCAAGGTCTGACGCCCGGTCGATACGATGCCGTGCTGGCGGTCAACGTGCTGCATGCCACGCGTGATCTGCGAGAGACGCTGACCAACCTGCGAAAGCTCCTTACCCCCAGTGGCGTATTAGTCGTCGTCGAAGCCACGCGATCGCTCCGTTGGGTCGAACTCACGTTCGGCCTGACCGACGGTTGGTGGCACTTCACCGATTCGCCGCTCCGTGAATCCACGCCCCTGCTTGAGGACCAACAGTGGTTGGAACTCCTAACATCGTCGGGCTTCCAAAGCCCCGTCTCTCTGCCAGACGATAACACCCCGCTCGGAGAACCCGGCACGCACTTGCTGCTAGCCCAGAATACGAGCGCGCCGATCGCAGCAGCCGCATCCACACCCGCGGCAGTACCGCACGAACCAAAACAACAGCAGCCCCGCACCACCGCGAAGTCCGACAGCAGCGCCCTGCTCGAAGCCACGGCCGACTACCTGCACGACCTGTTCTGCCGGGTGTTGGGCCTGGAACCCACGCAGCTCGACCGCCAGGCCAACTTCATGGACCTCGGGTTCGACTCGATCCTGGCGCTGCAAATCCGCGGCCAACTCGCCGACGAACTCTCGCTCACCCTCGAACCCACACTGCTGTTCGAACACGCTTCTGTCGCCGCGCTGGCCAACCACCTGGCCACCAGCCACGCGAAAGCCCTGGCCGAACACCTGCAAACGGAAAGTGAACCGGTCACCGCACCCGAAGCAGGGCCCGAGCCAACCCCCGCACCTCAACTCCAGTTCCGCTTAGCAGAACCAACAACTCAACCCGACCGCACGAACCAAATCGCCATCATCGGTCTCGCCTGCCGCTTCCCCGGAGCATCAACGCCTGAGGAGTTCTGGAACCTGCTTCGCACGGGCCATCAGGCAGTTGCGCCACCTTCGGCCGAGCGCACCGCGCTGATGCCGAGTGCCATGGGTCGCTTTTCAGCCGGTGGATTCCTGGAGGGCATCGATCAATTCGACGCCGGTCTGTTTGGAATCTCGCCGCGCGAGGCGCAGTGGATGGACCCGCAACAGCGGCTGTTCCTGGAAGTGGCCTACGAAACGATCCAACGGGCCGGTTACGGCGGCGATCAACTGGCCGAGCTGCCGACCGGCGTGTTCGTCGGCGTCGGTTCCAGCGAATACGCCACACTCACCGCACGACTCGGTCAGGCCGAAGCCCATCTGCAGTCGGGCACGTCGCTGCCGATGATCGCCACGCGGACGTCGTACTTGCTGAACCTCGGCGGCCCCAGCCTGGCAGTGGAGACGGCCTGCAGTTCGTCGCTGGTCGCCGTGCACCTGGCTTGTCAAAGTCTTCTATCCGGCGAATCAAAACTGGCCCTGGCTGGCGGCGTGAACCTAATCCTCGACCCCGCGGGTACCGAGCTCGTCGGTCAATCAGGCATGCTTTCACCCCAGGGCCGCTGTCAGACATTCGATTCCCGAGCCGACGGGTTCGTGCGGGCCGAAGGTGTAGGCGCCGTGTTGCTCAAGCCGCTGGCCGACGCCCTTGGCGATGGCGATCACGTTCTGGCGGTGATCCGCGGTACGGCGGTGAACAACGACGGCCACGCCAAAGCCGGCCTGCACGCCCCCAGCGTGGGCGCCCAGCGGCAGGTGATTACGCGGGCTCAGGCGGTGGCCGGGGTTTCGGGTGAGACGATTGGGTTGTGGGAGGCGCATGGGACGGGAACTTCGCTGGGCGACCCGATCGAGTGGGATGCGGCTTCGCAGGCGATTTCATCGTCGACGTCACGGCGGGGGTTCTGCGCGATTGGTTCGGCGAAGACGAACGTGGGGCATGCCGAAAGCTGTGCGGGCCTGGTAGGGCTGGCCAAGGCGGTGCTGGCGCTCGAGCACGCCACGCTACCACCGACGCTGAACTTTGAAGAACCGAATCCACATCTGTCGCTGGCCGGCAGTCCGTTTTATGTGAACGACCGTTTGCGGAAGTGGCCAAGCTCGGCAACTCATCCACGTCGCGCCGCGGTCAGCAGCTTCGGCTTCGGCGGCACCAATGCCCACGTGATTCTGGAAGAAGCCCCAGAACCCGCACGCACAGAACGCACCTCACCCGAGCGTCCCGCCCATCTGCTCACGCTTTCGGCTGCCACGCCTACGGCGCTAAAAACCCTAGCCAAGGCCTACGTCGAGTATCTCGACACGCACGCCGAGGTGTCACTGGAAGACCTCTGCTTCACGGCGAACACCGGTCGGCCAACTCATTCGCACCGATTGTTCTCGGTTGTAAAGACCACCAGCGATGTTCGACAGCAATTACAGGAGTGGCTGACCCAAAGCTCGTCCTCTGCGATCGAAAGCGGGAAGGCTTCTCGACGAACCAGACCGAAAACGGCCTGGTGTTTCGCCGGTGAGGATACGGACTGGCCCGGCGTTTCGGCCGGATTCATGGAGGGGAATCGGGCCTTCCAGCAGAGCCTTGCGGATAGCGCTGCGATCATCGGATTGGAGCTTCCCCGACCGCTGTCCACGCTGCTGCAAACCGCCGGTGGTGGCAATGGCCTGAGTTCGACGCAGCGTTCGTTGATCGTCGCCGCCGGTCAATTGGCTTTGGCTGAAACTCTTCGCAGCTATGTCGGGCGACCAAACCTGGTCGTGAGTTATGGCAGTGGTGAGTTTGTGGCGGCTTGTATCGCGGGGGCCATCGATCGGTCGACGATGTTTGATCTCGTGAGGGAACATGCCGAGCCGGGGAGCGAGGTCGGCTTGCGGCTCATCGAGGTCTTCGCAGCTGAGGCGGACGTGCTGAAGGTGATTCGCCAGTGTGCCCCCAGTGTGAAGGTGGTGGCCAGCGATGGAGCTTCGCGGGCGATTCTGGCTGGTGAGTCGGAGGAATTGAACTGGCTGGCCGGTGCGTTGCAGCAAGAAGGAATTCAACTGCGACAAATCGCGGGTAAATGGCCGGGTGCGGCAGGATCAGTGACTGCGGATATCAGGCTTCAGAGACCGTCGATTGCCTGGTTGCGGCCGAATATTGGGGGGTGGTTCGATCAAAAAACTTTGGCCGGCGAACAGGGCTGGCAGGCTGGTTCGGCTGACTCGTTAAGGATCGATGCCCTGCAATCTGACCTGAGTGTCCGGGAAATCGATACGGTCGTTGAAATCGGGATAGGCGGCAGCGTCCTGTTCCCAAAAGTGGCCGAAAACGCTGGAGATTCGGCCCATTGGCTGTCGGTGTTCGCGGGCGAAGAACCGGGGTGGTCTGGCTTATTTAAGACGCTGGGCAGGTTATACTTAGGGGGTGCGACGATCGACTGGCCGGCGGTCTATCAGGGGTGCGATCCCAAGCGGGTGCCGCTGCCGGTTGGACCGTTCCAGCGCCAACGTTTCTGGCTCGAGGTGCCGCAAGAAGGAGCCGGCGGCAGCGACCGACGAACCGACAGGCGGGAAGTCTTGTCTGTGGGGGCGGGGGCCGAAACGTGTGACCTGTCCCATCATCCTCTGCTCGGAGAGCGTCTCGCAGACGAATGGAGTCCCTCGATTGCTGAGTTGGAAAAACAGCTCGGCTTGTAACGTGGGACGATCGCTACATGCCTGCTTATCAAACGCGCTTTCAAGAGGACTCTGAACCGCTGGTGGCCCAGCATCGACTGCATGGTGCAGCGAACCTCCCAGGTATGGCTTACCTGGAGATCGCCTGTGCCGCGGTTAATGAAGTGCCCAACGCGGAGGCGCTCGCGGTGCGCCTGTTCGACTTCAACTGGTTCGATCCGGTTTTTGTGCCCGGGGGCGGGGCGCTGTTGACCCGTCAGGTGCTTGAAGCCGATGGCGCCGCGTTCCAATTTCTGGCTATGGCGGCGGGGCTCGATGCTGCGGGTAATCGTGGTGAGTGGAAACCGCAGGTGCGGGGGCGGGTGGAACTTGTTGCGAAGGTGGATGCAGAGTGGGTTGACTTGGCTGCGGCCGTCAGCCGGTGTCAGCGAGAAGTTACCGCGGATGAGTTCTACCGCGAGCTTGCCCAGCATGGTGTGAATGAAACGGGGGGGTATCGCGCGTTCGAGGCGTTGCGTGTTGGATCGGGTGAAGCGACGGCTCGGCTGGTTGGGTCCGGTGAAGCGAGTGATCAGGCTTGGACACTGCCGCCGGCGGTGTTGCAGGGTGCGGTGAACGTTTTACGTGCCGCGCTGGCTGATGGCTCAGGAGAGTTGTTCGACCAAAAGGCGCTATGGCCGGTGCGGCTGGCCAGCACGGTGGTGCATCGGCGGTTGCCGGAAGATCTGCGGTGTGTTGCACGGAGAATTGAGGGGACTTCGAGCGGCGATGTGTTGCTGACCGATGCCGACGGCGAGATGGTGGTTGAACTGCGGGGGTTGGAGTTAGGCCCGTGCCCTCGGGTGCCTGAGGGTTTGGTGCGGTCGGCGGCGTCTTTGTCGGGAGTGTCGACAAGTGGTGAAAGCGCGAATTCAGCGGCGGAAGCTCAAGAGGAAGTGAGCGGTTCTGCTCAAACGTTGTCAGACAACGTCGCGCCGGAGTGGTATTGTGAAGCGATCTGGTTGCCGGATGAGGTGACGCCGCAGCGCGTGCTTCCCGCGGGGGCTTGGGTGGTCTTCTGCGACGAGGACGGGATTGGCGAGCGGTTGTTGAGCTTGCTGGAGTCGCATGCGCAGGTTGCGGTGCGCGTAACTGCGGGAAGTGATTATCGCCGCGAGTCTGCTACTCGATACGTGGTGAGTACCGAGGAAGCTGATCAGTTCAAGCGATTGCTGCTACATGTACAGCACGATCATGGTTCGCTGGCCGGTGTTGTGCACTTATGGAATTGCCAGCTTGGTGAGGTGGCTCGTCCTAATGAGTTGACCTTGGCAGAGAGCATGACTCGCGGCGTACACAGCCTGTTGTACGTATCCCAGGCGCTAGCCGAACTGGATCAGCCGGAGGTCGGGTTGTGGATAGCCTCGACCGACGCGCAGGCCATTGGTGAGAACGTACCGCGAATGGCGCCGTGGCATGCACCCGCGCGGGCATTTGCTCGTGTGGCGTCGCTGGAAATCCCGCATGTCCGAGCCACAAGTGTTGACTTCGACGGGAGCGAGCAGCCGGATCAGATCGCCGAGGCACTGCTTCGCGAGCTGCAAACAGTTTCGAGCACGAACGAGATTGCGTATCGCAACGGTCAGCGATTCACGCCGCACATTGTGAACGTGGATTTGGATGCGGTCGAGCGACGCCCTTCGCCACGTCGGCGAGGTGGGGTTTGTCTGATCGTTGGCGGGCACGGTGGCGTGGGGCTCGAGTTGGCCCGGGAGTTGGCCACCTGGGGTGATGCGAAGCTGGTGCTGGTAAATCGCTCGGCGGTTGGTGCCGCACACCCGGCCGAAACCGACAAGGAGAAAGAACAACGTCTCGCCCGAGCTGAGGCCGTACGTTCGTTGGAGGCCGCCGGTGCAGGGGTGCTTTCGCTTGCAGCCGATGTGGCAGACGCACAGGCGATGCGTGACGTGGTGGCCGAAGTGCGGCGACGGTTCGGGGCGATTCATGGTGTGATTCACTCGGCCGGTGTGTTGCGCGATCGTAGCTTGCCGCTGCTCGATCGAGAAACGCTGGATGAAGTGTTGCGGGCCAAGGTGTTGGGCACTTGGGTGCTGGACGAAGTTTTGGGCGATGAGCCGCTTGATTTCTTCGTGCTGTGCTCGAGCATGGCCTCGGTCGTTACCGGGCCCGGGCAGGCCAACCATGCGGCGGCGAACTTGTTTCAAGATGCGATGGCCCAATACCGGCGCAGCCGGGGGCGATGTGCGACGGCCATCAACTGGGGATTCTGGAGCGACACCGGCGTGGTGGCGCAACCGCGGTATCGTCAGTCGCTGGCCGAGAAGGGCGTAGGGCAGATCAGCAACGACGAGGGGCGTGCGGCATTTGAGGTCGCGCTGACGCTGGACAAGCCACAGTTGGGGATTGCGAACCTCGACCCAGAGACATTCATCATCGGGCAACCCGAGTCGACACGTCGTTGGTGCCAGGTGCGTGATTGCGCATCGCGGGTGGCTGGCGAGTTGATCGAGCCGCTGCGCGAGCAGATGGAGCCACTGCGGGGCTTGGACGAGATCATCGATCCGCTGTGCAGCACGTACGTGGCTCAGGCATTTCAGGCTCTTGGCTTGTTGTCGCCGGATGCTGCGCCGCGAAGTGTCGAAGCGATGGCTGACGCGGCTGGTGTGGTTCGGGAGCAACGCGATCTGTTCGCCGACGTCGTGCGGATGCTGGTCGACGACGGGTATCTAGTGGCGAGCGAGGCGGGGCGGTTCGTTGTTGCCGAGCGAGCGGGCCGTGAGGAAGATTACTCGCAGCTCGTGAATCAGGCACTCGAGAGGTACCCCCAAGCTGCCGACATGCTGCGGTTGCTCGAACGCTGCGGGAAGAACCTGGCGGGGGTGCTCACGGGCAAGCAAGATCCGGTGGAGCTGCTGTTTCCCGGCGGGTCGATGACCGAGGCGGCTCGGGTGTATGAGGGAACCCCAACGTCGCTTTATATGAACGGATTGGCCTCGCAAGTTGTAGAGGCATTGCAGCAGGCCGCTGTCCACAACGTTCCACTGAAAGTGCTTGAAGTGGGGGCGGGTACGGGGGCGACTAGTGCCGCGATCTTGCCGTCGCTCGATGCCGCGCGATGCGAATACACCTACACCGACATTTCGGCGGCGTTTCTTTCCCGCGCCGAGAAGAAGTTCGCTGACTTCGGGTTTGTGAACTATCAGGTACTCAACGTCGAGCGCGACCCGGCCGCTCAGGATTTCGAATTGGGGCAATACGATCTGGTGGTGGCCGCCAACGTATTGCACGCTACACGGCGAATCGATGAGACGCTGCGGCATGTCCGTTCGCTGCTCAAGCCGGGTGGGATGTTGATCCTGGTGGAAACAACCGCACCCGGCCGGTTCGGCACATTGACGTTTGGCCTCACCGACGGTTGGTGGCGGTTCGAGGATCGCGAGTTGCGGAAGACCTCGCCGCTACTCACTGCCGAGAACTGGTGCTCGCAGCTTCGCGAGTGCGGATTCATTCGCAGCATCGCTTTGCCGAATGCCCAGATGCTGGAAGAAAACCTGGGGCACGCAATGATCGTTGCCCAGGCGTCGAACAAGACCGCTCAGCGCCCGGTAGATAATGAGCAATCGGCTTATAAGAACGGCGGTTCACTTCCCTCCAAAGTAAAAGGTTCGCATGACGAGAAAGTGACGGCCCCCCGAGAAGGTTCCGCCGCTAGGCCGAATCTTGGCGGGCGGGCTGAACTCATTGAGCAAACGGAAAAGCTGGTTCGTGAGGTGTTCGCTCGTGTGCTGCGGCTGCCGGGTGAATCGCTCGACGCCGAGGCGACATTCCAGGAGGTTGGCGTCGATTCGCTACTGGCGCTCGAGGCTGTGCGGGAGTTGAAGCAGCGGTTCGGGGTTGAATCGCTGGGACCGCCCACGCTGTTTGAATTTCCCACGGTGCCTGAATTGGCCGTTCACCTAGTGGAAAGTCACGCGGATGCCGTCCGGCGAACACTGGCGGCGGATTATTCAAGCGAGGGACCCCCTGCTGAAGTGGAGTCGATTGCCAAAGATGAGCTTCCGCCAAGCGAGACTAAAACTTCGCCCAAGCAGATAGCAGTTCCTATCGAAACCCCGGTCGAGAAAGCTCGGCCGAGTGCGGAGACGCCGGGCTCACTCTACGACGGCGATATTGCCATTGTCGGATACGCGCTACGCGTACCCGGTGCGGAGAACGCCGAGGATTTCTGGCAACTGCTCTGCCGTGGGCAAGACGCCATTGGCCCGCTACCGGAATCGCGTAGAGCCGGCAATGCGGAAGCGGCCCGGTCGGCGATGGGTGGGTATCTGGACGAAATCGATCGGTTCGATTCGCTGTTCTTCCGCATCTCGCCCGCCGAGGCCGATCACATGGAGCCGCGGCAGGCGTTGTTCCTGGAGACGGCCTATCGGGCCATCGAGCAGGCCGGCTATGCGGGCGGGCAACTCAGTCGCGAGGCGACCGGCGTGTTTGTCGGCGCGGGGGCTCAATTGCTGCTCGACGCCGCGGCTGCCGAAGTCGATGAGCATTGGGCCACCGGCATCACGCCCTCGGTACTGGCCAGCCGGGTTTGTTACTTCCTCGATCTGCACGGTCCTTGCCTCACAGTCGATACCGCCTGTTCGTCGTCGCTGGTTGCATTGCACTTAGCGGTGCAAAGCTTGCGGCGGGGCGAATGCCGGTTCGCATTGGCCGGTGGGGTGCATCTGAATCAGCAGCCGCTGAACTTCGCTGCCTTCGAACAGATGGGGGCCCTGGCCACCGATCGCCGTTGCAAAGCGTTCGATCAACGGGCCGACGGGTTTGTGCCGGGTGAAGGTGTGGGAGCCGTGCTATTGCGACCTTTGGCCGATGCCATTCGCGACGGCGATACCATCCACGCGGTGATCAAGGGTACGGCCACCAACAACGACGGGCGATCGAACGGGCTGACCGCCCCGAATCCGGCGGCGCAGCGTGACGTTATTTTGGCGGCTTGGGCCGATGCAGCAATCGACCCTGATACGCTGGACTATGTTGAAGCGCACGGCACCGGAACCGCTCTGGGCGACCCGATTGAAGTGCGGGGGTTGAGCGAGGCCTTCCGCCGCCATACGGCCCGACGACAGTTCTGCCGCGTGGGCTCGGTGAAGAGCAACATCGGTCACCTGGAACCGGCCGCTGGGATGGCCTCACTAATCAAGGTGCTGTTGTGCCTTAAGCACGAGCTGCTTCCGCCGAGCTTGCATGTTAGTGCTCCGAACCGGCACATTGCGTTCGAAGATTCGCCGCTGGTGTTGAACGATCAGATGGTTGCCTGGCGAGCTGGGAACACTCCACGTCGGGCGGCGGTGAGCGCCTTTGGCATTAGTGGGACGAATGCCCATGTGGTACTGGAAGAAGCTCCGCTGGTTCACTGCACACACTCCGGACTCGAACGGCCGCGTCATGTACTCGCGCTCTCGGCCCGAACTGAGTCGGCGCTTGGAGAGTTGGTTGCTCGCTTTGCAGAGGATCTTTCAACTCGCGACGACCGTGAACTTGCCGACGTTTGCTTCACCGCCAACGCCGGGCGGCCGAAGTTGTCACACCGCCTGGCGGTGAGTGCTGCGAACGTTCGCGACATTAAAGCGGCGCTGCAGCAGCGAACGTCCGAACCGCGGCCACGTGAGTTCGCCGTGTTCACGGGCGACGTGCAAAGTCAGAAGCCTGCGAAGGTGGCCCTGTTGTTCTCTGGGCAGGGAGCGGTGTTCTCCGAAACACCGAAACAGCTCTACGAAACGCAGCCGATGTTCCGGGCTTTGATCGATCGCTGTGCCGAACTACTCCGAGGTGAATTAGACATCCAGCTAAGCGAGTTGTTGTTCAGTGGAGCTGCGAGGCCATCGCTGCTGGAGCAAACTCAGTATGCGCAGCCGGCGCTGTTCTGCTTCGAGTATGCCCTCTACGAGATGTGGCAAGCCTGGGGTGTGACGCCGGGTGCCGTGATGGGGCATAGTTTGGGCGAGCTGGTGGCCGCCTGTGTCGCGGGTGTGATGAGCCTGGAAGATGCGTTGCGACTGGTGGTGCGACGCGGACGTCTGATGGGAGCGCTGCCCTCGGGCGGGGCAATGGCGGCCATCTTCGCCGGTGTGGAAGAGGTCGAAGGTTGGATTAAACGTACCGTGGGCCGGGATGAGCTTTCCATGGCGGCCATCAACAGTCCCAGCAATACGGTCATCTCCGGCAACGCGGCGGCGGTCGATCGATTGTTGGAACGGCTTTCCAGTGCGGGAATTGAGGGGCAGCGGCTTCCGGTCTCGCATGCGTTCCATTCGCGGTTGATCGAACCGATGCTACCGCCGTGGGAGGCCGAACTGCGGCAGGTGCGATTCGATGTTCCACAGATTGCTTTGGTTTCGAATCTGACTGGCGAGTTTTTCCCCGATGGCACAGCGCCCGATGCGACGTACTGGCGGAATCATGCGCGACAGCCGGTACGATTCTCGGCCGGCGTGCAATCGCTACGCACAGCGGGTTACAACGTCTTCTTGGAAATCGGTCCAGGCCGAACGCTGGTGAACCTGGCCACGCAATCGATGCAGTCTGAAGGTGCGAGCGATTCGCCCCTGCTACTGTCCTCAATGCTGCCTGGCAACGATGCATGGCAGGGACTAACACAAACGCTGGCACAGCTCGAAGTGCGGGGTGTGCGCATCGACTGGGAAGGCTTCGACCAGGGTTATGCAAGTCGACGGGTTTCGCTGCCGGGTTATCCCTTCGAGCGGCGACGTTTCGGGCGGACCGCAAAGCAAAACAGTCAAGTTACCACTGATGGGATTAACGCCTTCGCCGCAAATACGACTGAGCCGCTTGAGTTGACCGCTGTGCAGCGCAGCGAAGTGGACGTGGACCCAGCCGAATGGTTGCGGAGACCGGAATGGATTGCCAAGCCGGCGGTAGGTTCGGATCGCTTGAGCCCGGCGCTGCGGGAGAGCGGAACCTGGCTGGTTTTTGCCGATCCCTCGGGGTTGGGGCAAGCGGTCGCGCGACAGTTGCAGACATTCGGTCAGAAGGTTGTTCTCGTTTCCGCAGGGCAGGGCTACGCGTGCGATGGAACGCAGGCCACGATTGATCCCGCGTCTGCTGGCGACTACGAGCGTCTGCTTGCCGACGCATTGTCCGGTGCTCAGTCGCTTTCCGGCGTGGTGGATTGTTGGAGCTATGGGCCTAGTCCCAGCGATCGACGCGATGATTCCCTGACCGATGCGATTTGTGCGAACCTGAATCACTTGGCCTTGCTTACAAAAGCAGTCGAGAAACTTGGCCGCACTCCGTGGCAGTTGTGGATGGTCACTTCGGAGGCCGCTTCGATTCCGCTACGGAAACGCGTCATCGCAGAGCACGCCAGCGTGTGGGGCTTCCTGCGTTGCCTGCGGTTGGAGTATACGAACGTCACACTCGGGCTGATCGATTTGCCGTTCGAAGAGGGTGCTGCATCACGCTTCGTTCCGCGGCTCATGGAAGAGGTCGCCCAGGGTGAGGCGGTGGAAGTTGCTTTCGATCGCGATGAGCGACGGCTGGTGCCGACCTATACCTCGCTGAGTCATGCTTCGGCCCAGGGCGAACCGATCAGGCTTCGCCGCGGCGGGGTCTACCTGATCACCGGGGGCTTAGGTGGTGTTGGTCTGCAAATTGCGGAACAGCTTGCGAATACTCCTGAGGTCAATCTAATCCTGTTAGGGCGTAACCCGCTGCCGTCGGAAGACAGTTGGGATGAGTGGCTCGCCACGCATGAGCAAAACGACGAAATCGCGAATCGCATCCAAGCGGTGCGCCGCATGCGAGCACGTGGGGCGAACGTGCAGTGCATTGTGGGTGATGTGGCTGACTTGGCCTCGCTAAGCGGGGTGATGGAGTCGATTCGTGAGCAGTTCGGGCAACTCAACGGTGTGGTACATGCCGCCGGGGTGCTGCGCGACCGGCTGATTCACTCGCTGACGCCGAATGATCTGCAAGAAGTTCTGCAGCCTAAGGTCACCGGCGCTTGGGCGCTGGACCAGACAACCTGGTCTGAGTCCTTGGATTTCATCGTTCACTTCTCGTCGGTGGCTGCCGCGCATGGCCAGGTTGGTCAGGCGGCTTATGCGGCGGCAAACGCGTATCTTGATGCATCCGTGCAGCAGCGGCGTTCAAACGAGGGACCGCAGGTGATGAGCCTCGCCTGGGGGCCCTGGGCCGAATTCGGCATGGCGGCCGCGCACTTTACGCCCGAGCAGTGGGAACAGGCAGGCATCGAACCGATCACACCAGCGATTGGCCGGCAGCTATTCGCCGCGGCGCTCGAACATGCCGCCCCGCAGTGGGAAATTTATAAGCGAACAGCGAAGCCGAAGTTGGCACCGCCGCAAGTTTCGACAGAAGTTAATGTCGTCGGTGAGATTGGTGCGACGCATCCAGCACCGAGCACGCCTCATGCAGATTCTCTCGACGACGCTGATTCAAAGCGCGAATTTCGCAAGCGGCTGATCGAGCACCTCCGCGACCGTTTCGCCGCCACGCTGGGTGTTGCGTCAGAGGAACTCGGTCCCCGGGTGAACTTCCAGGAGTTGGGGCTCGACTCGATGTTGGCCGTTCGGCTGCAGCGCGAGTTGGAACGTGCCGCCGAAATCCGTCTCGACGTTACCGTGCTTTTTGCCTATCCCACGATCGATGCCTTCGCTACGCACTTGCTGGAGGAGCATTCGGCCGCGATGGCCGCGATGTTCGCTGCGGAGTCTACTTCTGGTGGTGAGACCACGACAGTAGAAGAATCTAAAGCTGAGCTTAACTCCGAGCCTTCGCATCCGCGCGTCGAGTTGAAGCCTGCACTTGAAAAGACCCAGCAGCCGAAAGACGAGGCCATTGCGGTGATTGGCCTGGCTTGTCGCCTCCCCGGTGCTCAGAGCGTGGAAGAGTTCTGGTCGAATCTTGTCGGCAAAGTTGACTCGATTGGCGACGTGCCGGCGGAGCGAAGTGATTGGTATGCCTCGCTCGGCGAGGAGAGTGGAAGCAGCGGCCGGCGATTGGGTGGTTTTCTCGAGGGCGTTGATCGGTTTGATCCGGCGTTCTTCGGGCTTTCGCTGCGTGAAGCCAAACGCATGGATCCGCAGCAGCGGCTGCTGTTGGAAGTGGCCTGGGAAACACTCGAACGGGCCGGCTATCGACCCGACGCTTTGGGTCGGTGCGGAGTGTTCATTGGTGCTTCGACGCTCGAGTACCTGGCCTACCTCTCGCAGATCGGCGAGCAGATCGACCCTCACACGGGCTCGGGCAACTCGCTGACGATGCTGGCCAACCGCATTTCGTACCTGTTCAACTGGCACGGTCCCAGTCTCGCGCTGGATACGGCCTGTAGCTCTTCGCTGGCGGCCGTGCATTTGGCCTGCCGAAGCTTGATCGACGGTGAAGCCGAAACCGCGTTGGCTGGTGGCGTGCACCTGATGTTCAGCCACGGCGGCTCTGACGTATGCGGCGAGGCCGGCATGATGGCCGCCGACGGACGTTGCAAAACGTTTGACGATCGGGCCGACGGCTACGTGCGCAGTGAAGGGGTCGCCACTGTGTTGCTCAAGCCGCTAGCTGCGGCCCAACGCGACGGTGACGACATTTGGGCCGTCATTCGCGGCACGGCAATGAACCACGATGGCCACGATAAGGTCGGACTGACGGCACCGGGTTTGAATGCCCAGCGCGATGTGTTGCTCGAAGCGTACCGTCGCGCCGATGTGGAACCTTCGCGACTGGGGATGTTCGAAGCACACGGCACCGGTACTTCGCTGGGCGATCCGATTGAGATTCGTGCGTTGACCGAAGCGTTCGGACAACACACCAAGAAGCGTGGCTACTGTGCGATTGGCTCGGTCAAATCGAACATCGGTCATCTCGAACCTGCGGCCGGAATCGCCGGGCTGATCAAGGCCGTGCTGGCCCTGCGTCGTACCACCCTTCCGCCGACGCTGCATGTCGATCGCCCCAACCGTTCAATTTGTTTCGAGCAAACGCCGTTCTTCGTGAATGAGCGGCCCCGCTCGTGGCCCACGGCCGAAGGTCCGCGGTTCGCCGGGGTTAGCTCGTTCGGCTTTGGTGGTACCAACGTGCATGCCGTTCTGCAGTCGGCGCCCACGCCTAAGGAAGCTGAGTTCGGGGAACGCACTGATCGGCCGGGGCATCTGCTGACGGTTTCGGCCCGTAGTGAGGCATCGCTAGTGGAACTGGTTCGCAGACTCCAGCAGGCCGCAACCGAGCGGCATGAGAATGAACTGGCTGAACACACGTTGGGCGATTTCTGTTTCTCGGCCAACGTGGGACGAGTACCGCGAGAACATCGCCTGGCCATCACGGCGGCCGATTGGGAAGAGTTGATTGAGAAGCTCACGCTGGCGGCACGTGGAGGTTCCGAGGATCGATCTGGCGTGATTGCCGGTCATGTCGATGTTGATCATTCGGCGGTGCCGGTGTCGTTGGGGATGTCGCTGAGAAAACAGATTGCGAACCTCTCGTCGGAGGCCCAAGCGGCGCTAGCTCGATGGTGTCGAGGTGATCGATTCGACGAAGCGGTACGCCCGCTGTTGAGTACGGAAGCGATCGGATTCACGACTTCGCTTGAAATGCTTGAGGAACACCACTGGCGGGAAACACTCGATATACTGGGCCGGCTGTTCACCTTAGGTGTCGATGTTGATTGGGCCGCGTTCGATGCGCCTTTCCATCGTCGTCGCTGTGTGTTGCCGACCTCGCCTTTCGAGCGACAACGCTGCTGGGTCGAGGCGAGAATTCCTCGATTCAAGACCAGCAAAGCGATCCTACGGCCGGCGGTCTCAAATAAGCGACTACAGGCCAACCAAGATGTTCTCTCCTGGCTGCATGTTCCGGCGTGGCGAGAGAATCCGCTGAACCGTGAGTTGTCTTCCATCGATCGAAAGACGGGCACCTGGCTTGTTTTCTCGAATGGTTCACCCCTGGGCAATGCACTCGTCACGCGGCTGCGTGAGGTGACTGGGCGGGTTGTCCTTGTCGAGCAAGGTCCTCGCTATTCACGCTTGGGCCAGGATCGGTTTGCCATCAATCCGGAGAATGCAGGCGACTACGCTCGACTGGGTGAGGCTCTTCTCGAAGAGTCATTTGATTCGCTCAATGTCGTTCACCTGTGGGGATCTGCTGCCGGAACCGCCGAAGATTTGGCGGCGTTCGACGCCCTCGATGACCAAAATGCCTTGGGCGAATTCCAAGCTCGCTTGTGCGATGGCCCGCTGAGCGTAGCCCGCGTGGTTCGCCATGTGCTGAATCCATTGGGCAAGGTGGTTCATTCGCTGAGGCTGATTACGGCGCAGGCTCAAGACGTGGATGACACCGCATGTCTTGATCCGACGGCTTCCGCCATGAACGGGCTACTGCGAGTGATCGCTCGTGAACGGCATGGACTGACTTGTCAGGTCATTGATGTCGATCTGGATCTTGAGGTCACCCGGAACGTTGAGAACTTAGTCGCCGAGTTCTTTGCAGGCGAAAGCGACATTGAAGTGGCGTATCGCCGTGGTGCGCGGTATGTGCCCGCGGTGGAAGATCTTTCTGCAAGCGAAGGATCACCCGATGCGCAGCTCGAAAAGGGAGGCGTTTATCTCATCAGCGGCGGGCTGGGTGGCATCGGGCTCGCCGTGGCCCGCTGGTTGGCTGAAAAGTGGCAGGCCAAATTGATCCTCGTTGGCCGCACCGAGCTTCCGCCGGAGGCGGAATGGGATAAATTGCTGGCTGAGGGATCAGAACAATCCGTCGTAAAAAAGATTCAGGCCGTTCTAGAACTTCGCGAACTGGGTTCCCAGGTGTGGGCACCGCGGGCCGATGTGGCTGACCTTGCGGAGATGAGGGCGGTTATCGACGGGGCAATCGAACGCTTCGGGCGTATCGATGGAGTCTTTCACCTGGCAGCGGCAGTGCACAACGCTTTGCTACATACCAAGACTGATGAACAGTATGCTGGTGTGTTGCGGCCTAAGGTGCAGGGTGCTTGGGTTCTGGATCGCGTGACGCGAGATCGCGGGCTGAAATTCATGGTGCTGTTCGCCTCGCTGGCTGGGCGGGAAGGCAACGTGTTTCAGGCCGACTACTCGGCGGCGAATCGTTTCCTCGACGGTTTCGCTTCCTTGAGAAACGCTCAAGGCCACCGCACACTAGCCATCGACTGGGGCATGTGGGCCGAACATGGACAAGCCGCCGAAGCCGCTCTGGCTGGAGTCGATCTCACATCCGAGTCGGCCGGTTGGGCCGCAGGCGTGCAGCCGATGTCCACCGCTCTGGGGTTGGCCGCTCTCGAACGGGCGTTGAGTACACATCGGGCCGAAGTGATCGTTTCCAACGTTGATTATGGAAATCCTCGCACCGCAACTCCGTCTGTATCGAAATCTGATTCGATAGCGAAAAGTGCTGGTCAGCCCTCATCCTTCGATGAGGTCGAGGACTGGCTGTTGCAGTTGCTCGGCGTCGCACTGGAAGAACCGGCCGAAGACTTGTCGCCGGAGCGACCGTTTCTGGAGTTGGGAGTTGACTCGGTTATCGCGGCCGACATGGCTCGCAAGGTGAACGAGGCGACGGGGCTGTCGCTGCCGCGCACTCTGTGCTTCGACTACGCCACGGTAAGGCAACTGGCGACGGCGTTGGTTCACGAGCATCAAGTTCGGTTGCACGGATCTGATCTGGAAGACACTTCAGCTTCACCTACTTCAGACTCGCAATTCGATACCGCTTCGTTTGAGGCCGCAAGCGAACTTCAGACGGAACCTTCGCACGAGGCAACTCCCGCGACCAAGTCCATCGCCGTCATTGGCATGGGCGGGCGGTTCCCACAGGCGGCGAACCTCGAGGAGTTTTGGGCGAATCTTCAGTCCGGCCGCGATGTGATTGGCGAGGTGCCCGACGAGCGGTGGGACGTGGGGCGGTTGTACAATCCCGACCGGAATGCCTCCGGGGGGACTTACTCGAAGTGGGGCGGCTTCCTTTCGGACGTCGACCGCTTCGATCCGGAGCTGTTTCATATTTCACCGCGTGAAGCTGCCCAGATGCACCCGCAACAGCGCGTGCTGATGGAAGTGGTGTGGGAAACCCTCGAGGCGGCGGGCTACGCGGGCGAGCAACTTCGCGGCAGCCGCACCGGGGTGTTCGTGGCTGCCATGTCCGGCGGTGTGAGCCCCAGCACGGACGAACCCGGCGTTTACTTCGGCACCGGCAACGCCCCGGCGATGATCGCCAACCGACTCTCGTACTTCCTCGACTTGAACGGTCCTTGCCTTACGGTCGATACCGCCTGTTCTTCGTCGCTGGTGGCGTTGCATCTGGCCGTGGAAAGCCTGCGTCGCGGCGAGTGCACGATGGCGATCGTGGCCGGCGTGCAGGTAGGGCTGAGTCCGGCTCACTACCAGACGCTGAGTAAACTGCAGGCCCTTTCTCCGCAGGGTCGGTGTCAAACGTTCGATCGCGAGGCCGACGGCTATGTGCCGGGCGAAGGCGTGGGCGTGCTGTTGCTCACGCCGCTCGATGTCGCGACTGAAAGCCGCGACCAGGTGCATGGTGTGGTATTGGGCACGGCGGTGAATCACGGGGGGCAAGCTTCGGGGTTGACGGTGCCTCGGGCTGCGGCTCAGGCCGATGTATTGCGTTCGGCGTGGGCCGATGCGGGGGTATCGGGCGACTCGATCAGCTACATCGAAGCCCATGGTACGGGGACCGCGCTGGGCGACCCGATCGAGGTCGACGGACTAGCCCGGGCGTTTTCGGCCGATACTAATCGCCGCCAGTTCTGTGCATTGGGCAGTGTGAAGAGCAACCTGGGGCATCTGGAGGCCGCCTCCGGGATTGCCAGTTTGCTCAAGGTGTTGCTGGCGTTGGAAAAGCGGCAGCTTCCGCCGAGTTTGCATTTCCGCGAGGCGAATCCCACGATTCGTTTCGAGTCGGGTCCGTGCTACGTCAACGACCGGCTCGCGCCGTGGAGAACCAAGGGCGCCGCGCGACGGGCCGGCGTGAGTTCATTCGGCTTTGGCGGCACCAACGCTCACGTGGTATTGCAGGAACCGCCAGAGGTGGAAAGTTCGCAAGACGATTCTCTGCAGGCGGAACAGCTACTCACGCTCTCGGCCGAATCGGATGTAGCGCTGGGGCAACTGGCCGAGCGGTTCGAGCAGCATATTGCCCAGCGAAGTGATCAATCGCTGGCCGACATTTGCTACACGGCCAATACGGGGCGGCGCCATATGCCCAACCGGTTGGCGGTGGTCGCCGAGTCTAGAGCGGAGTTCCCGGCGGTGCTCAAGCGATTTGCTGCAACTCCGTATACGGAGAGTTCGGAGTCGATCATCGAAGCCGGTGCGAGTTTGTTTACTGGCCGGGTCCGTTCGCACCGACGTCCGAAGGTTGCCTGGCTATTCACGGGGCAAGGTTCGCAATACCCGGGCATGGGCCGGGGGCTTTACGACGCCGAGCCTGAGTTCCGCCGTACGATCGAACAATGCGATGCTGTGCTGCGAGATGAACTGGGGCAATCGCTGACGGAGCTATTGTTCAGCGAAGATACGCAGACAAACTCGCTGCTCGATCAGACTCAATTCACACAACCGGCGCTATTCGCGGTGGAGTACGCGTTGGCCCAACTGTGGATGGCGTGGGGAATTTGCCCCGACGTGGTGATGGGCCACAGCCTGGGCGAGTACACAGCCGCCTGCGTGGCCGGGGCGTTCGCCTGGGAAGATGCTCTCCGGTTGGTCGCGCGAAGGGCACGGTTGATGCAAGCCTTGCCGCCCGGCGGCGCGATGGCTGCCGTGTTTGCCGATTCTGAAGTGATTCACTCACGGTTGCAGCAGTCGGAAAGTTTGTTGGCGATTGCGGCGGTCAATGGTCCGGCGAATGTGGTGATCTCGGGCGACGCTGGCACCCTCGAAAAATTTGTGGCTCAGCTCGAAGCCGACGGCACGGTCACACAGCGGCTTACTGTCTCGCATGCCTTCCATTCTTCGCTGATCGACCCTTGTCTGCCGGCGCTGCGCTCGCTGGGTCGTGAGTTTGGTAGTTCGCCGCTCTCGATCCCGCTGGTGTCGAACCTGACAGGCCAAGTGCTGAAAACTGGCGAGAAGATCGATCCGGAATACTGGGTCAGTCATGCTCGTTCGACGGTGCAATTCGCGGCCAGTGTTGAAACGCTGCATGCCGAAGGTTGCCGTCTCCTGGTGGAGGTCGGCCCGCAGCCAACGCTGTTGGGAATGGCTCGCCGGGTGAAGGGGCAATCGAACACGGTCTTCATTCCCTCAATGACGCGCGGCAAGGGCGAGCGGCGGGGCATGCTTGAAGCAGCGGCCCAGCTCTATGTGCAGGGTGCAACGCCTGAGTTTGCGGGCTTGTATCGTCATGAGCGTCGACGACGCGTGGAACTGCCGACGTACCCGTTCCAGCGAATGGTGTGTGCGGGTGCAGGACTTTCGCCCGCGGCGATAGTTAAGCCTGCTGGTGAAACGCTTGCCCAAGAGGTTCCTTCGCAGCAAGCCGATGCCTGGCTGTACGAACGAGCATGGACTGAGAAACCGCTGCCGGCGTCATCTGAAGCCATCACCGGAACTTGGTTGATTGTGGGTGGGCCGAATGAGTTGGCAGATGAGGTGGCAAAACGCATAGGAGCTGAGGGTGCTTCTCCGGTCGTTGCCGCGTTCGGAGACTCCTTCACCGGAATCGGCAATGGCCGCTGTAGCATCTCGGTCGCAGACGAAAGTGACTACCAGCGAATGCTGGAATCTATAAACGATGCCGAGTCTCCACTTGCCGGCATCATTCACCTGACAGGCTGTGAGGAAGCCTCGGGAGTGGAATCAACCGCCGCGGAGCTTGAGGACCGTCTGCAACGGTCGGTGTTTGCTACTTTTCATCTGCTTAAGGCTCTTGCTGCACGAGGGGCGAGCGACACTACCGTTCGACTGGTGGTTTTGGGCAAGGGGGGCTATGCCACGCCGTATGATTCGGCGGCTCCTTCTCCTTTGAAAGCACCGCTGTTTACCTTCGCCCGGGCGGCTGCGGAAGAATTCCCCGACGTGCAAAGTCGCAGCATCGATGTCGAGGTAGAGGCATCAACGGAAAACATTGTAAGCACATTGCTGGCTGAACTTCGCGCAGTAAGCGAGTCGTCGGAGGTTGCCTACCGCGGTGGGCGACGACTGGTGCCGAAGATTGAATCGTTCCAGGCAACAAACCGAGAGGTCAACGCGCCTGCTCGTATTCGGCCCGAGGGGGTGTATCTCATCACCGGCGGTACCGGAAACATTGGGTTGCAACTCGCGGCACGGTTTGCCGAGCGAGGAGCCCGGCACCTTGTGTTGCTCAGTCGCGGGGGAACGCTCGACGCGGACGCCCTTGCGACAAGCGATCCTCGCCGCTCGACGATCGAGAAACTGCGGAAGTTAGCCGTCGATCTGCAATTCGAGTCAGCCGACGTGACCGACTTCAACGCGGTTCGCACAGCCATCGAGCAGATCCGTCAGCGGTATGGCAGGCTTGATGGTGTCGTGCATGCGGCCGGTTCGCTCAATGATGGGGTGTTGTGGCGGAAAGAGTCGCAAGAAGTTCGCGGCGTACTCGCACCAAAAGTGTTCGGTGCGTGGGCTCTACATAAGGCTACAGAAGACATCCCGCTGGAATTCTTTGTGTTGTGCTCGTCGATGTCGTCGCTGATGGGCGGGGCGGGTCATGCTACGTACGCGGCGGCCAATGCCTATTTGGACTCGCTTGCTCAATTCAGACGACGAAACAATTTACCAGCGATCTCGATCAACTGGGGTGTGTGGGGTGAAACGGCCGCCGGGTCGTTGCCGCGATACCAGCAAGCCATGCGAGCCAGCGGGATCGAGACGCTTTCGAATCGCGAAGCGCTGGACGCCTTTGAACGGGTATTGGGTCTCAACCCGCCACAGATTGGTGTGATCCGCTTTCAGCAGTTGCCCGAGTTGCAACCGAGCGGCGAGCAACTTGCATCGCTGGTCTCCGCGGCCAGTGAGGTGGCGGCTCGTGAAAAGACCGAGCTGCTCGCGAAGCTCGAACCGTTGCGGGGGCTCGACACGGCGTTTGATCGCTTGTGCGCAGCCTGCGTGGCTAACTGGCTCGTCCAGTTGAACCTCGGCGGTGCTGGAAGTTCTTGCAGCGTGGCGGAGTTGGTGAAGGCCGCTCGGCTCGATTCCCGCTTCGAAGCAGCCTTGCCGCGGTTGCTGAGGATGCTGGAAGAAGACGGTTTGATCGACTTCGAAGTTGATACTCAGCGGTTTTCGGTTCTTCGCTCGCTCACAGAAGTCGCAGAGACGTTGGGTGAGCTAGAGCGTGTGGCCCAAGCGAAGTTCCCAACTGCTACTGCACAGATCGGTTTGCTGATGCGGTGCGGGCGAGCCTTGGGCGACATTCTCTCGGGTCGAGTTAACGCCATCGAACTGCTGTTCCCGGAGGGGAACTATGCCGACGCCGAGGCTCTCTATGAACAAAGCCCCTGGCCGCGGCTGATGGGCATGATGGCCGCGGGGACGGTTCGCAAAGTTGCTGAATCGTCAGCCGGCCAGCGTCCGTTGCGAGTCATCGAGATCGGCGCGGGCACGGGGGCCACAACCTCGTTCGTGTTGCCGGAAGTGGTGGGGGTGGGGGGAGAATACACCATCACCGATGTCTCCCAGTCGTTTGTCGATCGGGCGCGAGCGAAATTTAACTCGCCGTCCCGAGTTCAATTCGCGCGACTCGATGTCGAACTCGATCCTGAGCTGCAAGGGTTTACCCCGAGCAACTACGATGTGGTGGTGGCCGCGAATGTGCTCCACGCCACACGTCGCTTGGATGACACGCTGAAGAATGTTCGCAAGTTATTGCGGCCCGGTGGGGTGTTGCTGTTGGTCGAGGCAACTCAGCAGGTACGCTTTGGCGATTTGACCTTTGGACTGACCGAAGGCTGGTGGCGGCGTGAAGACGTGGAGCTTCGCAAGGATGGCCCCTTGCTCACTCGCAAGCTGTGGTGCGAAGTGCTCAACCGGCACGGTTTTGTCGAGGCTGCCGCATTGCCCGAGGGAAGTGACGAGTTCGCCAGTTGCGATCAGTCGTTGCTGGTGGCCGTGGCCGATGAATCGCGGCGGGAGGAGCACACGAAAAAAGTCGTTGGGCGACTTCAACCGAGCGACTCAAATTTAAAGAAAACAAAGTCTGAGTTGCTTGTTGCGGCAAGTGACGCTTCGGAGATTGAACATCGGGTTATCGTCAGGCTTTCCAGCATCTTCAGCGAAGTGCTGGGGACTTCGGCTCAGCGAGTTGACATCGAGCGGAGTTTCCAAGAGCAGGGGCTCGACTCGTTGATGGCGCTCGACGTGCTTCGCCGCATTCGGGCAGAGTTGGGTATCACCGGGCTGACGCCGCCGGTGCTATTCAGCCATCCCACGATTGCCGAGTTGGCCGAGTATTTGGTCGCGGATAACAGCGTGTTATTAGCGGCTCAGTGCGAAGACAGTTCTACTCAAACGGAAGTGCCAGCAGTTGCGAAGACGGGGACTGCTTCGAAGGCCGCATTAAAAGATGAACCAGCGACTCATACTGGGGCTGTGGCGATCGTCGGCTGTGCCGGGCGCTTCCCGGGGGCTGACGATCTGACGGAGTACTGGCAGAACCTGTGTCGTGGGGCCGACTTGGTGGGTCCTGTCCCCGAGGGTCGTAAACCTGCGGGTCGTCTTTCCGGCGAAGCGCAAAAGGCACAAGGAGGGTTCCTCTCCGATATCGATCGCTTCGATCCGTTGTTCTTCCATCTTTCGCCGTTGGAAGCAGGCCAGATGGATCCGCGGCAACGGGTGTTCCTGGAGACGGCCTACACTGCCGTGGAGCACGCAGGCTACGCGGGCCGTCGCCTTAGCGGTACGCGTACCGGGGTGTTCGTTGGAGCCAGCGGGCAAGTTGCTCCCGCCTCGACTTCTGAAACGGCGTCGGAGTTCACTGCCACGGGGGCGAACAATTCGATTATCGCCAGCCGGTTGGCTTACTTCCTGAACCTTCAAGGTCCTTGCCTGCCGATTGATACGGCTTGTTCGTCATCGCTGATGGCCGTGCATCTGGCGGTGCGAAGTTTGCGGCAGCGAGAATGCGACTACGCGATCGCCGGCGGGGTTCACTTGAATTTGAATCTGGCGAACTTCGAACTGTTTTCGAAGATGGGTGCGCTGGCACCTGGGGGACGGTGTCGTGCGTTTGCCGCCACGGCCGACGGCTTTGTGCCGAGCGAAGGCGTGGGTGCCGTGGTGCTCAGACGGTTAGAAGACGCGGTGGCCGACGGCGATACGATCCACGCAGTAATCCTCGGTTCGGCATCGAACAACGACGGACACACCAACGGGCTGACTGCCCCCAACCCCGACGCGCAACGTCGCGTGATTCTCGATGCGTGGCGTGATGCCAAGATCGATCCCGCGACACTCAGTTACATCGAAGCCCACGGTACGGGCACCCCGCTGGGCGACCCGATCGAGTTTGAAGCACTCACGGCCGCCTTCAAGGAGCACACTTCTCGGCGCCAATTCTGCGGGCTGGGTTCGGTAAAATCGAACCTCGGCCATTGCGAGACTGCGGCTGGCGTGGCCAGCCTGCTAAAGACGGTTCTCTGCCTGCAAAACAAAACTTTGCCTGCCAGTTTGCACATCGATGCGCCCAACCCCCATCTCAGGCTCGAATCTTCGGCCCTCACGCTCAATGATCGCTCGCGACCATGGCCAAACGAAGCTCACCCCCGTCGGGCAGGCGTCAGCGCGTTTGGTTTCAGCGGGACCAATGTTCATTTGGTGGTCGAGCAGGCGCCGGAAGTGAGGCCACGACCTGTTCTCGAGGAACAGGCGGAACTGCTGACAATCTCCGCTCGCTCGGAAGATGCGTTGCAGAAATTGGTGCAGGAATACGAGCGAGCGCTTGCAGGCAACAACGCACCTTCGTTACGCGATCTTTGCTTCACGGCCAACGTCGGTCGCCCCATGTTGAAACATCGTGTGGCGATTCTTGCGAAAGACGTCGCGGACCTACGAGAGAAACTAGCTCAACTCAAGGAGTGGGCGCGTCGCGATCAACTGCACGAAGATAGTGTCTTTGTAGGTCCACCTTCGGCGGAGTCGTTTGAGCGTCGAGTTGTCGAGCGAGTCGTTCCCGCTATGGCACAACTGCCGCAAGGAGTAGCTGCATGCTTGAAGGATGTGTGTCGCGGTGCGGTGTATCACGATTACGTGGTGAAGCGCTTGCCGCAGGGGATTGCACCCGCGGATAAGATCGACCCGGCTGCGTGGCCTTTGTTCCTCCGAGCAGTTGGAGAGCTGTTCACACTAGGTGTGGACATCGACTGGGCGAAAGTTGGCACATTGGGCGGACAACCTCAAGGGCACAGCGTTCCGCTTCCGACCTATCCGTTCGAGCATGGTTCAAGCTCTACTACTTCCAAACCAGAATTACTTGAGAAGCTGTTGTACCGGGTCGCTTGGGAGCCCTGCCAAGCAGAGCCTTTGAACGAGCCTCTCGCCGGTAACTGGATCATTTTCGACGATGAGTCGCCACTAAGCGTTGAGCTACGCAAGCAGCTTGAGTCAGTCGGTGGACGTTGCATCACCGTTACAGCGGGCAGCCACTGGGGTGAACCTCGCGATACTCACTTCCAAATCAACCCGACAGACCCTGAGCACTACGATCGCCTTCTGCGATCCATCCGTAGCGCCGATGGAGCATCGATCAGTGGAGTTGTACATCTGTGGAGAAATCTGAACGAGCGAGCGGAGTCAGGTTCTCTCAACTCGCTGAACAACATACTGCAAACCAGCCTCGGCTCGCTCTTCCATCTGGCGCAAGCCCTTGGACGCAGTCGGCAGGTTGAGAATCGCCGACTATTGGTGGTCACACGCGGTGCTCAGGCGGTTAGCTCGGGCGAAGGACCATGCGCCGATCTTGCTCCGCTGATGTCACTAGCTCAAACGCTACCCCAGGAACTGAAGGGACTGCGGGTTCGCGCCGTCGATTTGGAACCCAATGCACAGACATCTGCCGATGCCAAAGTTCTCTTCGACGAGCTGCAAACCACAACCGGCGATGTCGAAATTGCCTGGCGCGGCTCAAAGCGGTACGCGAGAAGATTGGTTCCAACGAATAAATCTGCAGAGCCTTGGGCGCCCGAGTCAGGCGGGGTGTATCTCATCACCGGGGGGTTGGGTGGCATTGCCCGACAAGTGGCCAACTGGTTGGCAGAAACCCCCGGCGTACGCATCATGCTCACCGGGCGTCGGGCATTGGACGACGAAGCCTGTGCCTGGATCGCGGAGCTTCAATCGCGAGAATCCGCCGTTGAGTATCACCGTGCCGACGTGAGTGATTTCGACGCAGTGTCCCTACTGGTGGAGAACATTGCTCGTCAGTACGGTCGACTCGATGCCGTCTTCCACACCGCCGGCGTGTTAGATCGCGACACACTTTCGCTCCGCAGCAAGAGCTACGAGTCGTTCCGTGAGGTGATGCGTCCGAAGGTCGAGGGGACCTTGCATCTGTGGCGAGCCACTCGCGAGCTTGCCCCCTCGCGATTCGTGCTCTTCTCGTCGATCAGTTCGCTTATTGGGCCGCTGGGCGGAGGGCAGAGCGACTATGCCTGCGCGAATCGCTTCCAAACTGCCCTGGCCGATCAACTTCACGCCGAAGGTGATAGGTCGATTGTTTCACTCGTGCTCTCAGAGTGGGGAAACGCGGGGATGGTTTCGGATTCAGAGGTTGGTCCCGTCGTACGCCGATTGGGGATCGAGCCGGTGCCGGAGACATTAGCACTTCAAGCTCTCGCCAACAGCATGTCTGGCGGGCTGGGGCACGTGGTGTGGCTGCAGGGCGAACGCTTTGCGCCAGAGAAGTTCTTTTCCGGCGAGGGGGACATAACAACAACACGGGTTCAACGTGAAGGGCCTACCGAGGGCTATAATTCGAAGTCGATCAGTTCCACCGCACCATCGCGCGTGCAAAGCCGTTCAGTCAACCCGCGGGATCTTCAGACCTGGCTCAGCGACTACCTCCGCGCTAGCTTCGCCAAGCTCTTGCAAGTTGATATTCAAGAGATCGAAGCGACGACGAACTTCATGGAGTTGGGTTTCGACTCGATCTTGGCCGTGCAACTGGCTCGGCAGTTGGAGAAGTCGCTGGCCGTGCCGCTTGACGTGCCCACGCTGTTCAAGTTTCCCTCAACCCGCGAGCTGGCAGCTCATCTGTGTGAACAACATTCAGAAACCATTGCCGCGGGACAGACAACAGCAACCAGCACGGTGGAAGGTCAAAAGACGGACGAACGTGGTGACCGTAGTTCGTCACAAGGTGAAGTTAGACAGCGTCCTCAAGCAGTTTCATTCGATTCTGAGGATCCTTCGAAATTTAGAACGGAGCCGCCAAGCACCGATGATATCGCCATCGTTGGGATGGGCTGCCGGTTCCCGGGGGCGAATTCTCCTGAGAAGTTCTGGGAGCAACTCCGCGATGGTGTCGATGCCGTGGGCCCCATGTCGGAGGAACGGCTGCGCGACTTGATGGCTACTCGTCGTAGCGGACCGATCCTGGGTGGATTTCTTGATGACGTCGCCGGGTTCGATCACCGCTTCTTCCGGCTTTCTGCCCGCGAAGCCCGCATGATGGACCCGCAGCAGCGATTGCTGTTGGAGGTCGTCTGGGAAGCGATCGAATCGGCCGGCTATACGCCCCAAACCTTGTCCGGCTTGTCGACCGGCGTGTTCGTCGGCATCAGCACCAGCGACTATGTGAAGCTGATCAACTCGGCCGAAGATCGACGCGACCCGCATGCTCGCAGCGGTGGCGCTTTGTCGATGACGGCCAACCGTATCTCCTACATTCTCGATCTGCGAGGTCCTAGCCTCGCCGTCGATACCGCCTGCAGTTCGTCGCTGGTGGCCCTCGATCTTGCGTGCCAAAGTCTGCGTAGTGGTCAGTCGCAGGTCGCAATCGTAGGTGGCGTGCATGTTGTGCTGAACGTCGACGGCTACGATGTGCTCACCCGCGAAGGCATGCTCGCGCGCGATGGGCACTCGAAGAGTTTCGACGATCGGGCAGACGGCTTCGCCCGTGGGGAGGGGGCGGCCGCTGTGATGCTCAAGCCGCTGGCCGCGGCACTTCGCGATGGTGACCACATCTGGTCGGTGATCAAGTCGTCGGCCGTGAATAACGACGGGCACTCGAAAGCAGCACTGGCCGCACCGAATCCTAAAGCCCAGGCCGAGGTCATCCGCCAAGCCTACGTGGCTGCCAAGATCGACCCCCGCACGGTTGGTTACCTTGAAGCCCACGGGACTGGCACGGCGCTGGGCGACCCCATCGAAATCGACGGGCTGACCTCCGCGTTTCCCACCGAAGTCGCTCGGGCATACTGCGCATTGGGGTCGGCCAAAACGAATGTCGGACATCTGGAGGCCGCGGCCGGCATGGCGGGGCTATTCCGCGCGGTTCTTGCATTGCGTCACGCCCAAATTCCACCCTCGCTGCACTTCAACGTACCGAACCGTCATCTGCGTTTCGAGGGCACCCCCTTCTACTTGAACAATCAACTGCGTGACTGGCCGTCGAGCGAACATGCACGCCGTGCGGGCGTTAGCAGCTTCGGCTTTGGCGGAACCAACGCACATGTGGTGCTTGAAGAAGCCCCGCAGACAGCCGCTTCCGCCGTTGTTGAAGAGGCATCGCCGCAGCTATTGACCCTTTCGGCCGTCACCCCCACGGCGTTGGCCCAGCTAGCCGGTGATTACGCAAAGCACTTGGGTGAGCAGTCCGATCAAACGCTCGCTGACATTTGCTTCACGGCCAACACGGGCCGCACCGCATTCCGTTATCGCCTTGGCATCGTCGCTGAAAGCCGTGAACAATGCGTTGAACAGTTGGAAGCTGCGGCTGAGGCTGGCACGTCGAAGCTGCCGGATACGAAGAGTGTCTCTCTAGGAGATTCCAAAGAGGAGCAAGCCCGAGCAGAACTTCTCGCAAATCTTCCCGACCAACTTGGGCAACTCTCCTCTGAGTCTGTCGCCTTGATGCGGGAGGCTTGCGAAGATTCCGAAGTCGTGCGTCTGCTGGACGAAACACAGGGGCATCCGACGAATGACGCAGAGGATCTCCGTCGACTGTTGAATCTGGCGGGATCATTGTTCATCGCCGGATTCGAGATCGATCTCGCCAAGCTGGAGCAGCATTGCGAACACCACCGCGTACCGTTGCCAACCTACCCCTTCGAGCCGGTCCGCCTGTGGGTCGACTTGCCAGCCGAAAGGAAACCGGTTGCGGCGACCGCCCATCAGTCGGCTCTACCAACCGAACAACGCCTTGCTTCCTGGTTCCATCAGGTCACTTGGGAGCCGGCGAAAGAGTTTGCAGCGCGCAGTGTTCCGCCTGGCGTCTGGTTGGTCTTTGCCGACGAGGCCGGTCTTGCCGAAGAGATGTGCCGTTGGTTCGAAGCACGGGAATGCCGGCGCATTCTCGTCCGCCGTGGCCACCGCTTCCGTCAGCTTGATGCCACGACCTACCGCATCAATCCCGATCAGCCTGGCGACTATCAACAGCTGTTCGAATCGCTACACGATTCCGGCGAACAGGTGGCCGGCGTGCTGCACCTGTGGACCTGTGATGCTGCTCGCCCTGAGGAACTCGATGTCAGTTCGCTCGAGAAGTCCATCGGACACGGGGTTGAAAGCCTGTTCCACTTGCAGCATCAGTTGTCCAAGCTCTCCTCGGCGGTGGTCGATCTGGCGGTCGTGACCTCGCATGCCCACGCGGTTGATAGGCACGTGCAGCAGCTCTCACCGGAGAATGCCACACTCGCCCCGTTCATGCGGGCGCTCTCTCAGGAGCAAGAACATCTTCGCTGCCGGCTGCTGGATATCGCACCGCGCGACGATGATTTTCAGGCTTCTAACAAAAGTATTCAGCAGTGGCTCGCCTCGAACACGGAAGAGCCGGTTGTGGCTCGTCGCGAACGGGAGTACTTCGTCCCTCGCCTGTCGCCCGGGTTACCGCAGAATCGGACGACAGTGCAAGTTCCGCCCATTCAGCCCGGCGGAGTCTATTTGATAACCGGCGGGCTAGGAAACTTGGGGCTACAGGTTGCCCGTTGGATCGCTGAGCAGAGTACGTTCGATGAACCAGTCAAGCTGATCCTTACGTCGCGCTCTTGCCTACCGGACGAAGATACCCAAGTTGCTACTGACAGCGACAGCCCCCGGTTCGCGGAAGTAGCTCAAATTCGCGAGTTGGGGCCAATCGTCTGGACGCCAGCACTTGACGTTACCGATGCCAACGCTGTCGAGCGGTTGATTGACGAGATTGATACCCGCTATGGGCGCCTCGATGGCGTCGTCCACGCCGCCGGAATTCTGCAGGACGGCATGCTCTACAATCGCACCCGCGAACAACTGTGGGACGTGCTGGATCCGAAGGTGCTGGGCTCTTGGAATCTGCACGTTGCCATAGGTGATCGTCCACTCGACTTTTTCGTCCTCTTCTCGTCCACCGCTTCGATCTTCCCCTTGGCGGGACAGGCCACCTACGCCGCGGCCAGCGCCTTCCTCGACGCCCTTGCCCATTTGCGGCGAGACGTTTACAACTTGCCCGCGTTGTCGATCGACTGGGGATTCTGGGGGCAATCGGCGGCTGCCGCGCCCGAGCGTTACCGCCGCTTCGTCCGCTCGCATGGCGTCGAGCCTATCTCCAACGCAGACGGAGTTGCCGCCTTCGCGATGGCTATCCGTTCGTCGTGTGCGCAACTGGCCGTCTTTCCGCCGCCAACCTCCACACCAGATTCCGCCTCTTCGGATCCTTCGCGCGAGCAGTGGCAACAATTCCTCACCAACATCCGAGATCACATCGCGCAAACCTCGGGTGTGATTGTCGATAACCTTGAACTCTACGCTGAACAAGGTCAGGCACTGGACCAGCTTTCAGCTTGCTACATACAGATGGCGTTTGCCAAGCTCGGTCTCTTCGCCGAGACGGGTCGTGTATACCCGATCGACGAACTCATCGAGCAGGGCCAACTCGTCAGTCATTTCCCCCGACTGTTGCCGCGTTTGCTTTCGTTCCTGGCGGATCAAGGAATTCTGAACCGCGAGGGGAACGCTTGGATTGTACCGCAGCCGTTGGATGGCACCTCTCCAGAAGAGCTTGCGGAAAAGTTTGAATCACAGTATCCCGCTATCGCCCCGCAAGTGAATTTGCTACGTCTTTGTGGGGCACAACTGGCCGAGGTTTTGTGTGGCGAAGTCGATCCGTTGGATCTGCTCTTCCCAGGCGGCTCGATGGACGCCGCCGAGGCCGTATATGCCGATTCCCCGGTGGCCCGGTTCTACAACCAACTGGTCGCTGCCGCACTCAGCGAACTGGTCGAACGCCCCACCGAACACGCAATCAGAATCATCGAAGTCGGAGCCGGCACCGGAGGCACCGCGGCTTCGCTGCTGCCCATCGCTCGCGATGCCGGCTGTCATTATCTCTACACCGATCTCTCCGACGCCTTCTTGAATCGCGCACAGAGTCGCTTTAGTGATGTGCCGAACCTGGAGTTCCAGCAGTTCGACTTGTCACAGCACCCGGCCGAGCAGGGCATTCCATGCGGGCAATTCGACATAGTCGTCGCCGCCAACGTCGTGCATGCGACCACTGATTTGAACGAGAGCCTCGAACACATTCGCAGTCTTCTCGCCCCGGGTGGTTACGTTCTACTGTTGGAGGCAACATGCAGCGAAGCCTGGGTCGATCTCACCTTCGGCCTCACCGAGGGTTGGTGGTGTTTTCAAGATCGCGACCTTCGGGTCGACTCACCCTTGCTCACTCGTGAGCAGTGGCTGCGACTGTTCGAGCGTCACGGCTTCGCTCCGGTCGAAGGCTTCCCCGAACCCACGCTACCGCTACAGGAAATCGGGCAGCAACTTTTCGTGGCTGAGCTTTCTCGAAGTGCTTCCGCTGCGATGGCGGGCAGCTCGCAGGTTGGTGTTTCGAGTGATGGATCTCAATCGCGAACGAGCCGAGAGATTCACTCAAAGCCCCAGTCGAACGCCGTCGATATGGGTGAGCCTTCGGTTCAATTAAGTGCTATCGAGGGGCAAATCCGGCAGGCCTTGGCCGCCGTGCTGCGGGTGGAATCCCGCGATATCGATCGCAGAGAAACCTTCCAGGACCAGGGTCTGGACTCTCTGTTGGCTTTGGAATTAGTCGGTCGTTTGAAGACGGCGGTGGGGGTACCGCGGTTGGGGCCGGCGGTGTTGTTTGAACATCCGAGTGTGGCGGAGCTGGCCGGGTATCTGGCGGAGCAGGGGGCGGTGGTTGCGGCTGGGGGTGAAGCTTCGCCCAAGAAGCCGGCGGTGACGAAGCGGCCAAAGGTGGAAGTGAAACTTTCGGTGCCTGCGGCTCGATCGGTGGTGGTTGAGAAAGAAGCATCTTCGTCTGCAGCCTCCGGCATTGCGATCGTCGGATATGCGCTGCGATTGCCGGGTTGTGGTTCGGGGGATGAGCTGTGGCGGGTGTTGTGTGAGGGGCGGGAGGAAGTCGGTCCGGTGCCGGGGGCTCGGCGGTTGCTTGCTGGGCGCGAGGATGTGGCGGGCGTGGGTGGCTTCCTCTCGGATATCGAGCAGTTCGACGGGCGATTCTTCCGCTTGTCTCCGGCTGAGGCCACGGCAATGGATCCGCGGCAGCGGCTGTTTTTGGAGGTGGCTTACGAGGCGCTCGAACAAGCCGGCTACGGTGGTGGTCGGCTCTCGGGCCAGCGGTGCGGCGTGTTTGTCGGTGCGGGAAGTCAGGATTACCAGGCCGGCAGCGGCGGTGGTGAAGGGGGTGTCTACTGGGCGACCGGTGCGAGTCCTTCCATCCTGGCCAGTCGGCTGGCGTACTTCTTGGACCTGCACGGTCCGTGTTTGCCGGTCGATACTGCGTGTAGTTCATCGTTGGTGGCGTTGCACTTGGCCTGCGACAGCTTAAGAAACAGTCAGTGTGATACAGCGCTTGTCGGCGGCGTTCACTTGAACCTGTGGTTGGCGAACTTCGCGGCGTTCGAACTGATGGGTGCGCTCTCGGCCTCAGGTCACTGTCGCGCGTTCGACGCCTCGGCCGACGGGTTCGTTCCGGCCGAAGGTTGTGTGGCCGTGTTGTTGAAACCGTTAGAGGCGGCCATCAGTGCGGGCGATACGATCCACGCGGTGATTCGCGCTACGGCCACCAACAATGACGGCCGCACCAACGGCCTGACTGCTCCCAATCCGGCGGCGCAGCGGGATGTCATCCTGGAGGCCTGGTCGGCCGGCAAGATCGATCCCGAAACGATCAGCTACATTGAGGCTCACGGCACAGGGACCCCGCTGGGTGACCCGGTCGAAGCGCGGGGCTTGAGTGAAGCGTTCGCCCGACATACCTCGCGACATGCCTTCTGCCAGGTGGGCAGTGTGAAGACGAACCTGGGTCACACCGAAACGGCCTCGGGGCTGGCCAGCCTGATGAAGGTGGTGCAGTGTCTGAAGCATCGGCAGCTTCCGCCGAATGCCAACCTGCGGGTGCCCAATCGCCACATCGCGTTCGAACAGACGGCACTGGTCTTGAGCGACCGCCTGCGGCCGTGGACTGCCAGTGTTCCGGGGGCTCCGCTAAGGGCCGGCATCAGCGCCTTCGGCTTCAGTGGCACCAACGCCCACGTCGTGGTGGAAGAACCGCCGGTCGTACCGCAACTACCCGAGCCTAAAGAACAACTCCCGCTGGCGGTACCGCTGTCGGCGGTGGGTGAGAAAACGCTGGATGAACTGGCGACTATCTATGAGGACGCCTGCCGCGAAGCGACTCCGTTCACAGCGTTGGCCACAACGGCGGCGTTGGGTCGCCTGCACCGTGGTTCACGCCTGGCGGTAGTGGCTTCCACGGTCGACGAGCTTCGCGAGCAGCTTACTGCTGCGGTGAAGCACGAAACGCCCGCGGGCGTTTACCGTCACACGCATGGTGAAGGCACGGCCGTGAGTGTGGGCGTGCTATTCTCCGGACAGACGACGCGACAGAGCAGCGAGCAGTTGGCCGAACTGATTCGGCGTTACCCGGTGTTCGCCGAAGCGTGGCATGAATGCGGCCGGCTGGTTAAAGGCCAGCTCGAAGAACCGCTCTCACGCTTGACGACTCCGGCCGGCGCCGAATTGTGGGATCGCACGCAGTACGCCCAGGTGGGGCTGTTGGCCTGGCAGGTCGGGCTGTGGAAGCTGTGGCAGAGTTGGGGGCTCGAAGTCGAAGCGGTCGCCGGTCATAGCCTGGGGCAACTCACGGCCGCCTGGGCTGCCGGGTGTTATTCGCTCGAATCAATCCTCAAGCTGGCCGTACTGCGTGGCCGCTTGATGCAGGGCTTACCTTCCGGGGCGATGGCCGCCGTGCGGGCCGGGGCGGAAGAGCTGAGCGAAATCATTGGGCCGTATGCCGATGAACTAGCCATTTCGGCGGTGAACGCCCCGCGGCAAACGGTTCTCTCGGGGAGTGCTCGGGCAATCGAGACAGTATTAAAAGAACTTGAAACCCGCGGCATCGCCGCCTCGCGCTTGCCGACCGATCGGGCGTTCCACTCGCCGTTGGTCGAACCGATGCTGGAAGAGTTGGCCCGCGGGGCCGATGCACTACCGGCGTCCGCACCCCATCGCACGTGGTACTGCACCCGCACGGGCGAAGCCTGGCCGGCTGATCGCGCGCCGACCGGCGATGACTGGGCCCGCCAGGCAAGAGAAGCGGTTCGGTTCCGCCAGACCGTCGAAGCGATTGCCACCGAAGGCTGCCAGGCACTGTTGGAACTGGGGCCGGGGGCGACCCTCGCGCCGCTGGCCGCCGAGGTTCTTTCGTACGCCTCTTCGAAGGCTTCCGCCCACGCGACGTTAGGTCGGGCGAAGTCGGTTCCCGCGAAGTTGGCCTCGGCCGTGGGTTGGCTTTATACCCGCGGTGTAGAGCTGGATTGGGGAGCCTACTTCAAGGCTCACGGTGTCACGCCCCGTCAGATTCCGTTGCCGACGTATCCATATCAGCGACAACGGCATTGGTTGGCGGATGCTCATTCAACCGTTTCGCGCGGAACGCCACAGAGGGCGTTCCCTACAGAGACGGTGGTTGCCGAAGAGTCGAGCCCGACACCGCTGGCCACGAGCGATCCAAGTGAGCAGGCGAAGCTGCTGTATAAACTGGCGTGGCAAGAGACTCCCGCATTGCCGATAGGTGACGAATCGTTCACGGGTCGCTGGTTGCTGGTGGGCCCTCAGGATGATGCGACGTTTACGTCTTTGGCTAATAAGATTGAATCGTCCAGTGGGACCGTGGATCGTCAAGTCATTGATCTGAATCATGACCGTTGGCAAGACGCTTCGCACTGGCGAGAGTTGCTCGCCGCCGATCATCTGGCGGGCGTGATCATTCAGCTGCCTTCGGGGACTGGAGAAACCGATACGGCCGCGGCGACTGAGCTGCGGGCGCAGGTCGTGCTGGCCGCCAGCGGGGCGTTGGCCTCTCTCGGTCCCCGCCGCTGGTTGCAGTTGCGGATGTTGTGGGTGACCCGTGGGGCGCAGGCGGCGGACGGTGCGGGTGATTCATCGCTCGATCTCACGCAGGCGGCCGCCCTGGGGTTGGTGCTGTCGTGGCCGTATGAACTGAAGGGGCTGCGCCGTCGGGCGGTGGATCTGGGTGTCGAACCAGATCCTGCTGACGCCGAGTGTCTGCTGGCTGAACTTGTAGCCTTGGCCGACGATGGTTTGGCCCAGCAGGATGCGGCGGCGGAGGTTCTGTACCGTTCTGGTAGACGAGCGGTGCGGCAGGTCGTTCCCTTGTCCGGTGGTCCGTGGTCCACACCCTGGAACTCGGGTGGTGTTTACCTGTTGACCGGGGCGCTCGGCGGAATTGGCAGTCAGTTGGCTCTGGAGTTGGCCCGAGATTACGAGGCGACGCTTGTACTCACCGGGCGAAGCGAACTGCCGGCGGCGGAAGACTGCGCGGCGTGGCTGGCCGAACATTCGTCGGACGATCCGCAGGCCGAACGCGTTCACCGGCTGGCGGAGATTCATGCGGCTGCGCCGGGGCGTGTTGTATATCTGTCTGGCCACATCGCTGCGGCAGAGCATGTTGAAGGTCTAAAAAACCTGATCGCCGAGAAGTACGGCCGATTGGACGGCATCCTGCATGCGGCGGCCGAACTGGAGACGCGGCAGTTGGCCCTACGAACGAAGACGGCCGAGTCGATGAAGCGTGTCCTCTCGGCGAAGGTCGCCGGCAGTCTGCATCTGGCGAAGCTGCTTGACACTTGGCCAAAAGCCCGACTGGTGCTGTTCTCCTCGATCGGTAGTCTCTCGGGCGCACTCTCCTCGGGTGAAAGCGACTACGCGGCCGGTTGTCGTCTACAGAATCACTTGGCCGCGAAGCTCCGGGCTGTAGGTCGTGCGGCTACGGCGGTGGCACTCAGTGAATGGGGTACCTCGGGCCTGCTGGCCGCCAACGCCGTGGGGCCGATCGTAAGGCAATTGGGTCTGAGTCCGCTGTCCGCCGAGACGGCTTCGGGAACGTTCGCCCAGGCGGTAGCGTCCGGTACAGCGATGCCGCTGGTGCTGGCCGGTACGGCGAAGTTCACGCCCGCGCGGATGCTGTTGGGTCAGGAAGAATCTTCTACCGCCACGATCGATTATTCACAGGTGGTCACCGCCACAACTAAAGCAGCCAAGACGGGCGCCGAACGTTTAGGTGAAGTCATCCCGCAGTTCGAAGGCGTGGATGTGGCGCTCGATCGTCTGGCGACAGCCTACGTGGCGAAGGTGCTCTATAGAGTTGATCTGCCGGCGTCGTTGGAAGATCTCACACACTCGCTGCGACTTGATCCGAAGTACATCCGGTTGCTCCCACGTCTTCTCGCCATGGCGGTGGCCGAAGGGGTGTTGGAAGAGACTGGTGTTCGGTACGCCCGCGGTTCGGCTTGGTCTGAGTTCGCGGAACTCGACACCGATTCACTGGCCGCCGAAATCGGCGAGCGGTGGCCGTCGTTGGCGGCGGTGGCGCAGCTGCTTTCGCGGTGCGGACCGAATTTGGCTGCGGTGCTGGCCGGTGAGCAGGATCCGCTGGAGTTGCTCTTCCCCGGCGGTTCGACGGCTGAAGCGACGGCAGTTTACGCCCAGGGCGAGTTCAACGCCTTCTACGCCGAACTGGCAGCCGCCGCCCTGGCAGCAGCCCGACCGGCAGGACGTACTTTCAAGATCCTGGAGGTCGGCGCTGGTACGGGGGCCACGACTGACGTGGTGCTCGATCGCTTGGCAGACACCCCTCTGTCATACACCTACACCGATCTCTCACCGGGCCTGGTGGCTGGTGCCCGTCAGCGATTGTCCGGCCGGGAAGGATTGAGCTTTCAGACATTCGATGCCGAGCGGGATCCGGCCACGCAAGGTCTGACGCCCGGCCGATACGATGCCGTGCTGGCCGTTAACGTTCTGCACGCCACTCGCGACTTGCGGGAGACGCTCGCCAACCTGCGAAAGCTCCTCACGCCCAGTGGCGTATTAGTCATCGTCGAAGCCACGCATTCACTGCGTTGGGTCGAACTCACGTTCGGCCTCACCGACGGTTGGTGGCACTTCACCGACGCGCCGCTGCGTGAATCCACGCCCCTGCTTGAGGACCAACAGTGGTTGGAACTCCTAACATCGTCGGGCTTCCAAAGCCCCGTCTCTCTGCCAGACGATAACACCCCGCTCGGCGAGCCCGGCACGCACTTGCTACTGGCGCAGAACACGAACGCGCCCATCGCAGCAGCCGCATCCACACCCGCGGCAGTACCGCCCGAACCAAAACAACAGCAGCCCCGCACTACCGCGAAACCGGACAGCAGCGCCCTGCTCGAAGCCACGGCCGACTATCTGCACGATCTGTTCTGTCGGGTGTTGGGCTTGGAGCCCTCGCAACTCGATCGCCAGGCCAATTTCATGGACCTCGGCTTCGACTCAATTCTGGCGCTGCAAATCCGTGGTCAACTGACCGACGAACTCGCGCTCACACTCGAACCCACGCTGCTATTCGAACATGCCTCGGTCGCCGCACTGGCCAACCACTTGGCCACCACCCACGCCACTGCCCTGGCCGAACACCTGCAAACGGAAAGCGAGCCGGTCGCCACACCCGAACTAACACTCGCGGCATCCCCAACACCGCAACCCCAGGTCCGCGTAGCAGAACTAGAAACCCAACCCGACCGCACGAACCAAATCGCCATCATCGGCCTCGCCTGCCGCTTCCCAGGAGCATCAACGCCTGAGGCGTTCTGGATCTTTCTCCGCACGGGCCAGCAGGCAGTTGCGCCACCTTCGGCCGAGCGCACCGCGCTGATGCCGAGTGCCACGGGGCGTTTCGCTGCCGGTGGATTCCTGGAAGGTATCGACGAGTTCGACGCCGGGCTGTTTGGGATCTCGCCGCGCGAGGCGCAGTGGATGGACCCGCAGCAGCGGCTGTTCCTGGAAGTGGCCTACGAAACGATCCAACGGGCCGGTTACGGCGGCGATCAACTGGCCGAGCTGCCGGCCGGCGTGTTCGTCGGCGTCGGTTCCAGCGAATACGCCACACTCACCGCACGACTCGGTCAGGCGGAAGCCCATCTGCAGTCGGGCACGTCGCTACCGATGATCGCCACGCGGACGTCGTACTTGTTGAACCTCGGTGGCCCCAGCCTGGCAGTGGAAACCGCCTGCAGTTCAAGTCTGGTCGCCGTGCACTTGGCTTGTCAAAGTCTGCTGTCCGGCGAATCCAAACTTGCCTTGGCTGGCGGCGTGAACCTAATCCTCGACCCCGCAGGTACAGAACTCGTCGGTCAATCGGGCATGCTGTCGCCGAAAGGTCGCTGCCAGACATTCGATTCCCGTGCTGACGGCTTCGTCCGGGCCGAAGGTGTGGGCGCCGTATTGCTTAAACCTTTGGCCGACGCCCTTCGCGATGGCGATCACGTTCTGGCGGTGATCTGCGGTACGGCCGTGAACAACGACGGTCACGCCAAAGCCGGTCTGCACGCCCCCAGTGTGGGCGCTCAGCGGCAGGTGATTACCCGGGCTCAGGCTGTGGCCGGGGTTTCGGGTGAGACGATTGGGTTGTGGGAGGCGCATGGGACGGGAACTTCGCTGGGCGACCCGATCGAGTGGGATGCGGCTTCGCAGGCGATTTCGTCGTCGACCTCACGGCGGGGGTTCTGCGCGATTGGTTCGGCGAAGACGAACGTGGGGCATGCCGAAAGCTGCGCGGGGTTGGTCGGGCTGGCCAAGGCGGTGCTGGCACTCGAGCACGCCACCCTCCCGCCAACGTTGAACTTCGAAGAACCGAATCCGCACCTGTCGCTGGCCGGCAGTCCGTTTTATGTGAACGACCGTTTGCGGAAGTGGCCAAGCTCGGCAACTCATCCTCGCCGTGCCGCCGTCAGTAGTTTCGGCTTCGGCGGGACGAATGCCCATGTGATCCTGGAGGAAGCACCCAAGCCGCCAGCCAAAGTACGAGCGGAAGCTGAGCGTCCCGCCCATCTGCTCACACTTTCGGCCGCCACACCAACCGCCTTAAAAACCCTGGCCGCTACCTACGTCGAGTACCTCGACACGCACGCCGAGGTGCCGCTGGAGGATCTTTGTTTCACGGCGAACCGTAGTTATGCCGCGGGAGCGTATCGACTTGCGGTGGTGGCACGATACCCAGATCATCTTTGTGACAAGCTGCGGTTGTACAGTCAGAGTACGACGGAAAGACCGCTGGCTGGGTCGCTGATCTTCACACGGATGGAAGATGAAGACCGCCGGGAGGAGTTCCTGGAACAACAGGTGTTCGCTCGATTGGCGAAGCTGCCGGCCGAGGCTCGCGAGTTGGCTTCCGCGTGGTGCGGCGGTCGCTGGGGTCGGCGGTTGTCGCAGTGGCTCGCCGAGCGAGGTGAGGAAGCATCGTCTGCGGATGCTTCGCTTTCGCCGGAGGACTGGGTCGAACTCTACGCGACCTTGGCTGCCTGGTACGCGATGGGTGGCACGTTGCGGCTGGAGGCGATGCAGCCTGTGGGGCGTCGGGTGCCGTTACCGAACTATCCGTTCGAACGTCGACGGTACTGGCTACCGACGGCACCACGGCGGGAAGCGCCGCAGCCGTTAGAGACCGTCTCGGACTCAGATGAAGTCTCGCTTGCGACGGTCTGCTCCTGGTTCTTTGAGCCGCAGTGGGAGCGGTTCACGCCCGAAGAAACATCACCCCTTTTGGGTCGCTGGCTCGTTGAGGGTGCTGAAGGATCCTCGTTGGCTGAAGCGATTTCCGCAGAACTCAAGTCGGCCGGATGCGAAGTCGAAACAACCGCCGACTCAGGTAGCGCGCTCTCCGGGGTAGTGGTCGTTGTAGAAGAGTCGCAAGCTTGGAACGAAACGGCCGACGCTTCTTCGATTGAAAACGAAGTGTTGAGTCGGCTGCAGGCCCTGGCTTCGCATGCGGCAGCGCTCAACGAAAAAACAGGTTCACAGCAACTGCCCGTGTGGTTCGTCACCCGCGGTGGCCAGCCGGTGCATGATCCGGCGGCGGCCGATCCTCGTGCTGCGGCGGTGGCTGCCTTGGTGCAGGTGATCGGTCAGGAGTATCCGGAACTCGACTGTCGTGTGATCGACTTGCCTTGGGCTGCATCACCTGAATCCGCTTCGGACGTTCTGGAAACCCTCGGCTACATCTTTGCCCTGCCAGTGATTGCCTGGCGAGAGGGTGTGGCTTGGTCCCGACAGTGGCAACTGAGTGACGTGACGTCATTGCCTAATGCCTCACCACCCTTCCGCACCGGCGGGGTGTATCTCATCACCGGCGGTCAGGGGAACATCGGCCTGGAACTAGCAGCCCGACTGGCCAGTGAAGGAACTTCCCATGAGCCGGTGCGGTTGGTATTGGCATCGCGACAAGCTCTACCGGAAGAGAGCCAGTGGGATGCGTACCTGAATTCGGCCGATGCTGACCCGACGCTTTCAGCCCGCATTCGCGGTATTCGTCGATTGCAAGCCGAACACGACTGCGAGGTGTGGCCGGTCGTGCTCGACGTGGCGGATGAAGTGGCGACCGCCGAACTGCTCGATCAGATTGACAGGCGGCATGGCCGCTTGGATGGTGTGGTTCACGCCGCCGGTGTTCTGCGGGACGGGATGCTGTGGAACCGCACGGCTGAAGAACTCTCCGCCGTGCTGCATCCGAAGGTGGCCGGCACGTGGTCGTTGCTGAAGGCACTGAAAGATCGCGAACTTGATTTCGTGGCGCTCTGCTCTTCGATGTCGGCCCTGGAACCGTTGGCCGGGCAGGGGGCGTACGCCGCGGCGGGGGCGTTCATGGACGCGGTCGCCGCCCGAGCCAGCGTGGACTGGGGCTTGCCGGTCACGACGATCAACTGGGGTTTTTGGGGTGAGACCGAGGTGGCTGCCCCGCAGCACTACCGCGACTTCCTGGGTGCCCAGGGTGTGCAGCCGATGTCGAACCTGGAAGGTCGGGCCGCCTTCGCCGCGGCGCTGGCCCTCGGTCGCCCACAGGTAATCATCACGCCGTTGAGTCACGAGAAAGCGGGTCTTTCGGACACAGTTTGGTCGGAAGTAACCACCGCTGCCGAGACGGCCAGTCAACAAGGACTCGAAACCCTGGCCAGCGAGGCCGCGTCACTAGCGGAAGGTCTGGCGATTCTCGATCAACTTTCGGCCCGCTACGTGGCGTCAGCTTTGGCGAGTGTCGAACTGTTCACTGCGGCAGGCGCGACGCACGACCGGGCGGAGATCGTCAGTCGCCTGGAACTGCTACCGCTGTTCGAACGGCTGCTCGATCCGCTGCTGACGATGCTGATCGAAGATGGTTTGTTGGAAGCGGTCGATGAGAACCGCTGGCGATCGCTTGAGTCATTCAGTGCTGAACCGAATACGGCCGAGCTCGAAGCCCAGCTCAAAACGGTCTGCCCGCTGCTTTCACCGCAGGCCGTGCTGCTATGCCGGTGCGGGGCCGAACTGACCGAGGTGCTCTCAGGTCGTACTGATGTGCTGGGGCTGTTGTTCCCCGGCGGTTCGCTGGCTGATACGGAAGCCCTCTATGCCGACTCACCGTTGTCGCGGTTCTACAGCAACATGGTTGCCGCGGCGATCGGTACGGCGGTCGATGCGACGAATGCTGAAGTGCGGCTGCTGGAGATCGGCGCGGGCACTGGCGGAACGACCCGTTCGGTACTGCCGGTGCTGCCCGCGGATCGCAGTCAGTACACGTACACTGATCTCTCGCGGGCCCTGGTGCTGAAGGCCCAGGAGCGGTTCGCTGAATACCCGCAGGTTCGCTACCAGGTGCTCGACATTGCGGAAGATCCAACGGCGCAGGGTCTCGCAGCCGGCAGCTTCGACATCATCCTGGCGGCAAACGTTCTGCATGCGACGCATGATCTGACCGAGACGCTTACACATGTTCGGCAGTTGCTCACCCCCGGCGGACTGCTGGTGCTGGTCGAGGCGACGGGGATTCAGCGTTGGGGGCTGTTGACGTTTGGGCTGACTGAAGGCTGGTGGTGCTTCGACGATGCGGAGCTGCGTACGGATAGCCCGTTGCTCACACTCGATCGCTGGCGGGAGTTCCTACCGACGGTTGGGTTCACTGATGTAGCGACGCTACCCGAGGGCGCTGCGGCGGCCGAGGTCACTCAGCATGTCCTGCTGGCCCGGGCCGATGCGGCGGTGCCCGCGGGTGAATCCGTTGCCGAACCGTTGGAAGTATCTGCCGCCGCGTCAACGATTGAATCAACGACCGAAGTCAGCACGTCGACGCTGGAACGCACGATCGCTCGGGTGCTGGAAGAGGTGCTGCGGTTGGAGCCCGGCCAGTTGGATCGCCGGCGTTCGTTCCAGGACCAGGGTCTGGACTCTCTGTTGGCTTTGGAATTAGTCGGTCGTTTGAAGACGGCGGTGGGGGTACCGCGGTTGGGGCCGGCGGTGTTGTTTGAACATCCGAGTGTGGCGGAGCTGGCCGGGTATCTGGCGGAGCAGGGGGCGGTGGTTGCGGCTGGGGGTGAAGCTTCGCCCAAGAAGCCGGCGGTGACGAAGCGGCCAAAGGTGGAAGTGAAACTTTCGGTGCCTGCGGCTCGATCGGTGGTGGTTGAGAAAGAAGCATCTTCGTCTGCAGCCTCCGGCATTGCGATCGTCGGATATGCGCTGCGATTGCCGGGTTGTGGTTCGGGGGATGAGCTGTGGCGGGTGTTGTGTGAGGGGCGGGAGGAAGTCGGTCCGGTGCCGGGGGCTCGGCGGTTGCTTGCTGGGCGCGAGGATGTGGCGGGCGTGGGTGGCTTCCTCTCGGATATCGAGCAGTTCGACGGGCGATTCTTCCGCTTGTCTCCGGCTGAGGCCACGGCAATGGATCCGCGGCAGCGGCTGTTTTTGGAGGTGGCTTACGAGGCGCTCGAACAAGCCGGCTACGGTGGTGGTCGGCTCTCGGGCCAGCGGTGCGGCGTGTTTGTCGGTGCGGGAAGTCAGGATTACCAGGCCGGCAGCGGCGGTGGTGAAGGGGGTGTCTACTGGGCGACCGGTGCGAGTCCTTCCATCCTGGCCAGTCGGCTGGCGTACTTCTTGGACCTGCACGGTCCGTGTTTGCCGGTCGATACTGCGTGTAGTTCATCGTTGGTGGCGTTGCACTTGGCCTGCGACAGCTTAAGAAACAGTCAGTGTGATACAGCGCTTGTCGGCGGCGTTCACTTGAACCTGTGGTTGGCGAACTTCGCGGCGTTCGAACTGATGGGTGCGCTCTCGGCCTCAGGTCACTGTCGCGCGTTCGACGCCTCGGCCGACGGGTTCGTTCCGGCCGAAGGTTGTGTGGCCGTGTTGTTGAAACCGTTAGAGGCGGCCATCAGTGCGGGCGATACGATCCACGCGGTGATTCGCGCTACGGCCACCAACAATGACGGCCGCACCAACGGCCTGACTGCTCCCAATCCGGCGGCGCAGCGGGATGTCATCCTGGAGGCCTGGTCGGCCGGCAAGATCGATCCCGAAACGATCAGCTACATTGAGGCTCACGGCACAGGGACCCCGCTGGGTGACCCGGTCGAAGCGCGGGGCTTGAGTGAAGCGTTCGCCCGACATACCTCGCGACATGCCTTCTGCCAGGTGGGCAGTGTGAAGACGAACCTGGGTCACACCGAAACGGCCTCGGGGCTGGCCAGCCTGATGAAGGTGGTGCAGTGTCTGAAGCATCGGCAGCTTCCGCCGAATGCCAACCTGCGGGTGCCCAATCGCCACATCGCGTTCGAACAGACGGCACTGGTCTTGAGCGACCGCCTGCGGCCGTGGACTGCCAGTGTTCCGGGGGCTCCGCTAAGGGCCGGCATCAGCGCCTTCGGCTTCAGTGGCACCAACGCCCACGTCGTGGTGGAAGAACCGCCGGTCGTACCGCAACTACCCGAGCCTAAAGAACAACTCCCGCTGGCGGTACCGCTGTCGGCGGTGGGTGAGAAAACGCTGGATGAACTGGCGACTATCTATGAGGACGCCTGCCGCGAAGCGACTCCGTTCACAGCGTTGGCCACAACGGCGGCGTTGGGTCGCCTGCACCGTGGTTCACGCCTGGCGGTAGTGGCTTCCACGGTCGACGAGCTTCGCGAGCAGCTTACTGCTGCGGTGAAGCACGAAACGCCCGCGGGCGTTTACCGTCACACGCATGGTGAAGGCACGGCCGTGAGTGTGGGCGTGCTATTCTCCGGACAGACGACGCGACAGAGCAGCGAGCAGTTGGCCGAACTGATTCGGCGTTACCCGGTGTTCGCCGAAGCGTGGCATGAATGCGGCCGGCTGGTTAAAGGCCAGCTCGAAGAACCGCTCTCACGCTTGACGACTCCGGCCGGCGCCGAATTGTGGGATCGCACGCAGTACGCCCAGGTGGGGCTGTTGGCCTGGCAGGTCGGGCTGTGGAAGCTGTGGCAGAGTTGGGGGCTCGAAGTCGAAGCGGTCGCCGGTCATAGCCTGGGGCAACTCACGGCCGCCTGGGCTGCCGGGTGTTATTCGCTCGAATCAATCCTCAAGCTGGCCGTACTGCGTGGCCGCTTGATGCAGGGCTTACCTTCCGGGGCGATGGCCGCCGTGCGGGCCGGGGCGGAAGAGCTGAGCGAAATCATTGGGCCGTATGCCGATGAACTAGCCATTTCGGCGGTGAACGCCCCGCGGCAAACGGTTCTCTCGGGGAGTGCTCGGGCAATCGAGACAGTATTAAAAGAACTTGAAACCCGCGGCATCGCCGCCTCGCGCTTGCCGACCGATCGGGCGTTCCACTCGCCGTTGGTCGAACCGATGCTGGAAGAGTTGGCCCGCGGGGCCGATGCACTACCGGCGTCCGCACCCCATCGCACGTGGTACTGCACCCGCACGGGCGAAGCCTGGCCGGCTGATCGCGCGCCGACCGGCGATGACTGGGCCCGCCAGGCAAGAGAAGCGGTTCGGTTCCGCCAGACCGTCGAAGCGATTGCCACCGAAGGCTGCCAGGCACTGTTGGAACTGGGGCCGGGGGCGACCCTCGCGCCGCTGGCCGCCGAGGTTCTTTCGTACGCCTCTTCGAAGGCTTCCGCCCACGCGACGTTAGGTCGGGCGAAGTCGGTTCCCGCGAAGTTGGCCTCGGCCGTGGGTTGGCTTTATACCCGCGGTGTAGAGCTGGATTGGGGAGCCTACTTCAAGGCTCACGGTGTCACGCCCCGTCAGATTCCGTTGCCGACGTATCCATATCAGCGACAACGGCATTGGTTGGCGGATGCTCATTCAACCGTTTCGCGCGGAACGCCACAGAGGGCGTTCCCTACAGAGACGGTGGTTGCCGAAGAGTCGAGCCCGACACCGCTGGCTACGAGTGATCCGAGCGAGCAGGCGAGGTTGTTGTACAAACTCGGTTGGCACGAGACGCCCGCATTGTCGACTGCACACGGATCCTTCACCGGTCGTTGGTTGCTGATCGGTCCGCAAGATGATGCGACGTTTACGTCTTTGGCTAACAAGATCGAATCGGCTAGTGGCACGGTAGATTGTCAGATCATCGATCTGAATGATGTCCGTTGGCAAGACGCTTCGCACTGGCGTGAGTTGCTCGCTGCCGACGACCTTGCCAGTGTGATCGTTCAATTGCCTTCAGGGGCTCAAGAAACCGACACGGCTGCCGCGACCGAGTTGCGGGCGCAAGTCGTGCTGGCCGCCAGCGGGGCGTTGGCGGGTCTTGGTCCGCGGCGGTGGTTGCAGTTGCGGATGTTGTGGGTGACCCGTGGGGCGCAGGCGGCTGATGATGCAACCGATGTATCGCTCGATCTCACACAGGCGGCCGCTCTGGGGTTGGTGCTGTCGTGGCCGTATGAACTGAAGGGGCTGCGTCGTAGGGCGGTGGATCTGGGTGTCGAACCAGATCCTGCTGACGCCGAGTGGTTGCTGGCTGAACTTGTAGCCTTGGCCGACGATGGTTTGGCCCAGCAGGATGCGGCGGCGGAGGTTCTCTACCGTGGGGATGCACGAGCGGTGCGTCAGGTCGTTTCGCTTTCCGGTGGTCCGTGGTCCCCACCCTGGAAGACGGGCGGTGTTTACCTGTTGACCGGGGCGCTCGGCGGAATTGGCAGTCAGTTGGCTCTGGAGTTGGCCCGAGATTACGAGGCGACGCTTGTACTCACCGGGCGTAGCGAACTGCCGGCGGCGGAAGACTGCGCGGCGTGGCTGGCCGAACATTCGTCGGACGATCCGCAGGCCGAACGCGTTCACCGGCTGGCGGAGATTCATGCGGCTGCGCCGGGGCGTGTTGTATATCTGTCTGGCCACATCGCTGCGGCAGAGCATGTTGAAGGTTTAAAAAACCTGATCGCCGAGAAGTATGGCCGCCTGGACGGCATCCTGCATGCGGCGGCCGAACTGGAGACGCGGCAGTTAGCGCTGCGAACGAAGACGGCCGAGTCGATGAAGCGTGTTCTCTCGGCGAAGGTCGCCGGCAGCCTGCAGCTGGCGAAGCTGCTCGACGTTTGGCCGGAAGCCCGACTGGTGCTGTTCTCCTCGATCGGTAGTCTCTCGGGCGCACTCTCTTCGGGTGAAAGTGACTATGCGGCCGGCTGTCGGTTGCAGAATCACCTGGCCGCGAAGCTCCGGGCTGAAGGTCGTGCAGTCACGGCGGTGGCGCTCAGCGAATGGGGCACTTCGGGCTTATTGGCCGCCAACGCGGTTGGCCCGATCGTACGTCGATTGGGTCTGCGCCCGCTGACGCCCGAGACGGCCTCCGGGACTTTCGCCCAAGCGGTGGCATGCGGTGCAGCGATGCCGCTGGTCCTGGCCGGTACGGCGAAGTTCTCACCCGAGCGGATGTTGTTGGGTCAGGAAGAAACCACTACCGAAGCGATCGATTATTCGAACGTGGTGACAGTAACGACCGAAGCAGCCGCTGCGGGGGCCGAACGGTTGGGTGAAGTGATCCCGCAGTTCGAGGGAGTCGATACGGCGCTCGACCGTCTGGCGGCGGCGTACGTGGCGAAGCTGCTTGAGGGTGTTTCATTGCCGGCGACGCTTGCGGAACTCACTCGATCACTTCGGCTCGATCCGAAGTACGCACGGTTGCTGCCGCGACTGTTGGCGATGGCGGTGGCCGAAGGCGTGTTAGAAGAGAAAGCAGGTCTTTATTCTCATGGCTCGCGTTGGTCTGAGTTCAGCGATCTCAACACTGAATCACTGGCCGCCGAAATCGGCGAGCGGTGGCCGTCGCTGGCGGCGGTGGCCCGACTGCTTGCGCGGTGTGGGCCGAAGCTGGGTGCGGTGCTCGCCGGTGAGCAGGATCCGTTGGAGTTGCTGTTCCCCGGCGGCTCGACGGCCGAAGCCACGGAGGTTTACGCCCAGGGTGAGTTCAACGCCTTCTACGCCGAACTGGCGGCTGCGGCCCTGGCAGCAACGCGTCCGACAGGACGGGCGTTCAACATCCTAGAGGTCGGCGCCGGCACGGGAGCAACGACCGACGTGGTGCTCGATCGCTTGGCAGACGCCCCTCTCTCATACACCTACACCGATCTCTCACCGGGCCTGGTCGCCGGAGCCCGACAACGATTGGCCGGCCGAGATGGCTTGACCTTCCAGACGTTCGACGCCGAGCGTGACCCAGCCACTCAGGGTCTGCAACTCGGGCGATACGATGCCGTGCTAGCCGTTAACGTTCTGCACGCCACGCGTGATCTGCGGGAGACGCTCGCCAACCTGCGAAAGCTTCTCACCCCCAGTGGCGTATTAGTCGTCGTCGAAGCCACAGATAGTCTGCGCTGGGTCGAACTTACGTTCGGCCTCACGGACGGTTGGTGGCACTTCACCGATGCCCCACTCCGCGAATCCACGCCGCTGCTCTCTGCCGAACAGTGGATTGAGTTGCTAAACACTTCCGGCTTTCAGAGCCCGGTCGCCCTGCCAGACGATAACACCCCGCTCGGCGAGCCCGGTACGCACTTCCTGCTGGCGCAGAATACGAATGCGCCCATGGCAGCAGCCGCATCCACACCCGCGGCAGTACCACCCGAACCAAAACAACAGCAGCCCCGCACCACCGCGAAACCCGACAGCAGCGCCCTGCTCGAAGCCACGGCCGATTACTTACACGACCTGTTCTGCCGGGTGTTAGGCCTGGAACCCACGCAACTCGACCGCCAGGCCAACTTCATGGACCTCGGGTTCGACTCGATCCTCGCGCTCCAAATCCGTGGTCAACTGGCCGACGAACTCTCGCTCACACTCGAACCTACGCTGCTGTTCGAACACGCCTCCGTCGCCGCGCTCGCCAGACACCTGGCCACCACTCACACCCAAGCCCTGGCCGAACACTTGCAGACCGAAAGCGAGCCGGTCACCGCACCCGAAGTAGGCCCCGAACCAACCCCCGCACTTCCACCCCAGGTCCGCACAGCACAACCAACAACCCAACCCGACCGCACGAACCAAATCGCCATCATCGGTCTCGCCTGCCGCTTCCCGGGAGCTTCAACGCCGGAGGAATTCTGGAACCTGCTGAGTAAGGCCGGCAATGCCATCACTCCGCCGCCGGAATCGCGGATGAAGTGGTGGCGGACATTGACTGAAGGTGCCAACGGCCATGGATCGCTGAGTCGCTACATCGGCGGCTTCCTCGAGGACATCGAGGAATTCGACCCGGCGTTTTTCCAGTTGTCGCGGCACGAGGCGCGGCTGATGGATCCGCAGCAGCGGCTGTTCCTCGAGGTGGCGTGGGAGGCGATCGAACGGGCTGGGTACCGTGTCGATGCTTTGGCCGAGCGGCGGTGCGGCGTGTTCGTCGGAGTGAATGCGAACGAGTATGGGGCGATGTTGGCGCATACGCCGGATGGGGCCGACCCGCATCTGCAGTCGGGCAATGCCGTGTCGTTGGTGGCCACGCGGTTGTCGTACTTGCTGAACTTGCGAGGACCGAGCCTTACGGTGGATACGGCGTGTAGCTCGTCGTTGGTAGCGTTGCATTTGGCTTGCCAGAGCTTGCTGACGGGCGAGGCGAACATGGCCATCGCCGGCGGTTCGAATCTAATTCTGAACCCCAAGGGAATGGAGATGGTGGGGCAGTACGGCATGCTGGCTCCCGATGGTGCGGTGAAGGCCTTCGACGATCGAGCCGATGGGTTCGTGCGTGGCGAAGGCGTGGGGGCGGTGTTGCTGAAGCCACTGAGCGATGCGTTGCGAGACGGCGACAACGTGTTGGCAGTGGTGCGGGGCACGGCGGTCAACAACGATGGTCACGCCAAGGCTGGATTGGCGGCACCCAGCGTGGGGGCGCAGCGAGAGGTGATTGCCGACGCTTACTCGCGGTCGGGTATCGATCCGCGGAGTGTGAGCTACATCGAGACGCACGGCACCGGCACGTCGCTGGGAGACCCGATTGAGATGCATGCACTGGAAGGGGCGTTCGGGCAGGCGACGGGTGACCACAGTTTCTGCGCGGTGGGTTCGGCCAAAACGAATATTGGGCACCTGGAGTCGGCTTCTGGGGTGGCGGGACTGATTCGCGCGGTTTTGGCGTTGTCGAACGAGGCATTACCGCCGACGCGGAACTTCGAATGCCCGAACCGTCACATCGCGTTTGCTAACAGCGCGTTCTATGTGAACGATCGCTTGCGACCCTGGACCAGTGGAGGGAGCAAGCGACGGGCCGGGGTGAGCAGTTTTGGGTTTGGCGGGACGAACGCCCACGTGGTGTTGGAAGAAGCACCGCGGGTTGTGGATGTGGCCAACCGTGCGGCTGACGAAGGAGTTTCGGTGTTGACGCTTACGGCGAAGACACCGGAGGCCTTGCGGCAGCTGGTGAGGGCTTATGCAGAGCAGCTTACCGCCGACGAGCGATGGAACCTGGCTGATGTGTGCTACACGGCGAATGTTGGTCGCAACAAGTTCGCGCACCGGCTGGCGATTGTGGTGCGGCATGCCGATCAACTGTTCGACAAGCTGCGGCTGCTCTCGCTGAGCGGCAATGACGCGAGCCTGATGACGTCGCATATCTATCAGAGTTTAGAGTCGAAGGAGATTGATGCTTCTCTGATCGAGGCGATCTGTTCTCTGAGCGATGCTGGGCTGGCGAGGTTGGTGGCTTGGAGTGTAGGAGGGAAGCTCGATTCGCTGCTTGCATCGGCGAAGCGGAAGAAGCCTGCTGACTCTGCGATTAAGGAGACTTTGAAGCCGGCGGAACGGCTTGCGTTGCTGAAAGTGGTTGCACAACTTTTCACGCAATGCTGGGATTTCGACTGGGATGCGATCGAGTCGGAATCGCTGGGCCGGCGACGGGTGGTGCTGCCGACGTATCCGTTTGAACGGGTGCGATGTTGGTTCCGGACCGAGGATGAAGTGGAGCGGGATGAGACGACCGAGTCCAAGCTAGTTTCGGAAGTGAAGGCCAAGCAATTAGTAGCTGCTAAGCCAACGGCTGAGAAGAAGCCTTCGCAATCAAAAACAAAAAAGCGAAAAACCCCATCCAAGAAGCGCAAAGCAGCCGAGACGAAGGCGAGTGGGCCGACTGAGATGAAGGAAATCGCACCGAAGAGGAACCGCAAAAAGAAAGCTGCCGAGGCTGCGACGCCTGAAGTGCCCAGTGTGGATAATTGGTTCTATCAGCCGAGTTGGGTTGCCGCTGAACTTGGAAAGACAGCGGCCGAGGAGACCGTAGCGCCCGGCAAGTGGTTGATCTTTGCCGATGGTTTGGGCATCGGGCAGGCTTTGGCCGAACGGCTGCGACGCAACGGACACGAGGTGTGGGTGGTGTTGCGGGGAACACGGCAGAAGGCGACCGACGAACATACATTCGAGCTGAATCCTGACAAGCAGGCCGACTATCGCAAGCTGATGAAGTGGATCGACGGGCCGGTCGACCATGTGGTGCACTTGTGGAGTTGCGACCGCGAGACGGGTGCGGTTGGGTCGCTGTTCGACCTGGCGTCTAGCCTCAGCGATGGGGTGCGAAGCCTGAGCATGCTGTGGAAGGTGCTCGCAGGAAGCAAGTCGCTTGACCTGCGGTTGGTGACTTCGCGGGCGTGGGCACTCGAGAGCGATGCAGAGCAATCGTGCCCCGAGAAGGCCGCGGCTTGGGGGATGATCAAGTCGATCGCACTAGAGGACTCGCACACTAAAGTTCAGGCCATCGATATCTCGCCGGAGGATGTGGGGCGAGGGTTGGTCGAACGACTGAGTGCCGAACTCGTGGTCGATGCCGAGCACCAGGAAGTGGCACTGCGGGGAACCAATCGCTACGTGGCTACCTGGCATCCGTTGGATTTCACTTCGGTCGAGCGAAGGCCGATGCCGGTGAAGAAGAATGGGGTATACCTGGTCACCGGTGGACTGGGTGGCATTGGGCTTGAAGTTGCTGCTTGGCTGGCGAGTGAGTGGTCGGCCAAGCTGGTGCTGACGGGTCGCTCGGAGTTCCCGCCGCGTGAAGCTTGGGAGTCTTGGCTCAATGAGCATGCGGCGAATCATAGGGTTTCGCGAAAGATCCGCCGGTTGATGGAACTCGAAGCGGCGGGAGCTGAGGTGTGGACTGTGGCGGCCGATGTGGCCGAGTTGGAAGACATGGCCGAGGTTGTGCAGCAAATTCACGACCGCTTCGGACAGCTCGACGGGGTGTTCCACACGGCGGGAGTGATTCACGACGGGCTGTTGGCCAAGAAGCGAATGACCTCAGTCGACGATGTGCTGCGGGCGAAGGTGCAGGGGGCCTGGGTGTTGGATCAGGTGACTCAAGCGCAACCACCGGAGTTCATGGTACTGTTCTCGTCGATTTCGGCTGTGCTGGGCAGCCCTGGGCAGGCAGACTACGCGGCCGCGAATGCTTACCTGGATAGTTTCGCCACTTGGCGCGATGCGCAGGGGCGCCCCACGATGAGTATCAATTGGGGGCTGTGGGGTGAAGTGGGTATGGGGGTGAAACGGGTGCGGCAGACCGAGCGTTCTGGCGCGCTGAAGGCCATGCCGACCGCCTCGGCACTTGCGGCCCTACAGCGAGCGATGGCGTTTGATACTCCGCGGCTGATTGTCGCCGCCTTGGGTGAGCGGTTGCAACCGCCCATGCATCCTGCAGCGACGGTGGGGGCTGCAGAGCACGAGCCTGCTGTGGAACACGATGCAACGGACTTCACTTTAGAACAAGTGGAAGAGCACCTACGCAAGCTGCTGACTCGGTTGTTGGAAGTTGAGCCGAGCGAGCTCACCCGTGAGAGGCATTTCGCCGAGTTGGGACTCGACTCGATTCTGGTTGTGCAGCTCACGCGGGAGCTTGAATCGCAGATTGGCCGCTCGTTCAAGTTCGACCTGTTGCAGGACTATCCGACGCTGGGGGAATTGGCGAATTTCCTGCATCATGAACTCACCGCCGGGTAGGCAATTGCCGGAGCTGCGTGGCGCAAGTGGTGGTTCTCACGAAACTTGCTGAGGGAACCGGGTGCCACATGCTTGGCTTCGCCCCCGGTGGGGTTCTACAATGAATATTTGCTGTACCACGGGCGGTGGGTGAAGCCCGAGGCATTCTTTCTTGCTGTGGACCTACCGCACTGCGAGGCCATTGAAACCGCCCCGCCGAATTTTAGACGAGCCTACGATTGATCGCAGTTGGTAGATCTCGCTGTTTCTGGCGCTTGGCAGGCAAAGGGTATTCCCTCTGTCTGTTGGTATGGGCGTTATGCGCTTCGAGTGTGTGCTACGCAGAAGACCGCCAGGTGGGGCAGGCGATCGACGACTTCACGCTTCGCGATTTCCGTGGGGCGGAGCACTCGCTGAGTGATTTCTCCAATGCCAAGTTGGTGGTGGTGGCCTTTTTGGGAACCGAGTGCCCCCTGGCCAAGCTTTATGCTCCGCGGTTGTCGCAGTTGGAAGAGCAGTACGCGGATCTCGGCGTGGCTTTCCTGGCAATCAATGCCAACCGGCAGGACTCGAACACCGAGCTGCTGCACTACGCTCGCACGCATGGCATCGACTTTCCGGTGCTGAAGGATCTATCGAACGAAATCGCCGATCGCTTCGACGCGCGACGTACGCCGGAGGTGTTTGTGCTCGATGCGAATCGGACGGTTCGCTACCGAGGCCGAGTCGACAATCAGTACGACGTAGGAACCCAAAGGGCGGAACCGACGCAGCACGACTTGGCCGCGGCGCTCGATGCGTTACTGGCAGGGGACGAGGTGGCCGAGCCGATTACTGACGCTCCTGGTTGCTTGATTGGTCGGGTGCGTGAAGTCGATCCTTCGAGTGATGTGACCTGGTCGAATCAGATCTCGCGGTTATTTCAGGAGCACTGCCAGTCGTGCCATCGTCCGGGACAGATTGGTCCTTTTCCGCTGTTGGAATACGACGATGTGGCCGGTTGGGCGGAAATGATCCAAGAGGTAGTTCATCAAAAGCGGATGCCGCCTTGGAATGCGGACCCCAACTATGGCGAGTTCAGCAATGTGGCGGTGCTGAGTGAAGAAGAGTTGAGCTTGATCGATCGTTGGGTGGAAGCGGGTGCTCCGGAAGGCGACCCGGCTGAGTTGCCAGCACCGGTGGAGTTCACCGAAGGGTGGCAGATTCCTGAGCCCGATCAAGTGATCTACATCGACGATGAGCCTTTCACTGTGCCGGCCGAGGGCGTGGTCGATTACCAGTGGTTCACGGTCGATCCCGGTTGGGACGAGGATAAGTGGATCACGATGGTCGAATGCCGGCCAGGCAATCCGGCGGTGGTGCACCACGTTACGGTGTACTTCAAGCCGCCGTATGTCGACTGGGATCTCCCGTTGGGTGACAGGATAAATCTGCTGGGTGGTTTTGCGCCGGGGAAAAAGCCGGTGAACTTGAAGGAGTTCGACGGCACTGCGCGGTATGTGCCCGCCGGGTCGCACCTGGTTTTCGAAATGCACTACACGCCCAATGGATCGGTACAGACCGATCGCAGTGGGATTGCGGTGTTGTTTGCTGAACCAAGCGAGGTGCGGCGTCAGCTCTCGATGGTGATGGTGGCCAACACCGAGTTCGAGATTCCGCCCCACGAGTCGAATCACGTGGTGGAATCACGGTATACGTTCGACGAAGATTCGCTGCTGTATTCGCTCAGCCCTCACATGCATTTGCGGGGCGATACGTTTCGCTTTGTCGCGCATTATCCCGACGGTGCAGATGAGATTCTTCTGGACGTGCCGAACTTCGACTTCAATTGGCAGTTCGACTATCTGCTGAGCGAGCCGAAGGTGATGCCCAAGGGCACTGAGATGCATTGCATCGCCACGTTCAACAACTCAGAGGACAACATTGCGAACCCCGATGCTGATAAAGCCGTGCAATGGGGAGATCAGATCTGGGACGAGATGATGATCGGGACGATTGCCATCGCGCCCCTCGATCAGGACTTGAAAGCCAACACGGGTAAACCGTTAGAAATTGGCGGCACCTATCGTTGGGCCTTGGTGTGGATTTGTTTACTGACGGTCGGAATGATCGGCTTCGTCTGGATAGGTAAACGGGCTTGGAGAAGCGTGGCATCGGTGGTTGTGTTTGCCGTGCTCTCGACTGGCTTGTGTGGTGAGGTGTTGGCCGAGGGCGATTCTAGTGCTGATCCGCGCGTGGGGATGGAGATTGAGGAATTCGCGTTGCAGGATTTTCGCGGGGGTGAACACGCCCTGAGCGATTGGGCCGAGAGCCCAGTAGTGGTTGTTGCGTTCATGGGCACCGAGTGTCCACTGGCCAAGCTTTATGCGTCTCGATTGGTAGAATTGGCCGAGGATTACAAAGATTCGAACGTTGCGGTGGTGGCCGCTTTCTCGAACCGGCAAGATTCGATCGAGGAAATGGAGCACTTTGCCCGCGTGTACGGAGTTTCGTTTCCCTGCTTGAAAGACGTCGGCAATCAGGTGGCCGATCAGTTCCAGGCGCAGCGGACCCCGGAAGTGTATGTTTTGGACAAAGATCGCAAGGTTCGGTACGTGGGGCGGGTGGACGATCAATACGATGTGGGCGTGGATCGTGCGGAACCCGAACATCGTTTCCTTGTAGATGCCGTTGATGCATTGCTAGATGGCGAAGAAGTGCCTGTTGTCGCTACCGAGGCTCGGGGCTGCATTATCGGTCGGGTGCTCGAGGCGGATGAGGCTGCGGAAGTCACCTGGTCGAACCAGATCGTTCGAATCTTTCAGAAGCGATGTCAGAACTGCCATCGACCTGGCGAGATCGCTCCGTTTTCTCTTTTAGAGTACGACGAGGTGGTTGGTTGGGCTGAGATGATCGGCGAGGTGGTCACTCAACGGCGGATGCCGCCCTGGTATGCCGATCCCGAGCATGGCGAGTTCGTGAACAATGCCCGATTGACGGACGAAGAGTACGAGCAGATTCTGACGTGGGTTGCGGCGGGAGCCCCCGAGGGGGATCCCAGTAAGATGCCGCCTCCGGCGGAGTTTCCGACTGGATGGCGATTGCCGCGAGAGCCGGACCTCGTCGTACCGATGAGCGACGAGCCATTCACCGTGGCCGCTGATGGGGTGATCGAGTACCAGTACTTCGTAGCCGACCCGCAGTTGACCGTGGGCCGGTTCATCGATGCGGCCGAGTGTCGCCCTGATAATCATGCGGTGGTGCATCACATCAATGTATTTGTTTTGCCACCCGAGTTGGATACGGGCAATCTGACTCGCGACGACTTGGCCGAAATGTGGGATCTGCAGCATCACATGCTTTGCGGCTATGTGCCGGGCATGCTGCCCACGGAGTTTCCCGAGGGAATGGCGAAGTACGTTGCCCCAGGTTCGAAGTTTGTCTTCCAGATGCATTACACACCCAACGGTAGTGTGCAGCAGGACCTCAGCTCGTTGGGCCTGGTGTTCGCCCCCGAAGGTGCAGAGCGACGAGAGGTCACGACGACACCGGCCATGAACAACTGGTTTGTCATTCCTCCTAACGAACCAGAGCATGTGGTTACGCTTGATTACAACATCAAGCGCGATACCGAAGTGCTTTCGTTCCTTCCGCACATGCATCTGAGAGGTAAAGCGTTTCGCTATGTGGCCCATTACCCCGATGGGACCGATGAAATTTTGCTCGACGTGCCCCATTACGACTTCAAATGGCAGAACCGCTATGTGTTGGCCCAGCCGATGATGTTGCCAGAGGGAACTGTGGTGGAGTGCATCGCCACGTTCGATAACTCAGAAGACAATCTCTCGAATCCCGATTCCACGGTCGAGGTGAGTTGGGGGGAGCAAAGTTGGGAAGAGATGATGATCGGGTACTTCGATGTCGTGGCGGCTGAGCCTGAGCCGAGCCTTGCTGGGAACGAGTCCCGCTCAGCTCTGCTCTATCTCACGCTGGGTGGTCTGGCGGTGGCAGCCGTTGTGGTGATGGCCGTGCGTCGTCGTTCGCCCGCTGTGTAAGACGCTCGACTTCGATGCGGTGTCGAGTCCTTGACTTCATCTGCTGCGTCGGACATGGTGCGAGCTTGTGGAGTAGGGCAGTCGCTCTTGGTGTTCCGTGGGGAGATGTGGCATGGATTTGGAAGCTCGGGTTCGTCGGCTGGAGTCTCAGAACGGCCGCTTGAAGGTTGTTCTGGCACTGCTAACGCTCGTGATGTTCGGCGTGGCCGCGATGGCGGTTCTGCGTGTGATCGAGCTTCGCAGGGAAGCCCGCGCGCCTGCCGGCCCATCGCTGGTGCAAGCCGAGCGGTTCATCTTGCTCGACGAGCAGGGAAACCAACGGGCGGTACTGGGCGTGGGGGCCAACGAAGAGGCCATGCTGGAGCTGAACGACTCCAGGGGAAAGCTACGCCTGCGGATGGATGTTCCCAGCTCTGGGCCGGGGGTGACGCTGAGGGATGACCGCGGCAAAGTTCGGGCTTTGTTCACCGTTTACACCGACGGACCGTATCTCGGAATGACCGACGAAGACGGTAACGATCTCTTCCAGGCCCCGCAGCTCACTCCGTCAGAAAATAATCCCGCTGGCGGTCCCTGAGGGCGTGTGCCCCAGAGGGCACCTAGGGCGGGTTCTGTGTCGATTCGCACCCCGGGAGTGCGGCGATTTTACAAGTTGGGCGTAGCTGTAAGCCTACAAATCGTCAGAACTTACTGCCGAAGCGTTCGACCTTGGCGGCCTGCTGGCTTAGACTGAGAGGATATACAAATATTGCGTCTGGCAGCGTTTCTCGGGCGCTGTCGAGAAGGCGCACTCGGTGTTCCGCTTCGTTCGCATCAGCGTTCTCGGATGATCCCCATCTATTGTGAATCCGCCGGCCGATTTCGCAGCAAATGTTGCTTGCTGCTGGGGGCTCTTCTTGCCGGACTGATGTTGTTTCAGGGCTTCGCTGCAGAGGCCGACGATGAGAGCTTGGCGAACATTGTCGGTCAGTCGATTTCCCGGTTCGAGCTACAAGATTTTCAAGGTCGCTCGTACGCGCTCGAAGACTTCGATGAGCACCCTGTATTGGTCGTGGCGTTCCTGGGTGTTGAGTGTCCGTTGGCCAAACAGTACGCCTCGCGGTTGGCGGCGATGAGCGAGGAGTTCGTTTCACAGGGTGTCGGCTTCGTGGGGGTGGACAGCAACGTTCAAGACTCATTGGAAGAGATAGGCCACTTCGCGCGAAAGCACGAGTTCACCTTTCCCTTGTTGAGAGATCGCGACCACGAGGTGGCCGACCTGTTCGACGCTCGACGCACCCCTGAGGTGTTCGTGCTGGATGCCGACCGAGTGGTTCGTTATCGCGGAAGAGTCGACGATCAGTACGGCTTCGAGCAGGGCACCGGTTACCAGCGACCGCAAGCAGAACAGAAAGACTTGGCGGCAGCGATAGAAGCGGTGTTGGCCGGCAGAGTGGTCGAGAACCCTGTGACTTCTGCTCCGGGTTGTTTGATTGCCAGGACTGGCGAACCGAATCCCGACAGCCCCGTCACCTGGTCGAATCAGATCTCCCGTTTGTTTCAACGCAGTTGCCAAGAGTGCCATCGCGAAGGTGAGATTGCCCCGTTCCCGCTGATGACCTACGAAGACACCCGCGGCTGGGAGGCGATGATTCAAGAGGTGGTGCAAGAGAACCGCATGCCACCGTGGCACGCCGACGAGCGATACGGCGAGTTTTCCAACGACTGCCGGCTTACCAAGGAAGAAAAGCGGTTAATCGACGTTTGGGTCGAAAATGGTGCTCCAGAAGGTGACCCCGCCGAATTGCCAGAACCGCGTGAATTCGTCGAGGGTTGGCAGATTGGCGAACCGGACGTCGTGTACTACATGCGAGACAAACCCTTCCAGGTGCCAGCCCAAGGGTTGTTGGAATACGAATACTTCATTGTCGATCCCGGTTTTACCGAAGATCGATGGCTGAAAGCGTGTGAGTGTCGGCCTGGCAATCGAAGCGTGGTGCACCATATCAATGTGTTCATCCTTCCACCGGAGTTGGACAACACGTTTTTGCGCGACCAATTGACGAACCGTTTGCTTGATGGTTACGCCCCTGGGTTTCGTCACGAGCCCTTGCCCGAGGGAATGGCAAGTCGAGTCCGCGCGGGGTCGCGATTCGTCTTTCAGATGCACTACACGCCCGTGGGAACTCCGCAAGAAGACCTTAGCTACATGGGCGTGATCTTCGCCGACGAGGAAAAGGTCGAGCAGAGCGTCGAGATGCCGTTGGCGTTCAATGCCGAGTTCGCGATCCCGCCGGGTGCGTCGGACCACCAAGTGAAATCGATGTACGAGCTGAAGACCGATGCCACTTTGTTCGCCATGATTCCGCACATGCACCTGCGGGGCAAGTCGTTCCGTTACGAAGCGCTTCATATCGACGGAACGACCGAAGTGTTGCTTCATGTCCCGCGCTACGACTTCAACTGGCAGAGCACCTTTCAGCTGAGTGAACCCATAGAACTGCCGGCAGGCACGATCGTCGAGTGCACCGCGGTGTTCGACAATTCAGAAGACAACCTGGCAAACCCCGACCCCACGGCGACGGTTACCTGGGGCGACCAGACCACCGACGAGATGATGATTGGTTATCTCTGCCTGGCTAAGCCGAAGGAGTTGGGCGATCTTCCGAATGCACCTCCTCAGCGGTCTGTGGACTTTGCGGAAGCTCCGCCGATCGTTCCGAGCGGGCTGGCGTGGCTAGCCGTGGCGGTGGCTTTAGTGGGAAGTTCCACTGCCCTCGTGTTTGTTGGGCGACGAATGCGGATGGGTGCCTCGAAGTCATGATGTGTCAACGTTGGACAATCTGCCTGAGTCTTGCCATCGCATTGTTGGCATTCGCTCCGGCATGCGCATCCGATGATGGTAGCGATACGGTATCCGACTTCGAACTGCGAGATTTTCGCGGCAAACTCCACAAGTTGAGCGACTACTCCGATGCCAACGTTGTTGTGTTGGCATTCTGGGGCACCGAATGCCCGCTGGCCAAGTTGTACGCCCGGCGTTTAGCGGAACTCGCAAACGATTACGGCGATGAAGGAGTGGTGTTCCTGGGCGTCTTTTCAAACCAGCAAGATTCGCTAGAAGAATTGGGCCACTTTGCGCGAAAGTATGCGATCGATTTTCCCTTGCTGAAGGATGCAGGAAATGTGGTGGCCGATCAACTCACGGCCGAGCGGACACCGGAGGTGTTCGTTCTTGATGCGAATCGCACGGTTCGCTACCGAGGGCGGGTAGACGATCAATACGATGTGGGCGTTTTACGGCCGGAGCCTTCTCGGAGCGATTTAGCAGTTGCACTCGATGAGCTGCTGGCTGGGGATGAGGTGAGTGTGCCGCGCACCGAAGCTCCCGGGTGCTTGATCGGTCGCGTGAAGCCGGTCGATGAAGGGGCCGAGGTGACTTGGTCTGGACAGGTTGCTGGGATATTCCAAGAGCACTGCCAGGAATGCCATCGACCCGGCGAGATTGGACCATTTCCCTTGCTCACCTACGAAGATACCCAGGGCTGGGGCCCGATGATTGCCGAAGTGGTTCAGCAAGAGCGGATGCCACCCTGGTTTGCGAACCCCGATCACGGTGAGTTCTCGAATGAATCGAGCTTAAGCGAGGAGGAGAAGCAACAGATTCTCGCTTGGGTTGCTGCCGGGGCACCGCAGGGTGATCCAGCAGAGACGCCTAAGCCGCGATCATTTAATTCTGATTGGCGAATCGCCGAGCCAGATACCGTCGTCTACATGTCGGAACTACCTTTCGAAGTGCCGGCCGAGGGGGTCGTGGAATATCAGTGGTATTTTGCCGATCCGGGGTTTACTGAAGACACGTGGATTAAGGCGGCCGAAGCCAAGCCGGGCGCACCCGACGTGGTGCATCACGTGACGATCTATATCAAACCGCCCGATGTTCCGTTCAGCTTGCAGATGAACGATCGCATTGCCTTGCTGGCTGGGTTCAATCCCGGGGGCGATCCGTGGCGGGCTCCAGAGGGAATGGCCGTGAAGATCCCCGCCGGATCGGAACTGGTGTTTGAAATGCACTACACGCCCAACGGCATCCCGCAAGAAGACCGCAGTTATGTCGGGCTGGAGTTTGCCGACCCAGCCGAGGTGCGGAAGGAAATCGTTTGCGTGATGCCGGCCGACACCGAGTTCGAAATTCCTCCACATGAAAGCAATCACGAAGTAGCGACTTCGTGGTACTTCCCGGCCGATTCGTTGCTGTTGGTGATGCGACCTCACATGCATCTTCGTGGTAAGGCATTCCGTTACGAGGCCGTCTATCCCGACGGCACCGAAGAGATTCTGCTGGACGTGCCGCACTTCGACTTCAATTGGCAAAACAATTACGTGCTGGCCGAGCCGAAGGAGATCCCCGGGGGTACCGAGATGCGCTGCACGGCTTGGTTCGATAACTCGGAAGACAACCTATCAAACCCCGACCCCACGGCCACCGTTCGTTGGGGTGATCAAACGACCGATGAAATGATGATTGGTACCTTTGCCATGGCGCTGGCCGATCAAGACTTGTTGATGCAATCCACCCCGCAGGTTGCAGATTCTCGTGGCGGACCGTGGCTGCCGTTGACGTTTTTGGCAGTGGCTGTCGTGACAGCTGGAGTTTATCTCGCTCGCGGGCGACATGCGGTACGCCGTGAAAGTGCGAGATAAATAAGTAGTGATTTTTGGGGCGGACAATTCAATGCATCACAGTCATCCAACCAAACAGAACAAGAAGCTGCTGCGGTTGTGCATCGCTGCGCTCCCGTTGCTGGGGTTGCAAGTGAGTGCTGTGCATGCTGCTGACGATCAGGCGGGATACGAACTTTTCGAGCGGCGGATCCGCCCGATGTTCGTCGAGCAATGCGGTCGTTGCCATGGGGCGGATCTGAACGAGCCAAAAGGTGGATTGCGGCTCAATTCACGCGAAAGCTTACTTCTGGGGGGCGACCGGGGCCCGGCAATTGTGCCGGGTAACCCCGACGCAAGTTTGCTGATCCAGTCGGTGCGGCACGATCCGGAAGTCGATCTGGAAATGCCGCAAGGTCGAGAGCCCTTAAGTAAAGAAGCGATCGTTGATCTAGTCGAGTGGGTCGGTTTAGGAGCTCCATGGCCGGCGGACGTTGTGGTGGACTCGAGTTCATCGGAAGGTGAAAGCTCTTCCGAGTGGGCGTTCCAGCCAGTCCAAGAGCCTGCGGTGCCGGAAGTGCGTGATCAGGGGTGGTCTCAGACTGCCGTCGATCGATTCATTTACGAGCGACTGGCGGCCGAAGGTCTTTCACCCGCCGCACCGGCAGATCGCCGTACGTTGATTCGACGCGCAACCTACGACTTGATTGGATTGCCACCCACGCCGGAAGAGGTGGACGACTTTCTCGCCGACACTTCGCCCAACGCGTTCGCGCGAGTAGTCGATCGTCTGCTGAGCAGCCCTCGTTATGGAGAACGGTGGGGACGGCATTGGCTCGACCTGGTTGGCTACGCGGAAACGGACGGAAACGAATACGATCCTGATAAACCCGATGCGTATCGCTTCCGCGACTACGTGATCGAAGCCTTGAATGTCGACCTGCCGTACGACGAGTTTCTTCGCGAGCATTTGGCCGGTGATTTGTTGGATGAACTCCGGCTGAGCCTCGATGGATCGCAGTTGGCCAGTCCCGTGGCAACCACCTTTTACTGGTTGGGCGATGTGCAGAACGTTCCTGTCGATGAGGCGATGGCGGTTGCCAACCAGGTGGAACGGCAGATCGACGTGATTGGAAAGGCGTTTCAAGGTCTTACGTTCGCATGTGCTCGCTGCCACGATCACAAGTTCGACCCGATTTCTACCGAAGAGTATTACGGCCTGGCCGGGTTCATCTACAGTTCGAAGAGCGTGCATCGGTCAATCGACTCACCCGCCAAGCAAAAAGCGATTGAACGCCACGTAAGCGAGATGCGTGCGCTTCGTCGAGAGATCCGGTCGTTGTCCTGTGTTTCGGCCGTGGAAACGCAGCGGAAGGCCATGGAGATGACGGCTGAATATCTCTTGGCAGCCAAGCCGTTACTGCAGGGCGATGAAGCCCCTGAACAGGATCGCCTTGAACAAGTCGCCAGCCAGCAGCGACTCGATGCTTCAATACTTGGTAGCTGGTGTGAGTTGCTAAGTGCAGCGAATGCCAATCGTGATCCAATCTTCTATCCCTGGGTGCGGCTAGCCGGCCAACCGCCCGAGAGAATTGCCCGACGAGCAGCAGATTTTGGGAAAAGTATGTCGAATGCCTCCACCGGTGTGCTCGGTGGGATGGCGGGAGAACAATTGTTCGAGGGCTTTGAACGCACGAGCTACGGTAACTGGAGAGTCATCGGCCCGGCTTTTGAAGGTGGGCCGGCTCACGATCCCCCACCCGAAATTCATGGGGTCCAAGATTCGGGTTACGCGTCTAGTGCGGGAGTCAGCGATGTGCTCACGGGCCGCTTGCTCAGCGACCCGGTGACTTTGCCCAAGCCGTATATCAACCTTCTCATTGCAGGAGGAGATTTTCCGGATCGGGCTTGCTTCAATGGCATAATTTTCGGCCAGCGAATTCCCGAACTGATGGTCACTGGGGATGGTACTGGAAAGATGCGGCTAGTCAGTCTCGATGTTCGCAACCTCATTGGTCGCGAGATTCGTTTCGAACTGGTCGATGAAGTCAGCGAACCAGGTGGGTGGATTGCGGTTGATCAGATCTTCTTCTCCGACGAAGAACCGCAAATGCCAGAGCCGAAACCGAATGGTGTGGTGGCCGAGTTTCTCGGTCAACCTGGTTTGACGAGCACAGCCGGTTTGGCTCAACGCTACGAAGACGCACTTCTTACGGCCCTCGACCGGTGGCAAGAACTCTTGGAGGAGAATCCTGAAGCTACCCGGCTAAACGATGAGGGAGCAGAGCAACTCAGACGTTTCGCTTTGGGAGACATTAACCCGTTATCAACGCAGGGTGCCGTCAGTGTGGTCAGTGAAGAACTCAGCACCAAGCTCGCAGCGTTGCGAGGGCGGTTGCGTGAACTCGAAGGAAGTATTCCTAAGTTGTCTACCGCCACGACTGCAGAAGATGCTCTATCGCAAGATGTTCCGGTTCATATCTCGGGGCAGCCAAGCAACGCTGGAGACATCGCACCGCGTGGCGTTCCGCAGTGTTGCTCGGCCGAAGGGGATGCCCCGGAATCGTTTGACGGTAGCGGGCGCATGTTTTTGGCCGACCGAATTGCCTCGGCCGAGAATCCGCTAACTGCGCGGGTGATGGTGAATCGTCTGTGGAAATATCACTTCGGACAAGGCTTGGTAAATACGCCCGACAATTTCGGTCTGCAAGGCGAGTCGCCCAGCCATCCCGAGCTATTGGACTACCTTGCAGTGCGGTTCATCGAGTCTGGCTGGTCGTTGAAGGCAATGCATCGCATGATGATGCTGTCTTCTACTTACCAGCAGGGCAACGCAGTCTCGAGCGACGCCCAACAAATCGATCCCGACAACCGGCTGCTGCACCACATGGCTCCGCGACGCCTGGAAGCCGAGTGCGTGCGGGATGCCATTTTGCAGGTGGCCGGGAACCTGAACGACGAGATGTACGGCCCCAGCGTGAAGCTATACATCACACCGTATATGGAAGGTCGTAGCTTGCCGGAGGTTTCTGGTCCCCTGGATGGTGATCGGCGACGAAGTATCTACCTAGAACTTCGACGCAACCATCTGCCCTCGATGCTGACCAGCTTTAATCTTCCAAAGCCAGCCACAACTGCCGGGCGACGAGTCACTTCATCTCTGCCAACACAAGCGCTGGTGATGTTGAATAACGAGTTTGTTCATCAGCAGGCTGCAGCCTGGGCGAGTTCGATTGAGGAACTACCCGAGGATCGGGACATTCGTATTCAGTCTGTCTACGAACGCGCACTCGGTCGGGCTCCCGAAGATGAAGAGCAGCAGTGGGCAGACGAGTTTTTTGAGTCGCAGCTAAAGAGATATCAATCGGTCGAACTGTCGGGTGCTAATGCCGAGGTAATGGCCTGGGCCGACCTTTGTCATGTTATGTTCAATTTGGCAGAATTCATGTACGTGCGCTAACCGATTGAACGGCAGTCATCAAACTACAACTTCTTGATGCACAGCGGCGTAATACACAAATCTTGACCAAGGCTCTCATCAGGGGATAGCAGTAAATAATGGACGAAAGCGGATCGACGAAGCAGCGAGGCAACTTGTTTTTGGCTTTGGTGGGGATGTGGATTGTGCCGGGATTTTTTCTGGTCGATACGCTACTCGCGTTCTGGCGCGGATGGGGCGTGATTTCTCGGGCGAATTACGGTGACTTTGTTGTCCTCGGCTGTGTAGCACTCATGCTACTTTCGCTGATCATTTTTTTGCTGATGGTTGCGATTGGGCCTACGCGAAGGGCCTTGCGGCGTGGCTCGGTGGGGATCGTGGTGCTTTCAGTAAGCGTCCTGGTGGGCTGGTTTATCGGAGAAGGCTTACTGATGTTGATTCATCCGCAGCCGGATTATCATCTTCGTCCGGTGGGCACAAAGTATGTGTTTCAGCCCGATCCATTTACGATGACTAACGTCAGCGGTGAGGCGGTGACTACCATCAACTCCCAAGGCGTTCGTGGCAGTGAACCACCGCCCAGGGACGAGGCTTATCGCATTCTTTGCGTCGGTGGTAGCACGACCGAGGGATACTATCTTGATGATACGGAGACGTGGACCGCATTGCTTGAAGAGCGTTTGGGCGAGGAACGCGACGGTGAGATCTGGGTTGGGGCTGCGGCTGTCAGCGAGTATGCCACCCCACAACATTTGCGCTTCATTGAGAAGTCGCCTTTGATCGATGAAGTTGACTGCGTGGTGCTGATGGTCGGCAGCAACGACTTCATGCGATATCTGCTGGGCTTCGATACTAGCACTGCGACGCCTCCCCTGTGGTATCGCTCGGGGCTTTTCGGTCTGGTGAAGGAATATTGGAATGCCTCGCGGGGGGCCGACCAGCGTACTCGCGGCTTCGTCGTCGATTCGACGGGTGAGGAACTCGACCTGCATCGATTAGGGATGAAGATCGAGGAGCATGAAGTACCGCTCGACGTTCCGGCCGCCGTGGAAGCCTTTGGAGAACGGCTCACGGCGATCTGCGATGCCGCGAAAGCAAGAGGTGTACGCTTGGTACTGGTCACCCAGCCGGTGTTGTGGGATGACTTTCTCAGCGAGCAGGGGAACCGTCGACTGAACATCGCTCGTGTACACCCCATCGAACGTCAATGGGACTATCTCACTGCCGCCAATCTGGGCGAGGCAATGTCGCAGTACAACGAAAAGGTAGTCGAAGTTGCGGAGGCCACTGGGACCGAGTATTTCGATGCCGCGCTCGACATGCGTGGTGAAGTGAAATACTTCTACGACGATTACCACTTCAACGAATCGGGCAGTTCCAAATTCGCCGAACTCCTCTCCGATTGGTTCTCCGAGAATTCTGGCAGCAAACAAACGACAGAATCAGAAGAAACCGGTGAGGCGAGTGAGCCACAAGGGAGCAATTAGCAAGCGCCCGGCTCAGTTGTGCAGCGTGTTCGAAGACGGCGCCGCCGGTAGCTCTAGAATGAAGCAACTGCCCTGACCGGGTTCACTCTCGACAAGGATCCGGCCGCCGTGTTCGTGCACAATCTTTTGAGTGACGGGTAACCCTAACCCGGTGCCACGGCCACCTTTGCGCGACACGAACAGGTTGAAGATCGCCTCTCGATCTTCGGGGGCGATACCGCCGCCGTTGTCTTCGACCTTCACCCGTAGCAGTCCATCTTCGGTGTTGTACGCCGTCGAAATGCGGACGTCGCCGCGAACTTCGTGGTTCTCCCCGGCGGCATCGATTGCGTTGGTCACAATGTTCAGCACGGCACGGTGAAGGCCATCGGGGTCGAACGTGAGGATGGGGATGTCCTCGTCTGGAGTCCAGGTGAGGTCGACATCCAGCTCAGAGGCGTGCACCGTCATCAGGTCGACGACCTCTCCCACGAGCTTGTTGATGTCTGAAGGCTCCAGCTCGGGGTCGCGATTCTTGCTGAAGGTCAGCATGTCCATGACCAGCGTCGAAATCTTGCTCTGGTTGCGATCGACGATGTTCCAGCCTTTGCGGATCACGTCTTCCTCGTGGTTCGCAAGGCCTTGTTCGATGAGATAACTCCCGCCGCGAACGCCCTGAAGAACGTTCTTCACATGGTGCGAGAGCGTGGCGATCGTCTGCCCCACGGCCGCCAGCCGTTCTGCTTGCACCATGGCCGAGTAGTACTGAGTGTCTTCCACTGCCAGGGCCGCTTGCTGGGCAATCACAATCATTAGCTTGAGGTGCTCTTCGCTGAATTGCTTGTTGGCACCCTGCTGAATGACCTTTTTCGCCGACATGGCCGTATCGATGTAAATCGCGCCGACATTTCCATACCGCCCCTGCATGGGAACGCAAATCGCTTCGCGAATTCCCATCTGCAAGATACTGGCCGCAGGGTTCCAGCGAGCATCGTCTTTGGCGTCGCTGGTCACAACGCCTTCGTTATGCTCGAGCACATAGTCCAAAATCGTGCGGCTGATGTTCATGGTCTGCTCGGCTTGCAGACCCTTCCGCGACCGCTGCGCCCGGGGGGCGTAGCGCTTCGTCTCGTGATCGTACAGCAGCACACAGCCGCGGTCGGCCTCGACCCAATCGAAGATTAACTCCAGAATGCGGCCCAGCAACTCATCGATATCGAGCGTATGGCTCACAGCCAACGCCATCCGATACATCACCTGTAGATTGCTGCGAGCCCGGGCTAGGAAAGTGCTTTCGGCCGATTCAGCCTGGGTCGTGTTAAATACCTGAGATCCGTCTTCCTGCCGCATCGCGCTGACGATCTGCGAGCTTTCGAGGCTCGAACCTTCTGGTTCACGCAGCACCACCTTTACCCGGCTGTGAGCGGTGTCTTCTTCAGTCACGCCCGTGAAGAGGAGCAACGTGCGGCCAAACTGCACATGGTCGCCACTGCGAAGTTCGTGGCTCGTGACGCGTTTGCCGTTCACGAAGGTGCCGTTGGAGCTTTCCTGGTCGGTCAGGACGCAAGTCGAGCCGTTCATGCGAATTTCGGCATGACGCCGGGAGACTTCGGTGTCGTGCAACTGGATGGTGTTGCCGGCTTCGCGACCCAGCGTGGTAACTTCGTCGCGCAGCTCGAAGCAATGGCCTTGGTCGTTGCCGCGGATGGCAAACAAAGATGGCAAGACCCCAACTCCTCAATTGAACAACGCTGCCCAAGTTCTCAGTGCGATTGATGTTCCCACAAGTTGAATCGCACGGCGGAGAACGCCTGTGAGACAGGGGGCACCTCTGACCAATCGCACCAAACGAATGAAAGTTGCCGCATGTCAATGCGGGCCACCCGGCTGGGGGCAGAGTATTCAGGCGTGTTGCAGTCCCCGGTTAGGGGTTACGCTGCCGAACGCTGCGAGCCAGCAAGTAACTCTTCGATTTTACGGATCAGCGGTCCGTAGTGATAGGGTTTTCGCAGCACGGCCTGAGAAGATGTGGGCGGGGCATCGCGACGGACATTCCCCAGCATCACAATCGGGGTCGACGATTCGTCGGAGGCTTGTACCACCGCCTGACAGTCGTAATCCGAAGGAATCGGATCGGTTTCCAGATCGAGCACCACCAAGTCTGGATGATGCGTACGAACCATCTCGGCGCCCTGGTTGGGGGCGTCGGCTTCGATAATATGCCAGCCACGGCATTCAAGAACCGTTCGCAGCACTTCTCGCGTTTCGGGCAAACGGTCGACGATCAGAACGCTTTGTCTGGGAGCCAACGACGTACCTCCATGTACGCATCTAGCTGGACGTGGGATGCGACGCAGGCGAGCCGGGCTCGACTTCCTGTCGGGCCAATTCGCTCGTTCCCCCCAGACGTATGTCGCACAGTCACGCGAGTAGGTTGGATGGACACCGAGAAGCCATAAGGGGTTAGGCTCGCCCGGTGCGAGGGTTGCAGAGAATATCGACCCGAGGGTTGCGTGTCAAAACCGATTTGCAACTTGACGCTCGGGGGGCCGAGACCGAGAATTTCAGAGATCCAAGTTGTTCTACGCTACGTAGTTAACGAAGAGCCAGGCGGTGCATCCCCCGGGCTCTGTCGTCGATTTTCCTTCCAACTGCGAGAAACGAATTTGATGCGTATTCAGATAAATCTGGCTGGCCGCGTAAATCGCGTAAGTATCCTCACATCCCTGGCATCCGCGATACTCGTGGTGCTGGCAGTTGGAACGGGTTTGACGTCCGCTGGGCTAGCCTTGGCCGGAGAAGCCGACGCGACGGCTGAAGCGAACACGGCCGAGGCCATCGAGCTGCGGCTCAAGTCGGCGGCCGATTATCTCGCGGCCGACGATCGCGATGGACGTGGCGTGGGTACTGAGGGGATCAACGAAGCGGCCCAATACATTGCCGACCAGTTCGAAGCGTTGGGTCTGCAAACCGAGGTTTTCGACGGCAAGCCCTTCCAGCCATTCACGCTCACTACCGGGGCGTCTCTTGGAGAACCCAACTCCCTGGCCTTCGTTCACAAGGGCAAGGGCGAAGGGGACGATTCTGAGACTATCGATCTGGAACTGGCCAGCGATTTCACACCCATGGCATTGGGCGGTTCGGGCGACATCGACCTGCCGCTGGCTTTTGTCGGATATGGAATCACGGCTCCCGACGAGGGATACGACGACTACGCCGACATCGATGTGGAAGGTAAGGCCGTGATCGTCATGCGGCACGAACCCCAACAGAACAACCCGCATAGCGCGTTCGACGGAACCCGCGATTCACGCTATGCCCCGCTGACTCGCAAGATTTCCAATGCATACGAGCATGGTGCGGCGGCCGTGATTTTCTGCACTGATGAGTACGCTCTGTTGAAGGAGGTCGAGAAGCAGCAAAAGGCGTGGTCGAAGGCGATCGACAAACTTGCCATAAAGCACGCTGAGTTCTCGGAAATCGAAAATCCTTCGCTCGATCAGCTTCGCGAACATGAAATCGCCACTCAGAAATTGATGGAGCGCATCAAGAAGTCGGGCGAGCGAATGACGAAGAGCATGGACCCGTTGCTGGACTTCGACTACGGGGGAGCCGGCGATTCGTCCCGTGATATCTCGGTGTTTCACGTCAGTCGTGCCGCCCTGAATGAAGTGCTGGAAGCGGCTTTGGATACCGATTTAACCTCACTCGAGAAAGCCATTGATGAAGGGCCTAAGCCTCAGAGCAAAGATCTCCCGGGCTGGAAGCTCGAGGGGCAGGTGTCGATCGATGTGAACGAAGTTGAAGTCAAAAATGTGGCCGCCATCCTGGAAGGCGAAGGTCCGAACGCGAATGAAACCATTGTGATTGGCGCCCACTACGATCACGTCGGCTACGGTGGGCCCAATTCTTTGGCTCCTGGATCGACCGAAGTGCACAACGGGGCGGATGACAACGCATCGGGTACGGTGGTACTTTTGGAAGTGGCCCGCGAGTTGGCGACGCGTGGGGAGAAGTTGCCTCGGCGGATCATGTTCATCGCCTTCACCGCAGAAGAGCGAGGTCTGATTGGCAGCGCCCGCTATGTGGGCGACCCCGCGTTACCGCTCGAAGACACGGTGGCCATGCTCAACATGGACATGGTGGGCCGTCTCGATGAAGACGACAAGCTACTCATCCAAGGCTTCGACACTGCCACCGAGTTCGACGCCATCCTCGAAAAGCTGAACGAAACCTACGGTTTCGAGATGAAGAAGACTTCCGGCGGGTTTGGTCCTAGCGATCACTCATCGTTTTATGGGAAGGACATTCCTGTCCTGCACTTCTTCACCGGAATTCATAGCGATTACCACAGGCCAGGCGACGACGTCGAGAAGCTGAATGTGCCGGGAATGCGACGTATTGGCCAGATGGTGGCCGACATGGCCGTTGAACTGGCGAATTCAGACGAGCGGCCCACGTTTGTCTCCACAGGCGGTGAATCTACCGGAGTATCGCGTGGCGGAGATCGGCCCTACTTTGGCAGCATTCCCGATTTCGGACAGAATACGCCTGGCTATGCTATCAGTGGTGTAGCCAAGGATAGCCCCGCTGCGAAGGGCGGTCTGGAAGCTGGCGACGTCATCATCAAACTGGGGGATAGTCGAATAGGTAATCTCGACGACTTTGACAACGCCCTTCGCAAGTACGAAGGAGGGGATACCGTTGACGTTGTGGTTAAACGCGGGGAAGAAGAGGTTACGCTAAAGGTCACCCTCGATCCGCCACGATAGACGGTCTGTAAGTTGACTCGACGGATTGGGTCAAATGTAAGGAAGTCCGCGATCGAATCTGAAGGTTACGAGCAATCGTGGCCGCAGAATAGTTCGCGGAACGTCGTGTGTGCATGTCGCGGAAGCTGTTTGTTGGCAAGAAGTTGCGGTTGTTTACTTTGTCTCGAAACTGGCCTTTACGCAGGAAAGCCTTCGCGACAGAATACCGCCCACAATTTCGCAGTTTCCCGTAGTTGAAACGGATTTCAGCCGGCCGCGGGTTGTGCCTGAGGCGTATTTCAGGCCACCGATCAGAAACGATCGACTCCTCGTCGGCGCTAGCAAGGAGTGCCCTCTCGTGAAGAAGCCGATTTCTCGTGTCGCAATCGCGGCTGTGCTGCTTCAGTCTTTCGTGTGTGTCTCGACGACTCTCGCTCAGGCACCGGCGCACAGTAGTGTTGCGGTAATCGACCTTAAGCAAGTGTTCGAAAGCCACACGCGATTCCAGTCGATGCGTGAGCAGCTGATGCGTGACGTCGAAGCTGCTGAAGGCACGGTCAAAGCCCGACAGGAAGAACTGCGTGGCATGGTCGAGCAGCTCAAGGAGTTCCGCCCTGGCACCCCCGAGTACAAGCAGCTCGAAGCCAATGTGGCCAATCGTCAGGCCGATCTGAAGGTCGACATTTCGATTCAAAAGAAAGACTTCATGGAGCGTGAAGCGAAGATTCACTATCACGTCTACCAAGAGGTGCTTCAAGAGATTCAACACTTCGCCACCCAGCGAGGGTTGAGCCTGGTCATGCGTGTGAACTCTGAAGAGATCAAAGACGAGAATCCTCAGCAGATTCTTCAAGAGTTGAACAAGCCGGTTGTTTACTACAACAAGGCCATCGACATTACCTATCCGATTCTGACCACGCTGAACCAGCGGGCCGGTGGACGTGCTCCTGCGGCCGCGCAAGGTGGTGCTGCTCCGCGACAAGGCGTGCCTGGTGCTGCCGGTCGTCCGCAGCAGACCCCGCTTCGCTAGTGGGGTGTGGTTGTTGCTTTGTGGCTCTAGTTGCCGCGGACATGGATGTTCGCTCGCCGTGCTGGCCACATTGCAGGGATAGCTAGGGATATGGCTCACGAGAGCCGCAGCGGAGACAACTCTTGGAACTTACGCAGTCGTCTCGCCGACAGCGAACGTTGGCTCAACAGGCGGTAGTAACGGGATTCGGGTATTGGCGCGGGCGCGATGTCCGCGTCGAGTTTCGGCCCGCCGAAGTTGACACAGGAGTCGTGTTCGTTCGCGGTGATCTGGGCCCGCAGGCCCGCATCGAGGTCGACGTTCGGAATCGGCTCGATGTTCCTCGTCGAACGGTGCTGGCGATCGGTGACGTTCGTGTCGAAATGGTCGAGCACATTCTGGCCTCGCTGGCAGGAATGCAAATCGACAACTGCGAAGTGTGGGTCGACGCCGCAGAGATGCCTGGGCTTGATGGATCGGCGAATCCGTTTGTCGAAGCCCTGGAAGCTGCCGGTGTTGTCGAGCAATCGAAGCCGCGAAATCGCCTTGTGGTTAAGGACGTGGTGCGAGTTGAAGAGGACGGCTGCTGGATTGAAGCCCGTCCTCATGACAGTGATTCGCTTACGGTCGAATATCGGCTGGACTACGGGGCTCAAAGCCCAATCCCGCAACAGACTGCACAATTGGAAGTCAGCCCCGACGCGTTTTGTCGCGAGCTGGCTGCCTGTCGCACTTTCTTGCTCAAGGAAGAGGCCGACGTGCTCCTCGCACGTGGATTGGGTCGCAGGGCCAGTGTAAAAGATTTGCTGGTGTATGGTCCTGAGGGACCGATTGGCAATACCTTACGCTTTCCCGATGAGTGTTCCCGTCATAAGGCACTCGACATGGTTGGCGACCTGGCTCTGGCCGGTTGCGATCTTGCGGCCCACGTGGTGGCCTATCGCAGTGGCCATCAATTGAATGCCCGCTTGGTGGCCAGCCTGTTGGGAGTAGAGGCAGATACATCGGTTATGTTACGACGAAGAATCGCCTGACATGCCTTCTAGTATAAAACGTAGAAATATGGTAATTCGTTCGTGCAGAGCGCGAGAGAAACACAAGCCGCGACCGTAAGGTCGGTGTAGTGGAGAGCCATGGATGGCCACGATTGTCGCTGACAATGTTTCGATAGACCCACGAGCTGAGATCGGCGACGACGTCGAGATCGGCCCATTCTCTGTGATCGGGCCCCACGCAAAAATCGGGCGTGGCACCAAGCTATACAACAACGTGACCATCCTGGGGCACGTTGAGATTGGTGAGAATAATCGCATCTTTCCCGGGGTCGTCATTGGCGGGGAGCCCCAAGACATCAGTTACCGCGGCACCGACACGCGTGTCATCATTGGTAACGACAACGTCATTCGCGAGTGCGTGACGATTAACCGAGCTTCGGAAAAAGAAGACGGTGTCACCTCGATCGGCAATAACAACTTCTTCATGGCCTGTAGCCACGTGGCTCACGATTGCCGTGTTGGAAACCACGTTGTGATGGCCAACGGTTCTTTGCTTGGTGGCCATGTGCACGTGCAAGATTATGCCTCGCTCTCCGGAGTGGCTGCCGTGCACCACTACGCCACCGTGGGGTGCTATAGCTTTACCTCGGGGTTGAGCCGGGTGTTGCACGATGTGCCTCCGTTCATGCTGGTGGAAGGGCATCCCACCCGACCGCGTTGCATCAATGTGGTTGCCTTGAAGCGGAACAACTTCTCGCCCGAGTCGATTCGGGCCATCGCAGAGGCTCATCGACTGTTGTATCGGGCCAAAGTGGGCCTGGAACATGCTCGGGAGATTTTGCGGACGAACGACTTGCTCGATCCCCATGTCGAAACACTTCTAAGCTTCGTGCAAGATCAGCAGGGCGGTAAGCACGGGCGTGCTCGAGAAGCAACCAGGAGAGCTGCGTGAGACCCCTACGAGCGGCCGTCGTCGGAACCGGGCATTTGGGACAGGCTCATGCCCGCATTCTCAACGAATCAGAACACTCCGACCTCGTGGCGATTGTTGACTCTGACGCCACTCGCCGCAGCGAAATCGCCGGGCGGCACGGGGCTCAGCCTTGTGCCACTCTGGGCGAGTTGCCCGAGGGGATTGAGGCCGTTGTGGTGGCCACTCCCACGGTAACGCACCACGAGATCGGCCTCGAGTTGCTGCGACATGGAATCCACGTTCTGGTCGAAAAGCCACTGGCCCCCAGTTATGCCGAAGCTCAAGAACTGGTCGATGCAGCGGCGGCTGCCGGCGTAGTGTTGCAAGTGGGCCATGTTGAGCGATTCAATCCGGCTCTCACGGCGGCTCACACCCGCCTTCGCGAGCCGAAATTTATCGAAGCCACACGCTCGAGCGGGTTCACTTTCCGTTCGACCGATATCGGGGTGGTGTTCGACCTGATGATTCACGATATCGATCTAGTTCTTTCACTCACCCGGGCCAGCGTGACCCGGGTTGATGCGATGGGGCTGGCCGTGCTAGGGTCTCATGAAGATGTGGCCAACGCCCGTCTGGAACTTTCCGATGGCTGCGTAGCATCGCTAAGTGCATCGCGTGTGAGCTATGCGGCGCAGCGAAATCTTCGCGTGTGGTCGCCTAGGGGATTTGCCTCCTTCGATCTGGGTGCCCGTGAAGTTCGATTGGTGACTCCGTCGGAAGCGATCCGTAAGCGTGAAGTTCAAATCGAGCAGTTCGATGCCACTGCCAAGCAGGCGTTTCGCGATGAGATGTTTGAGCGGCACCTGGCCATCGAGAATCTGGAGATCGAAGCCTGCGATCAGTTGACCGCCGAGCTTGATGATTTCGCAGATTCAATTCGTCGTGGTCGCCAGCCACGCGTTTCTGGCGAGCAGGGGGCTGAGGCGGTTTCGGTCGCTGAACGCATCCTTGCTTCGATTGAGAACCATGCCTGGGATACTTCGGAGCTACCTCGGCAAGGTCCGCTGGCGGTGCCGCGTCCGAAGGTCATTCCTGGCCCTCACTGGTTGACCACTCCCGCGCCCACCACGCCGCGACGGCAGGCAGGGTAGGGGAGCTGGGGCCAGTCTTAGTCTGGCTCGCTTTTGGTTCTCCCGGCTCTCTTGCCAACCCGCATTTACCTGTGCGGCGATACCTGCTAGATACCCGCGGACGGGGGAATCCGTGTTTAGCCCGGCGTGGAGAATGTGATGTTCTACTTCCGCATCAATAAGCTGAAGATCATCGACAACCGAGAGAACCGGCAGTTCCTTCGGGTGCTCGGTACCGATCGGGCGGAAGTGAAGATCAATAGCTTCATCACGACCGAAGACACGCACCTGCCCGACATGGACGAGCTGCTCGTCACCAACGACCCGGGACGAAAGCGTGACTTGTTGGCTGCTGCGGTGGCCGAAGTGGTCAGCTCCCGAGTTCTGACGACAATTCAGAACGTGACCGATAATCATGAGATGACTTTCGGGGATACCGGCTACGTGCTCTATCAGTCGGATAATATCCCGGATCACTTCAACTGGATATTGCTGGCCGTCGAGTCGGATCGCGATGTGCGTTCGATCGGCGAAGAGATGAACTCAGTAGTAAACGACCAGGGCTTTGATCACTTCATTACGAATGTCTTGAGCCTGGCAGCGGCGGCAGCGAATCCTTCGTATGTGGCGGCCGTGGGGATTGCCAAATTCGTAACCAAGATGATCGCCGATCAACGTGGCAAGAACAGAGATGACTTGATCGGCGTGCTCTACACCTCGCTGAACCGTCGCGAGCATTATCACCACGGCGAACGCAAGCGAAACAACATCCCAGATCTGACGAACAATATGTTCGTTGATTACTCGATGTTCGGGTTCGATGCTCAGCCTGACCCGGGAGTCATTCACCGGCTTCCGCCGATCACTTCAGTTGCCCGTGGTCCGATCGTTCCCACCCGCCGCAGTGCATGAGCATTCACTACAAACTGTTGCGGTAGGTGTTGAACTTCAAGTACAGCAAGTGGCGATACAAGTCGCTACGATGCAGCAACTCGGCGTGAGTTCCTTGGTCGACGAGGCGCGACTCGTGAATCAACGCCACGCGATCCGCGTCGCGTAATGTGTTCAGTCGCGAGGGAATCGTCACTGTGATGCGGCCTTCGGTCAGCATGCCCAGGCAGTGTTCCATGAGTTCACTGGTGGGGGCATCCAGTTCGGCCATGGGTTCTTCCAGCACGTAGACCGAGGGGTTTCGTAGCACGGCTCGTGCCAACCCGATACGGAAGGCATCCCAGGGATCGAGCGCTACGCCGTGCTGTCCAACGACGGTATCGAATCCGTCGGGCAGGTGCTGAATCAGGTTGTAGACCTGTGCCTGCCGGGCTGCTTCAGCCGCCTGCGACAATCCGAACCGGGGGTCGCCACAGGTGATGTTTTCGCGGACGGTTCCGGTGAACAACATTCCGCGTTGCACGACCAGGGCAACCTGTTGACGTACCGACTCGAGGGAAAACTCCCGCAGATCAACGCCGTCGATCAACATGCGCCCCGAGCATGGATCGCGGAAGCGGGGTATCAGGCAGGAAACCGCCGCTGCGACCCGATCGTCGGTCGAGAGCACCGCCAGATGACAGCCGGGACTGAGCGTTAGTTGCAGGTCGTCTACCAGTGGGGTGCCGGCTCGGTCGCGGATGGTGATCCCATCGAAGGTGATCCCCTCGTGGATCGTGGCCAACTTCTTGGGTTCGGCAGTCTCTTCAATCGTCGGTTCGCGGTCCAGGTACATGAAAACGTCGCGAGCAGCCCTTTGGGCCCCGATCAGTCGTTGCGTGGCCCGGGTGACTCGAAGCAGAGGCCACAGTCCTGCCGTGAGCGATAGCCCTAGGAACACGGCCGAGGCCATCGAAAGGTGCGGCGTCGATCGCAGGATGTTCATGCCGGCCAGAGCGACCAGAAGGCATGCTCCCCCGAGCAGGACGAGGGCAACCAGCGGGAAGAATTGAATGCGGTTCGTATCGCTGGCCAAAGCGGTTCGCTCGTAGATCGAGAGCCGGCGTTCGAACGAGTCGCCCTCACTTTCGCGAAGCCCGTACCCCAGCACCAGCGGTGTGCGATCGAGATCCTCGAGCAACGTGTTCATTGTTTGGGCCGCCCGATCGCGGTGCAGCAATTCTCGGCGATACGCTACCCTCACACTGAGTAGATGTAGCAGCCACCAGACCAGCACTGCAGTGAGCAGGCCGGCTAAGGTGATCCAAATGTTGGTGAGCAGGGCTGCGAGAAGGAGCACCACCGATACCGTGAGCATACGGGCGACAATGCCGCCGCGACGCTCGAGGGCGGCCACGACGGTGTCGATCTTCTGTGTGAACAGCTCGCGGGGCGAGGGTTCCAATGGACCACGCAGATCGCAGGCCCCGATTTGCATTAGCTGGTGATGCATGGCGATCCGAAGCTGGCTCCCGGTTGATTGGGCGGCCGCTGAGATGGACCAGTTGAGCAAGAAGCTCATGAAGAAGTAGGCCGCGATTCCGGCCGCCGAGAGCGTTAGCAGTGTAAACAGTGCGGCGAAGTTGCTTCGCAGTGAGCCCACGTGGCGGTAGATGTTCGCAAGCGTAGGGCCGATGAAGGATTCTCGTGCCCGCCATGCGAGTGGGAGTAGCCCCGAGTTGTGATACACGACCCAGTTCGAGCCAACCTCATCGGGTTCCTGCTTCATCGTAGTTGCAATGGCTTCTTGCTCGTCGACTGGGGCCACCAGCCTACCTCGTGAGGCGAGCAAATCGACGCAGGCCGCAATCGAAAACAGAGAAAACAGCAGCGGGATGGCAGCCAGCAGGCCGATGAGCAAAACGCTCAGAGAATAACGCCGATTCGCATTTGCCAGAGACCAGGCTCGATCAAATGCGGTGGTGGCCATTGGAGATCGTCTCGTCGTTGCGTTAATTGGAGGTCAACTGCGCACGACGGCCTCCATTGCCCCACGTCGCATTTTCGCACTACGCCAAGTCACGGTCTTCGAAAAACAGCAACGCCAGCAACAGAGAAACGGTGCTTAGCAGCAAACAGTAAACAGTGGCCATGCCGAGGTAAGCCAGTGATACCGGCTCTCCCGTGGCAATCGCCGTTTCGACGTCGAAGTTTTCCAAAACCGGAAGGATCGTGGCGATTAGCTGGCTGACGAACAGCAATATGGGAAAGTCACCCCTGGCAGAATTCACCAGCGAGGGAACTAAGTGCCCCAGGGCGTAGATCGATGAGCAGATGATCAAGTTGGCCAGCATGGGCAGCCGCGTTGAGATGGCCACACTGATGGAGGCCAGAACCACGGTCTCCAGGAAGGCCAGAGCCAGTGGCGGAAGAACATGCATCATCTCGGCCTGGCACTCGGCCACTGTTGGATCGGGGCTGGCCGTCTCTTTCGCGTCGTACACCACCTTGTAAGAGATGGTGGCCAGAAACAGCGATGAAAGCACGATGGACAGAACCGCCACTGGGCCGAGCACGCCCAGGAATTTTCCGATGATGAACTGCCGCCGGCCCACGGGCTTGGAGAGCAGTGTGAGTGCGGTTCGCCCTTCGATTTCATCGGCAACCGAAACACTCGCGGTCCACAGGGCCAAGAGAATGCCCAAGACCATGATCAATGTGGTGCCTGAGTCCTTCACCACCTTCACATCTTCGCCGAAGGTGTTGTAAGGCAGAAACGGGAACACCACCAGGAGCATGGAGCCCAGCATCAGCAACACAAAGAACAGCGGCTGAGAGATGCCTTCTTTGAACGTCGTTTGAGCAATGGCCGCGATCTTCGGTTGGACGAGTCGCAGGCCGAGGTACGCCAGATAGAGAACGACGAAAGCCGCCACGGCCATGGCTGCAACGACCCACAGAGGAGCAATCCACGTGGGGACGGTTGCTGCGAACAGAGAGCTATGCGTGATCATGAGCCTCGCCGGATTCTCGGCGATTCCTGAGAGCCTAATATGTGTTCCGAAGAGTGACCACCAAGGGTCTTGAAGAGCTTTCTCACTCTCTACGGTAAACTACCTGGTCGGGGGGTGTCAATCGATCGGCAAGCGTTGCCTCGTCTCAAATGCCGCCTCATGCAGGGTTTACGAACGCTCAGGCGGTAAAGTTCGATTGTATGGGAACAATTTCTGTAGATCGCTGCCCACTTGGTGCGCTGCGCGCTTAGTGGTACCACGCGGAACGTGATGCTGAGCCGTGGCCGGGACTTCACACCCCAGGTATGGAGCCATCTCATCATGTTGTCTTTGGACTCATCTCGGCTCGAAATACGCGGGCGGTGGAGCGGCGACTTATTCCGAGTATGCTAGGTCTCGGTCGTTTGCTCCTCGGGCATCCGTAGGCACCAGGGTTGCGGCCTTCGATTTTGCTCCCCACCAGAAGATCCCGCCTTCCGTTTTCTTGTCCACCCTCCGTAGGAGACAGCCGATGCGCTGGTCTTGTTCGTTTTCCTGCTCACTGGTGACTCTGCTCTTCGTTTTCCCCAGTTGGGCTGCCGACAATGAATTGAGCGAGGAGGAACAAGCCTCAGGCTGGCAACTGCTGTTCAACGGGCACGATCACACCGGGTGGAAATGCAGCAACGGAAAGCCGATCGCAACACCCATCGAAGACGGGAGTCTCCTACCTTTCGAATCCGGCGGTTACATGATCACCTACAAGAAGCCCATTGGCGATTTCAAGTTGAAGTGCGATGTACGGATGGATAAGCCGTACTGCAACTCCGGCATATTCTTCCGAGTCGGAGATTTGGATCGGATTCCTCAGACCGGCTTGGAGTGCCAGATCGCAAGCGCGAGCCTGACTCCTTACCAAAGCTATGGAGCAATCTACGAACTTGCTCGCCCGGAGGAACTTCGGATCAAGTCTGACCCCTGGGGGTGGCATACGGTTGAGATTACCTGCCGTGGGCCCCTTGTCGAAGTCTCGGTCGATGGTCAGCCAACAACGAAGATGAATTACGATGAGTTCACCGAAAAAGGCCGTCGCCCTGACGGCAGCCCGCACAAGTTCGATTCGGCAGTGAAAGACTTTCCTCGCTCGGGGTACCTCGGGTTCCAAGATCACGGACACAAGTGTTGGTACAAGAACATTAAGTTGGTCGAACTCGACACTGAGAATTGACCGTGGGGCGAAGCTCGCCGATCTGAGTGGCTAAAAAGAGCCCAGCAACGAAGAGCCGAGTTGCTATTTCAGTGGGTCCAGTCGAAGCTTTCGAACTCACCCGTGAATCGTTCTTCGAGAACTTCTTCACCGCGAATATTGCGGGCCATTGTGCTGCGTAGCTGCTGCAAGAAACGCTCGACTTCCTGAGACTGGCCCTCGACAACGACTTCGACCCGGCCGTCTTTCAGGTTGCGAACGGTGCCCGTCACTTCCAGCGGTTCGGCGATGCTGCAGGTCGTTGCTCGAAAGCCAACGCCTTGCACGCGACCACTGAAGTAAATTCGACGTCGTTGTTTCAGGTTAGCGTCCGTCACCGAGGGAGACTCGCACCCTTGGGGTCAGTCGATGATGACATCTTCGAGACGGGAGATACCGACGACTTCCTGCAGATTGATCAGCGAATGGCGGCGATTGGGGCGAATGCCGTGAGCGCGAACGTTCAGCACGTATTGCTCGCGGGTGGTTGTCGTATCCCGCAGGTCGTGGATGTCGACATCTTCCAGAGTGAGGAACTTCGAGGATTCGCCCACGAGACGCCCCAGGAACACATACGGACTGCGGGCATCGACGACGACCAATTCTCCCATCAGCTCACTCAAAGGGTGGTCGCTGGTTTGCGATGCGGTCATCGGTGGGGCTCCAAGCTGTTCCTACGAATGCTGCCACAACGCTGGCGGCGAACGATGCATTCAGGCAAAAA